AAAGATATGGAGAAGATTGTCCATTTTTATGCTTATGTTCAACAAAATATAGATAGCATGTAGCAATATGATTGGACAAAAAGGGTATGATCTAACGTTAACAGACTAAATGGGGAAACTCAGCAGAGCCTGTCTGTCTAGATTCTTCTTGGCTTCTCTGAGCATACATTGCTTCCTTCTGGGTTTGGGTCAGGACCCTCTCTAGAATGGGGGTCTCATGGACTATAGCCAGACAAGGTAGGTCAGATAATTTCTTTATGGCAAATTTTTACACAGAAAGGTGCAGGGAAGGTTAAACTAATATTTTTAAGTTTTATGGCTAGCTTTAGGAATAAAGAGTTCTTGTTTCTGTGACTCACCTTGAAGAAGATGGATTCTAGTTTCCATGGCTAACTTTTGGGGGGTAGGGAAATGAGATTGAGAGACAGGAGGTCAGGAAATGGTCAGAAAAAACTTTTGTTTCTGAGGCCTTCTTTTTGGGGTAATTTTCTGAGCCCAGTACCCATCATCTATCCTTATTATAGTTATTGACCAACTCCTCTCATTTCAGCTTTTTGATCACTGAAAGATAAAGTAAGCACATTCCAGCCTATTACTCTCATCAATTACAACTGAAAATCCTGAATAAAATACATAATGAAACTATCAGAAGATTCTGAATGATGCAAAAAAGAAGAAAGACTGGCCAAAGATCACAGAACTTCAGGGATGACCTAGTGGTGAACTCTCTGTTGTTTATTTTTACCTCCTACATATCCAAGCCTGGACACTACAGCAATCTACACCTGGAAATTCCAATGTGCACAGACTTTGAAAAGCCCTAAAAAGGTCTGCTTTCCATAGACAAAGAATGAGAAAAGAGAAGCCTTGCAAAATCATTTTTTATGCTACTGACTCTACTCAAGGCAAAGATGAAGGTAGAAGTCACACTCTGTCTCCTGCACATTGGGTACTGCAGAGCCAGTGGGTTATAGCCTGTTCAACCATCCCATCTCTACATGAGCACAAGGAGACGTGGCATCTCCTCCCCTCCCCACTGAGCCCTGCATTTGTGGAGACTGTGAGATAGAGTCCTGTCAATCATCCTCACCCTGCATTAATAGGAGCAGAGGCAATGCCTATTTCCCTCATTTTCATTAAGTGAACAAAGGCAAAGAGGTAGCTCACCACCCTCTCAATTACAGAATGGGGTGAAGAATATGGATAGGAGGCTGGGGTGGAGTGGAATTCTCTAAGTCTACATATAAATTTCTAAGCAAAATCCCAAATGGCCTATGCATAAAATCAATAAGAATCAACACAACAAAAGCTGTGAAAACCAAACTATTGTGTGAATACTACTGATATTTCAAATTGACCTCTCTGTAGCACATACAGAGGCAGACCAGAATTTTACTTCACAGGTTTTGAAAAATACTAATGTGACTTTCAAACTATGGGTCATAAAATTGGATTTGGACATATACTATGAATTTAAGAAAGTTGACCACCTACTAAAATAGAGGATTTATATAGGAACTAGGGTCTCAAAATATAAAAATATCTAGGATACAATCCAAATTATTTGTCATACCAAAAACGAAGAATTCTCAGCTTAAATAAAAAAAGACAGCAGATGCTAATGCCAAGATGGCACAAGTGTTGGAATTCGCTAACAAAGATTTTAAAGCAATTATCATAAACATGCTCCAAGAAGCAAATATAAACACCCTTGAAACAAATGGAAAAACAGAAAATCCCAGGCTGGGCATGGTGGCTCACGCCTGTAATCCTAGCACTCTGGAAGGCTGAGGCGGGCGGATTGCTCGAGATCAGGAGTTCGAAACCAGCCTGAGCAAGAGCGAGACCCAGTCTCTACTATAAATACAAAGAAATTAATTGGCCAACTAATATATATAGAAAAAATTTGCTGGGCATGGTGGCGCATGCCTGTAGTCTCAGCTACTCAGGAGGCAGAGACAGGAGGATAGTTTAAGCCCAGGAGTTTGAGGTTGCTGTGAGCTAGGCTGACACCACGGCACTCACTCTAACCTGGGCAAAGAAAGAAAGAAAGAAAGAAAGAAAGAAAGAAAGAAAGAAAGAAAGAAAGAAAGAAAGAAAGAAAGAAAGAAAATCTCAGCGAACAAATAAGGGAAGAAATAAGAATAAAATGAAAATTTTAGAATTGAAAAAAAAATAACATTTAAAAACTAACTAGATGAGCTCAAAAGCAGAATGAAAACAACAGAGGAAATAACCAATGATCTTGAATATAAATCAATAGAAATTATCTAACTGAGCTTTATAAGGTGAATAGTCCAAAAAAAAAAAAAAAAGGCTAGAAACTCAGGGATCTGCAGAACAATATAACAAAGCTTCTAGCATTTGTTTCATTGGAATAGCAAAAACAAAGAATTAGTGCAGGATGGCTGAAAAGTTCTAAAATTTGGTGAGAAGCATAAGCATACAGATTTAAGAAGCTGTGTAAATACCAAATAAAATAAATCCAAAATCAGAAATTTAACTTTGACATAACATTATACAAAGTATATTCTCAGATAGTAATGGAATTATATAATTATATATAAATTAATCACAGAAAAAAAAATAAGAAAATCTCCAAACATGTAGAAATTAAAAACCACACTTCAAAATAATTTATAGGTCAATGAGAAATTCTCAAGGGAAATTTTAAAATATATATTGAACTGAATGAAAAGGAAATAAGACATCAAAATCTGTGAGATAGAGCTGAAAGAATGCATAAAGAGAGTGTATAAAACCTTAAATGCTTATATTAAAAAAGAGACCTCAAATCAATAATCCAAGTCTACCTCAAGATACTAGGCTAAAGAAGAGCAAAATAAAGACAAAGTTAGGTGAAGGAAAGAAACAAGTAAGAACAGAAATCAATGAAATTGCAAAAAAAACAATAGAGAAATAAAACTCAAACCAATTTTTATAATAAATATCCAATAGAATTTATAAGCTTCCAATAAGACTGATGAAAAAAGAGAAGACAAATCATCAAAATCATGAATGAAAAAGAAGATATCACTATAGACTCCACAAATATTAAAAGGATAAGAAGGGATTACTACAAAGAACCCAGCATACATAAATTCAACAATTTAAATAAAATGCATAAAATCCTTTAAAATCACAAACTACCAAAATGTATCCAAGATTAAAGAGATCACCTGAATAGTCCTATAACTATGTTTAAAAGTTGAATTTGTAGTTAAAATCCTGTTAAAGTAGAACTCTCTAAACCCATACAGTTTCACTATAAAATTTACTAAAAATTTAAAGAAATTATGCCAATTTTACACAATCTATTCCACAAAATAGGAAAGGGGGAAACACTTCTCAACCCATTTTATGAAGCTAGCATTAAATGGCTTAAGTTGAAGATGAGAAGGAAAGTGGGCTAAGAACTTCGGTCTTTATCCTAAGAGCAATGAGAAGCAACTTTAAGATTACTATAGTTGAAGTCTAGTTAGAGCTTTGGGCTGAAAATGAAGAAGGAATAATAATAGGCATTTTCTTAGGTTGTTCCTTTCAATTGCTCTTCTTTCCTAAAGTGGAAAGATAAGTTAAGTCTGTCCCTTCACGCTTCCTTTCTCCCATCCCTACCACCCTGCTCAATCTTATCTTTCCAAGAAAAAAAGCCTCCATCATAGCCTGCCAGCTGCAAGGGAGGAAAGAAGAGAAAAAATGCTAATTCCTTCAACCCTTCTACCAATTATCAAAATAACCCAATTTCTATTTCTAGTTTATCCTAACCTTTTGCTTTGTTTTTAGAACCCCAAACATTCTATTTAAATCCCGGGAGTCTAACTTTAAAGAGTCATGTGCCAGCAGAAATTATATGCAACATTTTTTGTGTGTGCCCACATGTGGATTTGGGAAATAGTAAAAATCCAAAGCTTTTATCAAATTATCAAACTGGGTGGAGGAGTATTATGTTCTCTCATTAATTTAGAATTTATGACAAACATTTTACTAAATTGAAGTCATTTCAATGTAAAGGGTCAAATACCAGTTAAGAGTTGGTATATTTTAAAAGAGAGACAAATGCAGAACAGATTAATATTAAAGACTTTAATTAATTTATGGATTATAGTCAAGGCTAGATATGGTCCCTTCCTCTATACCTTCTTCATGTTGGACACTGCAGAGTATAAATTAATAGTCATAATCCTGACCTTAAATCATTGCAAGATTATGAAATCACATTTAGATGATCAAATAAAAGTTATATTATGCCAATGTAGTGTAGTGTTAATTCGAATTTCAGTAGTCAGAAAACCAGATAACCTGTGAACTGTCTATTTATAATATAGGGTAAATTTTCTACATCACCTTCTCACGGAAGGTAATATTCTGCCTACTCATCAGAAAGATTTCATATAAGAGGGAAGAACGAAACTCAAGACTTCTTTGTTTATTCTCCAAAAGTCTCCGTAGTAGGTCGGTTAGCACAGATGAGACATCACTCTTAAGTATAAGACTTGGGCTCTCCTGGTCTGTACACTGGGATTCCACTGTCACCTACACCTCCAACATCCCCAGAGTCCAAAGTTTCTCCCTCTCACCTCTCTCTCTCTCTCTCTCTCTCTCTCTCTCTATCTCAATCTCGCTCTCTCGCTCTCTCTGTCTCTCTCTGTCTCTCTTTCTCTCTCTGTCTCTCTCTCGCTCTCTCGCCCTCTCTCTCTGTCTCTCTCTCTCTCTCTCTCTCTCTCTCTCTCTCTCTCTCTCTCTCTCTCTCTCTGTCTCTCTTTCTCTCTCTGTCTCTCTCTCGCTCTCTCGCCCTCTCTCTCTCTCTCTCTCTCTCTCTCTCTCTCTCTCTCTCAATCTCGCTCTCTCGCCCTCTCTCTCTCTCTCTCTCTGTCTCTCGCTCTCTCGCGCTCTCTCTCTCTGTCTCTCTCTCGCTCTCTCTCTCTCTCTCTCTGTCTCTCTTTCTCTCTCTGTCTCTCTCTCGCTCTCTCGCGCTCTCTCTCTCTCGCGCTCTCTCTCTCTCTCTCTGTCTCTCTCTCTCTGTCTCTCTCTCTCTCTCTCTGTCTCTCTCGCCCTCTCCCCCTGCCCCCCTCCCTCTGTAAGTGCACTGTCTGTACTCTCCACTAACGCACGCCTCGCTCAGCAAACCACAACTTGGATCAAACTCCCAGACCTGTAAAAATCTCCCGCTCTTCCGCGCGGGGTCGCCGTTCCTCCTATTTATGCTCCGGACTCAGAACGAGGAGTTCTCGGGTTTCCAACCAGGACTCAGGGAGTCCAGGTCGGATTGGCTGCAGTAGAAAGAGGGGCAGGGGCTCCACCAAATCACAAATCTAAGATTTTCATCGTTTTTAGTCTCCTCCCTCGAATCCTGGCAACAGGCGTGCATTGTTGTTCTTAGAGGAAACCGGCCCGGGGTTGCTATGGAGACAGGACGCTGCACCTTGCTGAGCAACTACCGCCCAGAACTCGCTTAGGAAGCAGCGGCAAAGCGACTGTCCTGCGTTGTCTCCTTCCATATTTGCACGCCCCCTTTATCCAGACCTTTTTTTTTTCTCTTGACACCTTCCATGGAAGATTTGACCTCCCTGAAGCAAGAACAAGAAAACCAAGAACCAGGAAAAGCAGGGCCGCCATGGGAAGGAAAGACAGCAGCTTCTCCTCAGTCTCCTGAGCCAGAGTCCTCTGAGCCCTTGGAGGAGGAGCTGGGACCAGATATTGGACCCCAGCCCAGAAGCAGGCCTCCTTGGAGCCCCCAGTCTAAAGTCATCACGTCTCTGGGTGACCCCAAAGAACCAGGAGCGTCATCTTCCCCAGCCTCTCTACAGGAGCCCTCTCCCACTCCTTCTCCCCTGGCTCTATCCAGAGAGGACCTTGTCGCAGCACTGCGGTCAGACAGGACAGCTAGTGTGACTCTGGAAGCTGGGACGCTTCATTCTGATCCTTTGGAACAATCGCCTGACAAAAGAGAATCCACTCCTCATCACACAGGCCAGCCCGAGGCAAACACCTTTCAACAGTCTCAGCAACCCAAATCTCACGTGTGTGGATCAACGGATGTGAGCTATAGCAACTCTAAACAAAAAGAGCTGAGATTTCACACTTTTCAGGAGGAAGACTCAAACAGTGAACATGAGCTAGACCAGCTCCGGCCTGGGGCCTCTGAGGCGGTGCCCAGTGTGCTTGACACAGCCATTCAGAATGCCAAGGCTTACCTGCTGAAGACCAGTAGCAAGTCGGGCTTGAATCTGTAAGTCTTGGAGGAAAAAAAAGAGAGAGAGAGAGAAAAGTTTGGCAAAGCAGAAGGGTGTTTCTCTGTGTGAGAGTGTGTTTCTTTGGTGTTTTGTTTTTGTTTTGTTTTGTTGAGACAGGGTCTCACTCTGTCACGTGGGCTAGAGTGCAGTGGTGTCATCATGGCTCACTGCAACCTCAAACTCCTGGGCTCAAGCGATTCTCCTGCCTCAGCCTCAGGAGTAGCTGGCCTACAGGTGTGGCCCACCATACCCAGCTAATTTTTCTATTTTTTTGTAGAGATGGGGTCTCAGTGTTGCTCAGGCTGGTCTCGAACTCCCAGCCCCAACTGATTCTTCTGCCTCTGCCTCCCAAAGTGGTAGGATTAAAGGCATGAGCCACCATGCCTGGCGCGCAATGTGTTACTCTGGGTGAATAGAATTATATTTGAAAAGATTGCATTAGTAAAAGAGAGTTAGTGATTTAAGTCCTTGAATCACAGAACTCAAAACAGTCACTGGTAGAGATTCTTCTAGCTTCTTTTTTTTTAATTTTTAATTTTCTTCTAGCTTTGTTAAATACCCCAGACACACACAGAGAAATAAAACCTAGGAATTATGGAGTATCAGGCTTGAATGAGACAACAAGAACCATAAAGTCCAAACATCTTTCCAAGATGCATATAAAAAGCAATTTTCTACCAGTGTTAGCAAGCTAATGTCTAATCTAAGCATTCTAGTGTTTGCATGGCTTGGTTTTCAGTTCCCACCCAGACCAGTGTTTGAGTGACCAACCATCCCAGTTTGCCAGGACTGCACTGATTTGAGCATTGACAGTTCTGTATCCTAAGAAATCCTTTAGTTGTGGGCAAACTGGGAGAATTGCTCACTTTATAGACCACGCAGAATACTTGCCATTTAATCCAGGTCTCTCTTAAAATGTGATGACCAATGACCCAGGTATGTTCTGGCCAACCCATTATATCTTTAATTAGAACTCGTGATGAGAATAGATTCCTAGATATTCTTGCTTCCAGGGTTACATAATCATAGAGTCAACAGAATTTTAGGGCTACAAGGGATTTTAGAAAACATCTAATACAATCTATTTGTTTTTTAAAGGAGGGGACTGAGTCTGGAGAACCTAATTTGCTCAGGATTCCAGTGGCTCATAGCACTCCCTGACTCTTACCTCTCGCTCCATCGCTGTGCTCCATCCAGCCAGCCCATGGCTTCAGTTCCCATGCTGCTCCCTCTGCCTAGCAGAGTTCTTCCCTGAGTCTTTGCCTGGCTGGCTCCTCATTCTCCAAACTCAGCTTCTATAAAATGCTATTATAACATCTATTCTTGCCCTTCATAGCACATAATGCCATTTTTAATTATATATATATATATATATATATATATACACACTTATGTTTTAATGTCTGACTCTCCCACTAGATTGCAGGCCCCAGAGCCCCAGGACTGTGTGAGTTTTGTATGCCGCTATATACTTAGTGTCTAGCACGAAGCTATCAACTATTAATTGAATAAGAATGAATGAATGGAGCACAGAGACTAAAGTACACAGCTTCCAAATGTAGTTCAGTTTTCTGGAGAAAAAACTCATGAAAACTCAAAGTGCTTTTTCTATTCTCTCAACAATAATCACCATAGAAGACTTCTGTGACCAAATGTAGGGGAGGGGGTTTCCCCACCAACAAACAAGCGGTCAGTTCTGCAGTGGACACCAGCTGGGCGTCCTCCAATTTAATGTTGATACTGTCTACCTGAAGATAGCATCAGATCCCACAGGTTGAGGGCTTAGTTCCACAAAACCACCCCCCACTTTAGATACCGGACATAAGTCTGGGCCCACAGAACTTCTGACTTACCAGCTGCAAGTTGGGATTCCCACAAGCACCTCTTTGGGTTTGATTAATTTGCTAGAGGGCTCACAGAACTAAAGGAAATTCTTACATTCACCAACTTACTATAAAGGATATTACATGGATTCAGATAAAAAGATGCACAGGGAAAAGTATAGGGGAAGGGGTGCAGGCTTTCCATGCCCTCCCCAAACAAGCCATCCTCCAGGAACCTCTACATGTTCAGCTACCCAGATACTCTTGGAATCCTGCCCTGTTGGACCTTTTAAGGAGACTTCAATGGATAGGCATGATTGACAACCATGTAGAAATGTGAGTGGACAAAAAGGGTATGATCTAATACTAATAGACTGATTTCGGAAACCCAGCAAGGCTTGTCTATTCAGATTCTTCTTGGCCTCTCTGTGCAGCATTCCTTCTTATCTGATGTGGCATAAGACTCCTTCTGAGATGGGGGTCTTATGACCTATAACTAGACAAGGTAAGTCAGAAAATTTCTTTATGGCTAGACATAGGGGAAGATTGTAGTATATTTTTAGTTTCCAAGGCCCGCCTTGGGGAGAAATAACAAGACAATAGCAGTTATGAGCCAAAAACTGTGTGTGAAAACCAATATATATATATATATCACAATATCACAAATTCTCATCATAATATGCTGAAGTGCTTCCTGATTAATCAGTAAATATTAAATGAATGTCTACTGAATATATAATGTGTCAAATATTTGCAGCTATTATTAGGCTTTAAAAAATATGAATAAAAAATATTTATGTGAGAAATCTTTTGTTAAACCCAAGATTGGAAATTTAAAATATTATATATAAGTTATTTTAAACTACAATTTACTTAAGCTGCAAGAATGTGAGTTGCTACTCACTAATGGATTCCACTGGAATTTCTGATATAAACTTCTTGTTACAATGCCCTGGATTAAATAACAAGCATGAATTTATAAACTTGTTAAAATTGCAAAAGAGTGCATTATAAATACATACGAGTTCACTAACAATTTATATATGTATATATATATATATTTTTTTTAAGAGACAGAGTCTCACTCTGTCACCCAGGCTGGAGAACAGTGGTGCGATCATACGATCATAGCTCAATATAACGTTGAATTCCTGGCCTTAAGTGATCCTCCTGCCCAGTGCTGGGATTACAGATGTGAGCCACCATGCCCAGGGAGTTAACTAACAATTTAAAACTGAATACAAAAACATGAAATGAGAAAATTTCCTTTATTGAATTATTGTATAACTGACATTGCTTACATATATAAATTTAATTTTATTTCCAAATGCTATATCTGAGGTAATAAACAAATATCTTCCATAATAAACACTGTTATCTTCTAAATACTTCAGACCCTGTAGTTAAAAACTGCTTACTAAAAGATTATTTTAACTCTGTCTCTTATATGCAGATCTAATCTGACAGCTACAAAAGTTACTTGTGTGGTAATTAAAACAATCTTTGATTACCCTGATTTCATTACCATACATATGTATTAAAACATTACTGTGAGCCTCATGAATATCTACAATTAATTGTCAATTTAAAAAAAATTAAAATTTCTTAAAACAAACTTTGACTAAAATATAGGATCTGAAAATGTTTTTTCATCATTGAACAAAAAGCTCACAGATAAGAATTGCTTCCTTCTTTTCTACCATTCTTTAGAACAAGTTATTAATCCTCCCTAATTAAAAAAACTATAATTATGAATCAAAATCTAATAAACATACTTCATAATTTTACACAAAGGCATTTTCAGGTGTGGATTTAAAGAACATTTATATAATATCTGGACTGAAGAACAAGGAATAAAGCACATATAGACATTATATTGAAACCTGAAAATTAATGAAAATGTGATGTTATATCATACACAGCCCCTATTGAAGCAAATCAAACACTCCAATTACAAACCCAGCTTTTGCCTGTTAAGCAAAAGTATTTTTAGTCTTGAGGCTTCTCCATGAGTTTCAACACTAAATGAATAGTAAGGAAGTTTGATGAAGTTCTAAAGAAACTCCTAGTGAAAACATTTCTGTTCATTTATAAAAATAGTAATATTTGAGGAAAGAATGATATATTCTTCAAATGTCATGTTATATTTTTAACTGCCCTTTACATTGGTTGCCCACATAATCTACATATTTTTCTTTGACTTCCTTAAAGTCCGTTAGACAAATACAGACATTAAAGAAAAAAAATAGCTCAAATCAATAGAAAGTAGGCTATTAGTAAACATCTATTTGTTTTGTTTCACTATAATAAGAGAGGAGATACATAAAAAACAAAATGCAAATCTTGGCCATTGTAGAACCTAAGGCAGTTACTGAATAGGAAACACATAATGCATAAAATTTCATAGCAGCACACTAGTATTTTCAGAAAGGGCTACTCTAAACTGAGAAAGAACGGTTAGAGAATGACTTGAGTGCTAAGTCCTTGAGGATAAAGGGAGTTTTAAATTATTTTTGGAGAGAAATAATATATATGGGACATAGGAAGTAAAGGCCTATGGTAGGACTTAGCAAATGTATGAAAGTTATTTTTATTAGATTTGCTTTGCTGAGACAGAAAGTCTAGTTGAATTAATAATTAGAAACAAAATTGGAGAAATACAATGAATGTCCCCCAAAGAGGCAAGTTTATCCAAGTTTTCACGTTAAGCAGAGGAGTTTCATTTCAAGAAAAGAGCACTTTAACATGACATGAGAGCACTTTGACAACCTTTTTGGCCTCTTAAATGGTAAATCCACATTGTGAATCTGGTATTTGAAAAAGCACACACTAGCAGTTGTGTATAGAACGTAATGAATTAATGGGAGGGTAGAGGCAATTACACTAATTTTAATGTGAAATAAAAAGCTAGGGCAGTGTTTTCAATAGAACAGAACAAAATATTAGAGTGCATTTCATTTTAATAAAGGTAAATTTAATGACACCTTTGTTTTAGTTGTGTGTGGCTGGAGTTTGCAATATGAAATGTATTCTCTGTCTAAAGATCTAAAAAACACTGAAGTAGATAATTGGCTTTTAAAAAATGGAATGAAAGGAACAGATCTTAGAGTACACAGGATAAGAAATTAAATTGGATTTGGTGAGAGTAGAAGAAAGGGAATAAAAAGAATTTAGAATAAAAGAGTAAAAAGTAATGTTAATCACTTTTAAATATATAACCAAGAGGTTTTAATTTCAGAAATAAAATGTGAAAAGGTACCTGATATGGAATATGTATCTTGTTGTAATATGTTTTTCTTTAATAACTTAATCATCCTGATCCTTTCATAGTTCTTCAGTGTGATGATTAGGTGTTCACGTGCACCTGTGAGATGTACCTCCCTTAACTCTTGTTACAACATTGGCACATTACCCATTGACATGAAAAAATAATTTAAAAATTAAAAAAACCTTAAACATTCATATCCTATTGGAGGCATTTCCAAAGGAAAATTCTAGAATAGGTTATTTCGGGCACAGTAGAAATTACCTTAAGTGTTTCTCCCCTGAAAATCTCTGAAGGCATCAAAATATTGCAGTTTCCTAAAAACCAACCAGTTGAATCTGTGTGAAATGCTTCTTCAAATGCTCCTGACATGTATACTGTCTGGAATTTTCTCTGTTTGAGTAGATATGATCATCTTTCTAGTATGCTGACTAAGATACTAGATGAGCGTCCTGAAAATGCTGTTGACATCATTGAAAATATTAGTCAAGATGTGAAGATGGCACATTTTAGTAAAAAATTAGATACACTCCAAAATGAGAAGGAGATGCTTCCAACCTATGAAATAGCAGAGAAGCAAAAGGCTCTTTTTCTTCAGGGACATTTGGAAGGAGTTGACCAAGAACTGGAAGATGAAATAGTAAGTTACTATTATAAATTTTATAGTTAAATCTTAAGTTTTTATTTGGGATGCATGAGTTGTGGCTTTAAGTTTATATCACCTGTCCTTTATAGCTTCTTAAGTTGAATATGTATCTTTTTAAAAAAAATCTCTTCCACCTTTCTCCAATCAACCTCATTTCACACCACTCATTTCCTTGTTTATGGGTTTCTTATTTTGTCGCATTGTGTTTTAGTATTTTACAAGCCTTAGCTATTTCTTATACGTTTGTGAGCTAAGTTTCTTGATATTAGGGAAAATGGATTCTTTATATATTATAATCTCCAAGGTGCCTAATATAGATCTGGGTATATAACTGTTTCTTGTTAAATATTTGCTGAATAATGAATGTATTTCAGATAGTTAAAATTAGATTTTAAATCAAATTGTATATTTTCTCCTTTAACCTGCTAGAAAATTTATAAGTATTTCTGATAGCATTTGTATTCTCTTCTAAGGCAAGCTTCTCATATTATGGTTTGATATTATGCATATTATGTGAATGAGACATAATACAAGAGGAGAGGTGTAAAATACTTCTTTTGATCTTGATAGACAAGTTGTTGAAAATATTTAGAGAAAAATTTGGTGACAGAAGAGAGCAAAGCTATAATTAAAGAATAAAATCTGGTGGATCACAGAAATTTTAGCTTCAAATATTTCAAAATAGTATCCAACATTTTATTTTCTAAATGCCTTTATACATGTTTGCCGAGCTTCCATATTCTATTACCACTAGACTATTTAAGATATATCTATGTACTTGCAAATCTGATGTTTGGAGTAAGATATAGAGTCCTTCCAAAAAGGACTCCATCAGGGAAAATGTAAGAGAGAGACTTAGACGGGAGATGTACCCTCTAGGGCTCAGCAGCCTGTGATACGAAACCCAACTTGACACAGTGAGATCCCTACTACTCAGACAGAAGTAACAGGTGATATATGTCAAGAAGTTGACATCAAACAGCTTTAACAAGGTGGCATATGGTTATGTAGCAATATATAGTGATGATGAATCTGGAAGCAAACAGCATGTGGAGACCAGGCAAATGGATATGTTCCTGGAAGACTTTTAATCAAAGAAAGGTCAGATTTCAATATAAGAATGGGGCATTATGTTATCTGTAGACATAAGATTACATGGTAGGGATCTGCATCCTAAACTAGGATATGGGATGAGAACACAAATAAGCTGTTTTGATCCTGGAACCTCATCCCCTTAACCAGATCCCACACATTTTCCTCATAAAGGGTAGGATTGGTTTTAGAACCTAGGACAGCTGGGTCATAAGTTAAAGATTGAAAGCTCCACCTCAGAGAGTGGAAAGATGCAGGAACAGGAAGAGAGGCAGGTCTCTGAAGCATTGAAGTACAAGCCACGTGACCAACTCTGTCCCAGACTTACCTGATTAGAGTATTCATGATTTCATTCCTGTCTTTGACTACACCAGAACTCCTATGCTTAGCCTGCAGCATTCATTTATTCATTCACCCATTCATTCGCAAACATTGTGGCCACTTACTGCATACCAGATACTGATATATACATGTGAAAAAAACTTTTCTGACTTTAATTTGTTTACAGTTCAGTGAAAGAAACAAAAAGATTGGAAAGCTATTTGATTAGTACAATAAATAGATAGCCTTGTTACCAAACCAAATTGGGGGCATTTGCCAGTGGGAGAGCCAAACAGTGAGGCAGAAAGAATTGCTTTCTAAATTTTGTAGAAAGAAAAGTTCATTGCAAAGCTGCTGAGCAAGGAAACAGGAGCTGGGCTCAAATCTGTTTTCCCAAGCTGGGGGTCTGGGGCAGGTTTCATAGGCAGAGAGTAATGAGACATGATTTGATTGGATCTTGCAATGAGGTAATGCCAGGGTTGATCTGATTGGATCATGTATCATGCCATGAAGTGTCCGCTTCTTAATTAGATCCCAGTTCTTGGTCCTAGCAGTTAGGTTCTGCCTATCACTACACTCCTGGTTCCTCTGTGCATGCTCAGGTTATGTAACTTGCAACCTTGGGGTCTATGGCAACTGAAAAACAACTTGCTATTTATTATGCAAAGTTGAACCAGATTGAGCTGTTTCTGTGGTTGAAGCCTCATATGATAGAAAAAATCATGGGGTTTGGAGTTAGCCGGATCTGAGTTAGAATCCTCATTCAATCAGGTACTAGTTGTGTGACTTTGAACAAATGACTAAACTTTCTAAGCTTCAGGGATAATCATATGAAAACAACCTGAGGAGTAGAGGTGGTATATATAATGGCATATAGTAGGAATTTAATCAATGGTAGCAATTGTTATTATATTGTTTTGACAACAGGCTACAAGACAGAATGGAACAACTAATTCTGCTATTGGGACTTGGGCAAGGATTTATAGTGGAGGTATTATTTCTTTTGGGTCATAGAGGATAAGTCAGAGTTCACCAGGTGAAGACTATAAGGAATAAAATTTTGAGAAAAAAAGAACGATAAAAAGCAGTAAAGTTTATTTCATGTTTGGAAAAGAATAATGTGAGTTTGAGAGAATAAGTAATGGATATGAAGCAAACAAGGTGCTTAAAGCCAGACTGCTCTTTGTACGTTTATAAGAAATTTCTTTCTTATGTACAATGAGAGGATTTTAATAGAATAACATGGTCTGGCTTTTGGTTTAGAAAGATAACTCTGGTAGTAATGTAAAGGAGAATGAAAAAAGAGGTAAAATCGGGGCAAGGAGGAGAGCATTTAGAAGCCTTTTGTTATAGCACAAGTAGCAAGGATGGTGACTCATGTGACAGAAATGGGTAAAAGAGGAGAGGATAATGCCAATAAATTGTTATATGCTCAAATCAATAAGACTGTAACTATTTAAATATTAAAGGTCAAAGGAGTCAGAGGAAGCAAGGATGACAGGACTTACTGGTGTGAGAAACTGAGGGCATAGTGATATTATCGGTGAAGAAAGAGTATATAGAAAAAAGAGAGAACTTTGAAATATGAATTAAATATTAACTTGAGATATCTGTAGAATACTCAGATTAAAATTTCTCCTAGGTGGCTAGAATTACAGGTATGAAACATGGAAGAAAAGTCAGAGTTTGAGGGAAAATTTTTAAATAGCCGTATGTTACTTGCCGGGGTGTGGAAGAAATCTTCCAAGCTTACAGCAATGAGTGATGAGATGACTGAGAAGGAAATTTTGAGGACACCACTATTTACAGCTCAATTAAGGAAAAAGGAACCAATAATTAAAGAGATTAGGAAGAAATAGTACTAGAGGGCCACATAAGATCAAGAGTGAGTGGTACAGCAAATGTCAAGGAAAAAGTTTTAGAAATCTAAATCAATGAGATGAGAATTGAAAAATGTCATTATATTTATATTGACACTACAGTTATAAATAAGAGCACATCATACATAAGGATAGCAAAGTGCTCTCAATTTCTTCATCTTGAGCAGGGGTCCTCAAACTTTTTAAACAGGGGGCCAGTTCACTGTCCCTCAGACCATTGGAGAGTGCGCACTGTGGGCCCGGGACGATTCGGCTGCTTAAGCAGGACACGCAGTGGCCGCAAAAACACCCAGAGGGCCAGATAAATGTGCTAGGCGGCCCATATGTGGCCCACAGGCTGTAGTTTGAGGATGCCTGATCTTGAGGGTCATGACTTTGTCTTGCAAGTTATCCTAACCTCAGTTAAGGTTCTTTCCTACCTTTTCACAAATATTTCTCTATAATCTTCTTGAGACTCTGCTTATTTATTATCCTATATTTCTTTTATAGAATTATTTTTTTCCTCATTGTTTTAAATTATTTAAGTAGAGGAAAGTATCTAACTATGTTATGTCTTCAAGTGTAGTCATGCTGAGCATTTACTTTATTATACATTTCCTTTATCCTGTGTTACCCTATATATACGATGCCATGTTGATTTTTATTTACCCTATATTTATAAAACCATGTATTTAATGAATATTTTTTAAAATATGGTAATATAAACATATATAAAACCATATTTTTCTACATATGTGTGTACATAAGTTATACTACATCTTATTTTAGGATAGTAAGAGAGTTTCTTAAACACTTTTCATAAAACAGGGATGTTGAACCATTATTGTTAATAGTTATTAAATCTCTCTGCCTAAGATACACACATAAAACAACGTAGGTATTATAATATATTAATCAGTATAAGATACAATGGTAGAAGTTACATTTATAAGTAATGAGAGAAGAATTGAAATTCAGGAATTATCAGTTTGATCAAACTCTTTTTTAAAGTAATTTCTCCTATTTTATTTCATTTAGGTTTAATTATTTTTTTATTTCATCATATTATGGAGATACAAATATTGTTAACTCTTGAAAGTAATGTTGAAGAAATTAGTGGAGAGGAAAAAGTAGAGCTAATATCAAGATGTATAAAAGAGTAAAGGGAAACAAGCATTCGCCTTATTGATAAAGTTTTAACCACAGCATTTGTTTTCCCAGGCAGAAAACTCTCTTCCAAATGTAATGGAGTCTGCTTTTTATTTTGAACAAGCTGGAATTGGTTTGGGCACAGATGAGACTTACCGCATATTTCTTGCCCTCAAGCAGCTTACTGACACCCACCCAATCCAAAGATGCCGCTTCTGGGGCAAGATCTTGGGTCTGGAAAAGAATTATATTGTAGCTGAAGTGGAATTTCGTGAGGGGGAAGATGAAGAGGAGGTTGAAGAGGAAGATGTAGCTGAGGAGAGGGACAATGGAGAAAGTGAAGCTGATGAAGATGAGGAAGATGAACTACCAAAGTCCTTTTACAAGGCCCCACAGGCTATACCAAAAGAAGAAAGTAGGACAGGTGCCAACAAATATGTCTATTTTGTTTGCAATGAACCAGGAACATCATGGGTGAAGTTACCGTCAGTTACACCTGCACAAATTGTTATTGCAAGAAAAATCAAGAAATTTTTCACTGGGCAATTGGATGCTCCCATCATAAGCTACCCACCATTCCCAGGAAATGAGAGCAATTACTTACGAGCACAAATTGCCCGAATTTCAGCAGGAACCCACATCAGTCCTCTAGGATTCTATCAGTTTGGTGAAGAGGAAGGAGAGGAAGAGGAAGAGGTAGAAGGTGGACGAGATAGCTTTGAGGAAAACACAGATTTTGAAGGCATCCAAGTGATTGATCTAGTTGAATCCTTATCCAATTGGGTTCATCATGTACAGCATATTCTCCCTCAGGTATGGGTTTTGTGATTCTCAAACTATAAGCTAATTAGCAAATGTTTATTAAATTGTCCCTACCTTGCATAAAGCTATGCAAAATGAAGGCCTTGAGACTCTAGAGAAAGAGATCATTGAAAAGATAGGTAACGGCTGGATGTGGTGGCTCACTGTAATCCTAGCACTTTGGGAGGCCGAAGCAGGAGGATCACTTGAGGCCAGGAGTTTGAGACCAGCCTGGGCAAAATAGCTAGACCTTCTGTCTACAAAAAATAGAAAAACTAGCCTGGCATGGTTGTGTGCACCTGTAGTCCCGGGTAATCAGGAGGATGAGGCAGGAGGATCGTTTGAGCCCAGGAATATGAGGTTTCAGTGAACTATGATGATGCTACTACACTCTAGCCTGGGTGACAGGGAGACTTTGTCTTGAAAACAAAACAAAACAAAACACAGAGTACTATGTAATTGCCAGGGCCCCAGGAATCTTCAAACATTTTTTTTTATATTTTCAGATGGAAATAAAGCAAATACTTCTGTGGAGTATTTGACAATTGATGTATCGATTTAGATTGATGTGTTCAGAAATTATTCTATTTTTTATATATTGAATACAGATGAGTACATCAATTTTGAAAATAGTTCTTTTATTCTATCTCTATAAAATATGGCAATTTTATGCCAAGAATAATAAAAGAGTATAACAAAAACAAAAAAGAAGCAGACAGTGATATATAGCAACTATATATAGCACCAGGTGCTGTTAATAGCATATATATAATTTAATCCTGGCAACAACCCTATGAAAGAGTTGATATTTCCATTTGAAAATATAAAAAAATGTTTGAAGATTCCTGGGGCCCTGGCAATTACATAGTACTCTGGGTTTTGTTTTGCTATTTTACAAATGAGAAAATTGAAACAGAGAGCTTAGAAATGTGACAAGGGGAATATAGCTAATAAGTGACAGAATCAGATATGAGGTTGTGCAGAATGGACCCAGAGTCCATCCTCTTAACCTCTCTGCTATACTGACTCACCCACAGGTAGAACATCTTCATCATACTTTTATCTAGATAAGATATAATCTTAATTATCTCTATATAAGAGTTAATTAAATCAGAAATTATTAATATAAACTTCAAACCTTCATACATAACTTTATTACCACATTTACAATTTTATTGTTAAGCATTATCATCATCATAGCTTTACCTCTTTCATGTAATTTATTACAAGCCAGCAAAATGCATTATTACCTTTTTCACTAAGTTTCTGCTAATTTTAAAATATAACTGAACACTCAAGTTCTGTAACTTCAAGAAGTTGGTAAATTCTTGAAATAAATAATACAGTCTTTTCCTTGAAGGAAGCTAGATCAATATAGCACTTGGAAAATAAGGCATGTTAAATGAACCAAATGAATAATTGATGAAATATGTACACAGTGAACCCCATCCTGATAATCGCTTCAATATAAATGAATAAATCATGCAAAATTCATTCCTAGGGTCGCTGTAATTGGTTCAACCCTATACAAAAAAATGAAGAGGAAGAAGAGGAAGAAGATGAAGAAAAAGAGGAAGAAAAAGGAGAAGAACCTGAGTTTATAGAACCAGAAGTGGGGCCTCCTCTTTTGACACCAATCTCTGAAGATTTAGGTTATTTTACATAGCTATTATCACATACAAATACACAAACTATATAATATACTATATACATTATATAGGAAATATAGGAGAGTTATAAACCTCTAAAACGTGGACAGGAGCCAAGGTTTCATCCCTTTCCCCCTTTGTGTGTTCTGGGATGATGGGGAGTAAAGAATGTAGTTGGCACGCCAATATTCTCTGACAAAGTTGAAGGAGTGATGCAAACAAGAAACATAAGTTGGCTGCCTCTTATTGAAAATGCTGACAGTTGTGTATCATTCTTGTCTTGCATTCTACATCATAAACAAACTACATAATTATATTAAAATACCATATATGGTACTTTTTAAAAAATCTACTTTGGGCCCTATATTCTTGTTTTTTCCCTTTCAGTTTTGGAGTATATATGCTTATAACCCTTTATCTTTTTAATAATAATGATTTGAACTTTCATTTGGTCATCAAATATTACTCCCTTTACCACATAAGCCTCCTCTTCCTTAATAAAGTCTTGTCTCTGTTGCAAAAATGGAGATATTTCAAATTTCATTGTTCTAAAACATTCATCAAATATCCTTGACTTAGCTTCTAATATTTTAATTTTCTTTCTATATCAAATGTGTATGTGTGTGTATATGAAGATTTATTAATATAAAAATAGCTTCTCTGTTGCACAGTAGATTCTTGTCTATTTAGGAGTTAAGATTTTGAATTTCTCTTTGGGTTGCAGAAATTCAAAATATACCCCCTTGGACAACACGATTATCCTCAAATCTTGTTCCACAATATGCTATTGCAGTCCTTCGATCCAACCGTTGGCCTGGAGCATATGCCTTTTCCAATGGCAAGTAAGTATCTGACCACCTACAAAACCATGATTGTGACTATTTAAGCTATGGAAATTATGAATTATCACTGGAATGTTAAGCTGCTATTGTTTCAACTCATCTTTGGCGTATTAGGTATGTGCCATAAGATTAACATAACATTTGTATTATACAGTAAAGTGTCACATTCAGGACATTAGAGTAATTCAGACCTCTGCTCCTTCATCGTAATTATCCAATTAATCAAAATAAGACATAATTTTTCATCTGTGATTATTTGGGTAATTGACTTCATCATTCAATAGATGAATGGAGGCAATTCTAAGCAATGTTTAGTTTAAATCTCAGGTAATTTTTGTTGGACATCTCTATAAAAGATAATTAAAAATTTGCTTTATTTAGGCTATCACTTTCAAAGGAATTAAGACCTAAAGAGGAAACTAAAAATCCTTTTATCCCTCACTTATAACATACATTTCCATTTATGGTTCTTATGGTTTCATTTTTTCCCTAAATAATCCAGTGTCAGAAGCTCAGCTGAGCTGGAGAGAGAGCTGAGTTGCCAGAGCAGCCATTAAAGCAACAAGCCAAAAATGAGAGTTAAGTCTTTAATCATTTGCTGTAATAGTATAAGAAAAAGCATTGACTTCCCCATCTCATTTTCCCCCATGGAATGGCCCACTGGTGGAGAGTTGGGTGGGTCACCACAGATGCAGATATCATAGATATGGAGTCATGGGGGTCATCTCATTGACAAGGGAGTCCCCAAACAAAAGGCTTCTCCAGTTTTCTGGACCCGGAGGCTAGGAGGAGGGTGTGAGGGCTAGAAATAGAAAATTACTGAGTACAGAGAGTGGGGAAAATAAATGCCAGAAGGCCTCTCCTAAAGAGACCTAGAAATGAGGGCACCTGGGCTAGGAATACAAATATATGAAGAGCACGGCCAGCCAGAGGGGCCAGCGTCCTTGACAGCAGTTTCCCTTAGAGACAGCAATGCATTGGCAGTGCACCAAGTCTGGTGGGGAAGGGCATCTTTCCCTGGGTGAGGCCTGCCAGGTAAGGTCTTTGAAGTTGCCTATGGTTGTGCCTGAAAAATAACACATAGGTTTTAAACCACAAGTCCAACTCCTCACCCAGCCAAGAATTTGCTGGGTTAGCAATTTCTTAAAATCTAACTTTATGAAAGATAGTAACTTCTGTTTTCCTGAAAATAACTGAATAAAAAAAGGCCTTTACTTGTGGTCTAGTTGTAGGATAGCTTTTGACAGTGTCTGGCCCAGTGGTTTTCTTAACCAGCTTAAGTGGTTCAGATCAAAATAATTCTTAGGTAGAACCATTGGGAAATATTTCACAGTTAGCATTTAAAATTTTTTTAATGGGACGATAATATTCTAAGCACTTTATTACAGAAGAGTCAACTTTTCTAACTGAGAAATTATATGATTTTTTTTTATAGAAAGTTTGAAAATCTCTACATAGGCTGGGGTAATAAGTATAGTCCAGACAATTATACACCCCCATTTCCACCACCAGTTTATCAAGAATACCCCAGTGGACCAGAAATTACAGAAATGGATGACCCTAGTGTGGAAGAGGAGCAGGCTTTCAGGGCTGCACAAGAAGCAGTTGTACTTGCAGCTGAGAAGAATGAAGAAACCGAGGAAGATGAAGATGATGAAGATGATTATGACTAAGAAAATCAGCCTGGTCTTATGTGGCACTGATATACACTTCCTTATGTGGGACTGATTTTATATGTGTGTGTATGTGTATATACACACATACAGGAAATTATTCATCTGCAAAATGTCATTCCTTAAAAATACACAACTTGGAACTGCATGTGTATAACTATTCGTGTTTATAGAAAGATGCTCAATAGATTTTCTGGAGGCTAAATGAGAAGCAATCACACTGCTCTAATGGTCATGGCTAATGTGCTTATGTATTCTTGTTTTAAAAAGTTCTGAGGTTTAAGTTCTAATATGGCAAATATTGAAAGATATAACACAGAGAAGCTTCTTGGAAACTTTAATACTTTTTAAAAAGTGTCAAGGGGTATAAAGACCAAAAAAAAAAAAAAAAACTGCACAAAATAAAAACCACCTGACAACCACTGAACTAGAGCATGTATTCTTAACCTTTGTAAGAAGTGAACCAGAACATGTATTCTTAAGCCTGTGTAATTGCCTATGGTTGGGTCTGTGATCCTGTGTGCAAGTACTGCGTATGTGTATTCATTTTTCACCCAGAAAGTGATCATAATTCCATCACCTGCTCAAACACTATAAGAAAATTTTTTAATCCTTTTGTTACTTTACTCTCTCAATCTGACTCCTTCATCCTACATAAATTGATTTGAACTGATTGGGGATTGAGGAAAAATAATTTGCACAGATATGGTTAGTTGGAATATAGAGACTTCAGATTAAATTTCCACCACTGTTTCCCTAAAACATAATTATCCTTCACTAAAAAAAAAGTATCTTTAAGTCCTATATGTACCAAACATGCAGCCATGAATAAAAACTAGGCACTGCTCCTGAAATCAGAGCTTTCATTCAAAAAAGGAATATAAAAAGATAAATAGAATATTAGAATACATTGCAATTTAGCAAGTACTATGATACAAATATTACAGGGTACCACAGAACAGTGGTAATTCTGTGGTAAAGAACTAATTTTTAAAAATTCCAATCCATTGCTGTTATTTGTGTAAAATAAAATGACACAGCGGTTCTCAATTTCTGCACTTACCTTCTCACAGACTGTTTGCAGATCACCAAGCTACACTTTGAGTAACATTACCAAGCGTGCGGTAGGTGTGCTTAATCCAGATTTAAACAGGTCAGGAAGCTATAGGGGAAAGGTTCTAAGCAGCACTAGCTACATTTTGGCAAAAGATTTTTGTCTGGAAAGAATGAAACTTCCTCTGAAGAGTGAGCCTGGCGAGGTAAGCAGAAGCCAGATTGTATAGGAAGTCTGGATTTTACCCATAATGAAAAAAAAAACACAAAACAACTAGAAAGTCACACAAACATATTTGTATTTTAGAACGTTTTTGGCTTAAGTGCGGAAAGGACGACAAAAGAATCAACACTTGGGACAGGGAGACCAGTTAGGAGGTTATCACATTATCTAGTAAGAGATATTGCCCGAATGAAAAGAGTATAACTGCATGGGGATTATAAAATAGAGAACTGGTTACTAGTCCAAAAGACAGAATATTAGAAGGGTTTCCACAACTCTCCAGTTGGCAATACTATTTCATTCTTGAAATGCAACTTTCGGTCTTTGTTGGAGTACCTAAAATTCACAAAAGTTAATTCAAGTAGGTTCTTGTTCAGTTTTTCATGATATAATAGACACTTGGCTTTTCTTTCTTGTTGCTTAATATCCTTTTCCTCATCTACCCTGATTTCCTTTTGAGGATCTACCTCTGTCCCATTAGATAGTCTCGTGCCAATCAGATGTACTCTCTTTGGAATCTGAATGTTGAGCTGAGACATTACCATGGCTCCTAACCGTATTGCTCCTGCTATAAATGAGAACATGTTCTAGCTTCAAAAATTGCCTTGGTTCCACCCCAGTTCTCTACCTACCCACTGATTGTGAACTTCTGACAATCTTTTAACGAATTTCCTCCTGTTTATATTGGCCAGAGTAAGATTCTTGCTTGTAATCACACATGGCATACCAAACAAGAATTTGAAAGATTCTTTTCCACAGAACACCTTAAACACAGGACTCTAAATCATAGTTGTATAGTGTAAATATTTAATAAAAGCAAATCCATGTTTCTAGAACTATCTTAATCTTATTTCTAAGCAGTGGACAAGTAATTTCATTATATATGTTCTCTAACAAAAGACAGCCAAATAGTGTAACGGTAAGAGCCTGGAAGTGAAATGGCCTAGGTTCACAAACTGGGTCACAATCATTTTTGGGGGGCAAATTACTAACCTCCCAGAACTACAGCTTCCTCATGAGGCTAATGATAGTACTTATCTCACAAAACTATTTTGAAGCTTGAATTCATTAATACATGTAAAATACTAAAAGTACCTAACACAAGGACCTAATATATACTAGCTTATGGCTATAAAACAAGTTTCTGAAACGTGGATAAGAAAAAAACAAAGCCCACAATGTAAACAAGATATTTTATTGAAATAATTACTAAACAATAAAGTTACAGGAGTAATTAACATAAGCATTTTAGAAATTAAATTATATGTTGAGTAGTTAAGAGACTTCATAGATTCGTAAGTTGTTATTAAGGAGTTCAATATCTGAATTGGGAAAAGAAAGCATAATTTTCAACCACGGAAATGCTTAATTCTTCAAGGAATCTTCTCGGCTGTAAAGACTCGAGAAGCTTGTCTCCTGGCCTTGAAAAGGAATTTTAAAAAAACATCAATTATAAGCTAGAAGTCAATTAACTAAAATAGGTATTATCGTTCTACTATAAAAATAAAATCTGGAATTTTTTTCAAGATAATAATGAAAATTCTTAAAGAAAAATTACAATCTCAAACTTATGAAATTAGGAATAAACATTTTAAAAGATAAGCCATAACGAAATTAAATAAATGAAACAGAATGTGTTGCCTTTTTATGAATAATGATCAAAAGTAAAATGCTGGCTCAAAGTCAGAGAGACAGATAAAAAGGCAGAAGAGGGCCAGAAGGAGACAGGGATATGAACAAGGAAACTCATCTCCCTCATTATGGCCTTAAAAATATCACTTCAAAAAGCTTTTCAATGATTGTGCTATTTTCACAACCTGAGTTCCAAATCAAAACATATTAAACCAAGCTGAATTAAAACAAACTAATTAAATCAAGTTGAGAGTAAAGGATGGCATAATAGAAAACTAAGACTGTAGTGAGGTAATTTAATAACTGTGTATCAAACTGTGAAAAAGAGTTGAGAAACATGGTTATTATATAAATTTATATTTATTATTTGACTGAACTGAATTAGAAGATATTTTTTAAAATAAATCCCTTCACCTAAACAAGTGCTCTAACATCTAGAACAGGGTCTGGAATGAGTAGATACTAAAAATATTAATATATTTATGTCAGAAATATGTTATGGTAATTTGAAGACAGCTGCCAGGATAAAAATATTTTTGAAAACCAATCACTCTCTTTGAATAATAGTTGCATGATTATTAACATATCATAACTAATCATAAGTCCAAATATGAAGAATAAAATATAAAATATAATTATAAATAACTACTTCTTGGTACACTGTAAAATACCAAATTTGTTTTTAATACAATTTAAAAAGTCATAGTTATTACTTAGAAGAAAATGGACACTTTAAAACCAAGTTATAAAAACTAACACAAAATAAAAGTCATTATTTTGTCCTTATTTAAAGCTACAAATTTCTGATGGCCTGCAGATCAACCAGTATGTCAATATTTGCTGAATTCCTATAGTATATAAAACACTGTTAAGAAGAACAGAATTATAAGACATAGATGCTAGAAAAAAAACCTGAAAAGAAGGCTTGGAGGTGACATGCAAAAACAATAAGTTATGTTAAATTACTAAGATTACATATTTACGTTTTTCAAAAAGTAGTATCTTTTCAACAATAAATGTGAAATTGTTCATATAGGAGGTGAGCAAACTTCACACTATGAGGCTTTTTTTCCTTACAGAAGAGGCAATATTGGGCAGGGCTTTAGATGCAAATTGCCTAGACTAGAATCGTGACTGCTACTTAGTATCTGTGTAAGGACAGGAATGTAAGGACTTCTTTATGACTCAGCACTCTCATCTGTAACATGGGGTTGTTGTGTGGATTAAATTAGTTAATATATGTAAACTATTTAGGATAGCATCTAGCACAGAATAAGCATTATACAAGTGTTATTTCTATCTATTATTATTATAATCATATTATATTTATTATTCCCTTTCTACCTGGCAGTATTGTACATTGTTAGCCAAGTTATGATTCTTATAAAGACACAGCTACACAGTTCATGGCTCAAAAACAATGAAACAACATGAAATGCACAGTGAAAAGTCATTTTAGTATTCTAACCCTAACAACGACTCAGTTTCCAAAACTAGAAAGATGACAGCTAACTAAAATGTTCAGCTAGAGTCCACAACAATATTTAACCACTCTCAAAAGTTATGTGTATATTGGTGAGCAAGGGTCTTAGTACTTTAAAATAATTTAAATGAACCCCTAACTTTATCTGGCCAAATTAATGATAAGGTGAAAAAAGTGAATGCAATTTTGGTATTTAAGTCCTTGCAAAGAAATCTTTTAATGTATTATAATTAAACTGAATAACCTCTTAAACAATCTTTGCCTTTATATATCATAAGGCTGAAAAGACTACTCTAACTTTATCTCTCATTTCAAAAAATTATAGTCCTTTTCCCCAAGATCCTATTATTCTCCATAACTGGTTCTTTCTAATCTTCTGTCTCTTTTCTCTTTAGAGGAAAATAAATCAATGTGAAGTACTCAAATAGGGGCATTATTTTAAGATTCCAGGGCCTGTGCATTTTCCAGACTTAATGTGCTATCATACAGTTTCAGTTCATACCAACCAAAGGTTTTCCAATTTCTAGAAATTTTTCTATAATATATCGCTCATCACTTAACTGCAAAGGATAAAGACAAGAGGCAACGCTAATGAAGTTAAATTCTGGAACTATGAATATCCCCAAGTACATAAAGTAGAGCTTCAGGAATCATAAGAATCACATTTTAATAATTATAAAACCAGTATGAGGTCTCTTTGGATTAAGTTAGGTTTTCTTACCATACATGTTGTTAGGATTCATCACTCACCTGACATTAAATATTAATTATAAAATTGAATATTTTTTGAAGCTCTAAGTAAATGACAGTCATTAGTTACCATTTCAAATTTAAGGATGCCTATTCTAGAAATTTAAAACCATAAAATGTCTTTGCCAACTTAATGAGATAGAATGAGGTGCTAGGAGATACAAAGGGATAGCACTGATTTTAACTAAAAATTCCAAACTTTAAGTTCAACCTACTCAAGCATTACATAATAAATATTTAGATACTTACAATTTTCTCCTCTGGAGAAAGTGCACCCTCTATTGCCACTATCTGGTATTGCTTATGTTTTAAATTTCCCATAGATTTCCGAAGTTGCTTGAGACTGCTGGCTTCTATGTCTTGCTTTAATAGTTTCTGCATTTCTCCAGAAGGACATCCAGGGTCAAATATTAGTAACCATAACGTTCGGTTTTTTCTCTCTTCAATTCCAACAACTGTTCGACTATGACCTACCAAAAGATTAAAAAAATAGCTATGTCATATTATCTATAGCTATACAGTCTCTCTATATAGTGTAAACACGTGTTTAGAACATAAATCCACATATAGTCTCTCTGACATATATATACCTGAGCTCTCCCACGACACCAGAGTTCAATTCTACTTCAGTTTTATTTTGTTCAATTTTAGTTTTCTAAAGGCTTCATTATAAAAAATTCTGCTTCTACTCTGCCACACTTTTCCTTTCCCAATCCCTTGATTCCTCTTATTCAAATTATCTCAAATGAAAGAATCTAAAATTTACCTATTTATCTATTCTGGAACAAAAACTCTCATGGTTCCAAAGGCAAATAAAAGTAAAATTATATATACTAGAATATCAATGGGGAAAGCTTAATCTCTTATAGCTTATATTCCTAAATAATGAAATTCCTAACATTTACTTCTCTTTATTCCTGTCAATTCAAATTATCAATTCAACAAACTATATTAAGTATCTATGTGCCAGGTACTATTCCAACTAGTAAGATATACAGTAAAAATCAAAATAAACACACTTGTGTTCGTGGAGCTTATATTCGAATAGGAAGAGATACTCTATAAACAAGGTAAATTAAGTGAAGTAAATGCCAGTGGTGGGAGATTAGGATAATGAGCTACACTTTGAAATAAGGTGAGGTCAGAGCAGGCCTCACTTAAGTGGCATCTGGGTAAAGATCTAAGAAAGTAAGGGAAGAACAAAGAAGGAAGGGTAAACCAAAAAAAAAACAAACAAAAAAACCCCAGCAAGTCCAAGGGGCCAGAAGATGCCAGGAGCAAACATCCTTCATTATTCAACAATATATTGTACTAACAAAGTAGGTCTGAAAATCAGACTAATGTCACAATACCTCCCCATTAACCTATCCTAAAGTAATAGATTGTTGTTTTATAAATAACATTGTTATCTATGATTTATACTAACCTTGATGCTGAAGATAGATAGGAGGTTTAGTTGTACACACTACCTTTGGACTTCCTTCCCTCTCTGAAGAATAATAGTTCAATATCCACTCAAATAAGCGAGGGTGTGTACCCAAAGGACCAGTCGACTTGTGAAAATCAACAATACGGCACCTATAAAAAAAATTTGACAAAATGGATTATGTAGAGAATATTTTTATATACTTTAATAGAGTTTTAATAAACAAAAAATTCTCAATTTGGAGCTAATTTTATCTAGTCATTACTTCTCTATGAAGGAAGAAAGAAAACTAATTTTTTATTAACTTTGTTAATTAATTTTGCAGGGAAAGTAATTATTTAAATAACTATTCACAATGCTGATGACTAATCTAGAGGTTGCAAACCTTTTCTGATATATAAACTTTCCATGAATTATAAATGAGGACCACACTTGGTTTTTAAGAAGTCATCTATATATAATCTGGGACACAGTTTTTATTCTAATGTTTAACCCTGATGATCAATGAGAAGCTGACTTATGATTTTAATTCAATAGCCATTTGCATATATCAAAAATATCCTGAATATTTTTCCTGTCAGTTCTCTCAAATTCCAATAACACACAAGAATGCGTGTAAAGATCATCGAAAAATACGTGTGTGCCCACATCTATACATCTCCTATTTAGCAGTGGTATTCTATTTTCAAGTGGAAGTCACCCTTAAATAAACAATTTTTTAACCAGAAGCACTGTATATATCACTAAACCATTATTTTAAAAAGGGTCAAGTATAACCAAAAACATTTAATAGATATTTAAACAGATACCTGTACTTGTCCCTCTTGTACTTTAAACAGATATCTGTACTTGTCCCTCTTGGTGATAAAACACCCAAATTGCAATGGTTGTTAACCCTAGCCTCAGCAAATTTACTGCTGATACCTTGCAATTGATTACTGAGTTTTAAGTGCTCACATGAACTTCTGAATAAATTGTTTAGAAATAGAGTGCTTTTGGGTTAGCAGTTTGCATGTTTACATTTAGAATATGAAATAATACCTACAGAGTATGATTCATATAGAGTGCAAAAGGAAGGCATTTCAAATAACTAGTAAACAAATTCAGGGTATATTAATAACAAAGATTTACTAAACTATTTAAGGTATCAAGAAAAAAGCTGGACATATCAGGCAATTTAAAAGGAAATTTTCCTTTCCTTAAGAATTACTTAAAAGCACAGAACATGATAGACTATATATAACTGAAGGTGTGAACAGATTGGCAAAAAGAAAAAGAAAAAAGCAGAAATAATTTTAGAGGGCATTAAAATAGTTTAAATAATTCAAGAAAGTTACATGCACAATATTATTTTCTGTTTAAAATGGAAGAAATATTTTTACCTCTAAAATAAAGAAAATGGAGGGATCATAATTATCAAACAGGTTACTAAGCACTTTATTATTTTATTTAATTGTTGTTTCAATTCTATAAAGTAGTTCCTATTAATAAGTTCTTTTATCAATGGTGAAATTAGAATACAGACAAGTTAAGTCATTCAGCTAGTAAGTAGGAAAGCTAGTATCAAGTTTAGGCAGTCTGACTCCAAAGCCCAAAGTCTTAACTATGGTACTAACTGAGATCTTACAATTGACAATTCCAGACTCAAAGGGAAGAAGTGTGCAACACAATGAATCAAACCCCACACTCATGGGGAAATTTCATAATATCAGGGCCAAAAGAAAATGCAAAAAAGCCCCAAAAAAAGAGAGAGATAAAAAAAAAAAAAAAAAAAAAAAATGAGAATCAGATGGCACCTTACCTTCTCAACACTAATACTGGTTTACTAGAAGTCAACAGAGTAAAAACTTAATTTGTCTGAAAATGATTTTAGAAATAAAGCCACCCAAACTATCATATAAGTAATAAGGACTAGACACCTTTTCTTAGAAGTTAAGGAAGCAAGTGCTCAAGCAAAAGGGTATAATCCAGAAAAGAGAAAGACATGGAATCCAGAAAAAAATCCAGGTCTCGTTACAAGAAAACAGTGAAGAAATGCTACACAGTAATATCTGTGGAGAGGATCTAGAAGGCCAATAATCCAGATTGGCTCAACTAGGACAGATGGCTCCAAGGAGGTAGTGTCCAGAAATAAGGAGGACTTCAGATGGAATGTTTAGAAAAACGTGGGACAATGATGCAAACAGTAAAAGGGGAAAAGAAAGGCAATTATTAACTCAAGAAAAATGTTTAAAGCTTGTTAGAAAAGGAAATAAAATTAGCAATGAGCAATAATGATGTAATGATGTTTACATCTAATGATGTAAACTCTGACTTTAATAAAAATTGAGATTTAATTATATTTTAATTATATTAAAAGGATTGAAGGTAAGCAGGTGGAAGATTTAAAAAAAACACAATAGATACTATCTAAAACTGATAAAATAAGAAATAGTTATGAAAGAATATTATTTAAAAACAATGGAAGTGACAGTTGCCTGTGAAAAACAGAACTTGAGAACAGACAGGAGCATGAGATAGGGAATAAGTTGCTAGTTTTCATTATAAGCCTTTTAATGCTACTTAATTTTATTTTTTAACTATTTCTTTGATATAAATATAATTTAAAAAAACAAAAAAGCTCCCATATAGGGCAATAATATTTACTTGGGTTTTGGGTACATACTTTATCCTTAGGGAGGTCAGGAGTGTATATACTTCACATGCTCCAATCCAGGCCTTTGTTCCCTGTAACCTGTTATTAAGTTGAGAGGCCCCCTGAGGATCAAAACCTTCCTTCCATGCATCTTCAATCATAGACTGAATTTTTGGAATGCAAGGAATTGACATACCTAAAATCACACAAATAAACATGTTATGTGACAAGTACTAAAGTACTGAAGAATATCATTTAGCAGTACTATTATATACTATAGAGGAACCTACAACACAGTTTTTAAGACAGTTATTCCTGACATCTTCTATCATCTTCTCTTCTTCCAACCAGAATTCAGATTTCTTATGTAAATATCCCTTAACTTTGTTGAAGCTATAATTGTCCCTGCTATATATTAATTCATTCCACATCAAACAAGTTTTATCATATGACAAGTTCAGAGTCATACCTTTCAAGCAATCATCATAAGCATCATTTTGTAGTAACGATGAAAGAAGCATCTGGAAATTTCTGTAACCGCAACCCCAACCTTTGTCACCTAATGATGAATGAAAGTGATCCACCATTGTAGAAAGCCACACATGCCTCACATCTGTGGCAGCATTCTGATAATACCTATGAAGTGCTTCCATAATTCCTAAAGCAGAAAAGAGATATAGAGATTTAGAATGATTTGTTATCATCTTTATATGGCTACCTCATACATTTTTAGTATCAACCTCTACCTCAAGCTACAAATCTAAATCCTGCCAATTCCATCTTCTTCTTTACCTTCTTACTGCTCCAACTTTAGTTCGTGTCCTTGGCTTGTTACTACAATCCAATTTTCCTAACATCAGCATATTACCTGTTACACAGAATTGAAATTGTTTGCATCTTTCACCTCTGCATTTGCAGAGATTTTATTATGTGACAGAACTAAAATTTGAAGTGACTGTCCCAGGAAAAGGGTAAACATATGCACAACCTTTCCATGTTCTAGTCTTCTGATCTGGGTAGAACTGGAAGGCCAGTCACTTGAAGTAGAAAACACAGGCCCATGCTTAGGAAGTGAGTAGTTTTCATAGAGATTTTTGTTTGTTTGTTTTACTACTATCTCTCAAATTTTAAAACAAGGTATTTGGTGAGGACTGTGGATTTTCATGGGTTTGGTGGCAGGGAATATGGAAAGGATACACTGCTAATCTTTTGTCTAACAATAAGTAACAACTGAATGCAAGAAAACAAGCTGTTTGAGCTCACGTGTACACAACACAATTCAGTAATACCCAGGAGGATTCCTGCAGGCTTAAGGAATGGCATCCTATTAATGTGTATTACATTTATTATAAGAGAACATAAAACTTGAGGAAGCAAATTTTCTTTTATTTCTCACCCAACTAAAAGATAAGGAAGGTGAAACACTCACGAGAACAAAACAAATTTTTCCAAATAAGTACATCCATAGTACTGGGTTGGCAGTTAACTCTTTTAGCCTCCTACTAAATACAAGAGAACCTCCACCCTGTCCTGTGTATTTTCTACAGCCTGGGCAGCCTGACAAACATTTCTATGGTAAGGCTACTTGGTAGTGTCAATGGGCTACTTTTTAAACTTCTATTATTATAGCTCAAGCTAGTAAAACTTTATACTTCACTACTGTGCTGCCATTAAAAGCACCATTCGTGCAAAAAAAAAAAAAGAGACAAGAGAATAGAATTAGAATAGGTAATTCATTTAAGAGTAAATTAATTCAGGAGTAATCAGAGAAATGCAAATTAAAACATTTATCATCCCATGACCCACTAAATGGCAAAAATTAAAAAGTATCACCATACGAATTGTAAGAATACACAATGAATGCAGATTACAACTACTATGAAAAACAATTCCATAATAACCCTAACAAAGCTGAAGCTCTGCATTGATCTTTTTTTTATTTTTGAGGCAGAGTCTCACTTTGTTGCTCAGGCTAGACTGAGTGCCGTGGCATCAGCCTAGCTCACAGCAACCTCAAACTCCTGGGCTCAAATGATCCTTCTGCCTCAGCCTCCCGAGTAGCAGGGACTACAGGCATGTGCCACCATGCCCGGCTAATTTTTTTTTGTATAGATATTTTTAGTTGGCCAACTAATTTCTATTTTTAGTAGAGACAGGGTCTCGCTCAGGCTGGTTTCGAACTCCCAACCTTGAGCAATCCGCCTGCCTTGGCCTCCCAGAGTGCTAGGATTATAGGCGTGAGCCACCACGCCAGGCCTGCATTGTCCCTTAACATTTCAGTTCTGGATATAATGCTAGAGAAACTCCTGAAGAAGATCTGTTACTAACTTATCACAGTAAAAAAATGGAAACAACCTAATATCTGGCAATATGAAAAACAGGTAATTTGTATATAATTCATAAAAAGAAATACTAGAGAGCAGCTAAAATGAATGAGTACAGCTGCACAAGCCAATATATTTGAGCAAACAAATTTGCAGCATATATATCCATTTATATGCAGATTAAACACATGTAAATTATATATTTATAGAAATGTACATACACATATGATTAGAGTATTCGAACATGTATGAGACTGATAAATATCAAATTCAAGGTAATATTTTCCTTGTTAGAGAGAAGAATTAGAATCAGAGAAGTTGTACATAAAGGGCTTAAAATACACATAAAATGTTTTATAGCTTTAAAAACTTTTAATATGGCAAAATATTAACATTAAAAAAATCTGGGTGGTGGGAACAAAGCTGTTTCCATATAAATTTCGTTACTACACTAACATATATACAAAGAAAATAATTTTTAAAAATACTCATCACAAAAAAAAGGCATGCTTTGGAGTACAGCAGACCCTACTGTGAATACTGGCTGAGCCAATAACTAACTGGGTAACTTTGCCTTTGGGAAGTCATTTAACCTCTTTAAACATAATGACCTCATCCAGATTATATGACAGTACACAAGAGGATGTTTTTTTTTGAGTTAAATGATACAATGGATATAAAGCTCTTCTTAGTGTCCATAATGTACTGAATGATAAATAGAATAGCAGCTAGCCACTTGTGGCTACTGAGCATTTAAAATATACTTTTTCTAATTGAGATGTGCTGTAAAGTAAAAAATAAAAAATGCATTTTGAAGAATGTATAAAGAATGTAAATTATCTTATTAATTAAAAGATCTCAATATTATTTAATATTGATTACATGTTGAAATAACATCATGAATACATTCAGTTTAAACTATTAAAATTAATTTCACCTGTTTCTTTTTACTCTTTTTAATATGGATTCAAGAAATTTAAAATTATACTGTGTTTCCCTGAAAATAAGACAGGGTCTTATATTTATTTTTCCTCAAGAAGACACCCTAGGGCTTATTTTCAGGGCATGTGTTATTTTCCCCTCAAAGCCTCAGCTTACAGCACACACAGGATCGCTGGGACCTGACAGGGAAAGCCGACCTTGTTGGTGGGGCTGCCCGCACCTTTCCAGTCACCTCTGGGATAGTAGCTGTCACAATGGGGCAGATGAGAAGGGCTGCTCATCTTCTTTACCGCTCTGCGACAAAATGGATGGGTTGTGAAGATACACTGCGTAGCCACGCCCATCACTGGATCTTATTTTTGGGGTAGGGCTTATATTGTGCAAATGCTTAGAAATCCTGCTAGGGCTTATTTTATGGGTAGGTCTTATTTTGGGGGAAACACGGTATGTGAGGCTCATAGTGTATCTCTACTAGACAACACTGGTCTTCTAGACCATCGTTAGTACCCAACAATTTTTAAAAGGTTCATTTTTAAATGTCAAGTAAATTAACATAATATAAAAGAAAATTATCTTTTAAGTGAATTATTTATTGTAAAAACAGAAGTTCAGAAGTTTCAAAACACAATACATTTTAAAAAGATATTTGAACACGGTCTTATGCAAAACTACATAAACCATGGGTCATGAAAATTAAGCAAAATTCAAATGATTTTGATTACTTCAGTGGTATATGCAATATTAAAACTATGATTTTGGTGTACTCACCAGAAGTTTTTGTTTTTCCATCATCAATACCAACTGCTAGCGATTCCATCATATCAACTTTTCTTCTATGAAATTCAGATGGATGCATTCTTCCCCTATTTACTTCTATCTCCATATTTCGCAGTTGCTGCTGTTTGTAGCCTCCAGAATTATCTAAACCATATTGTCTCTATTGAGACATAAAAGACACAAAAAAACCTCACATAACTTTTATGTCCCTGTACCTTGATGAAGATGTAAACTTAACTACAATTTTATTTTAAAATATTTTTGAAACATTTTGGCTTATAGACTTTATATAAGTCAACTTAAAGATTTTTAGGAAACCTAAATCACATACATGCAGATCCCTGACTTAATAATAATCACTTCTCTATAGGCAAACTCTATGGCAAGAGTTCTGAACATATTGTTGATTTTTTCCAGGAAACTTGTCAGTCTTTGTTATTTCCTTCCCAGGCTGGTCCACAAAGGCCTACTTATTTCATAATTCATTCAATCAATCATGACACACAGTAAATGAACTATGTTCTGCACACTGGACTGAGACTCTCAAATTGTATGTAAACAACTAATTCTATCTAAAGAACTAACTTGCAAAGATAAATAACAAACCTCCTTAAATATTGGAAACTTTTTGTATTGATAATGTTCAAAATTACATAAGGCATAGAAGACTTAGGAAAAGCCCATTTTTTTCTTCCTCTGAATCCCGGTGGGAAAATATTTTGCAAGTAAATGAATCATCAGTGAGAAAAAAAATCCTAAATTACATCTTCCAAAGCATATTCCAAGGAAAAATGCACATGTGAGATGTCAAAGAAAAAAAGAGGTCAAATAAGTCTGGGAAAATTATGATACGTACAATGCATGTTAGTATATTAAAGGCTCTGAGAAGTCCTGAAGTATACAAACCTGTTTAATTGAACACTTTCAAAACTACTCAATCATAAACCCTTTTTATTTATACACTATCCTATTAACACATAGAAAAAGAACATTTAAAAACTCTATGAGCAGGCCGGGCGCTGTGGCTCACGCCTGTAATCCTAGCACTTGGGAGGCCGAGGCGGGCGGATTGCTCAAGGTCAGGAGTTCAAAACCAGCCTGAGCAAGAGTGAGACCCCGTCTCTACTATAAATAGAAAGAAATTAATTGGCCAACTGATATATATATAAAAAAATTAGCCGGGCATGGTGGCGCATGCCTGTAGTCCCAGCTACCCGGGAGGCTAAGGCAGAAGGATCACTCGAGCCCAGGAGTTTGAGGTTGCTGTGAGCTAGGACGCCACGGCACTCACTCTAGCCTGGGCAACAAAGCGAGACTCTGTCTCAAAAAAAAAAAAAAAAAACTCTATGAGCATTATTAGCACAGATGATGCTAAGGTCCACAAATCGGGATTGAAAAAAGGAGAAATGGATGTTAAAAATGTAAATGTATTAAAAATATAACAGAAGCCACCAGTTTAGTTCAACAGATACCACCACCCACCTAAGATAAATAAACTCTCAAATATCATCAAGAAGCATTTTCCATTAAAAATGGTTCTTTCTAAATACCTGAAATTGCAATCTGTAAAAGAACTGAAGACTCAGGAGACATTAATTCTAAGTATAAATTTCATTTTCAAGTATCTATACAAACATTTAAATTCCAACTTGGTTTCCTAATTTGCCCCATCAACTTACAGAGGTTTGAATCCAAGCTTTACCACTTAATAGCTGCCTGACCCTGAGCAAGTTACTTAACCATTCTTTGTCTCCATTTCTTCATCTGAAAAAAAAAGAAGGGGGGCTAAAATAACTTCTTTATGTATTTATTATAAAGATTTTTAAGGTATTATATATGAAGTGATTACCCCAGTACCTAATCAGAATGAGTACTCATAAATGGTGGCTGTTATTAACTATAAAATATATATAACAATTTTTTTAACTATAAGGACAAAAATAATAGGCTGGAGTTTTGAAAGCATATTTGAAAAATAGTAACTCTACCAAATCAAAATACATAATTGTTATTAATCTTTGTACCTGTAGCTTCCGAAATTCTTCTCTTTCTTGTCTTGATTCCTCAGATTTCCTCTTTCTGTCTTCTTCTTGTTGAAGCTGGTGAGCCAATTCTAGACCACTAGAACACTGGACTCCATCCATGCCTGTTAAATATTTTTAATGTTCAAGATGAAATAACTACTGTAATCAAAGCTTATTAATTAATACATATTTTAAAAAGAGTAAATGCTATTATTTGTCATTTTTCCATGACCATAATGTCATGGAATCACCAAATCTAGCAAAACTTAAAACTGTTTCTATAAGGAATAACCTCCACATAAAGAACTAATGTTCACTGAGGGTTTAAGCTATGACATTTTCATTAATTATCTCATTTTATCTTCATGACAACCCTAAGAAGTAAGTATTATTATTTGCTGAGGAAATCAGAATTTAAAGAGGTTAAATAACACCCTTCATTGATGCCTCTTAACACAACTAACGCAGACTGATTTTTCAAAGAAATACTAGGGGAGAAAATGAAAATAATAGAAAACATAAAAATGTATGCTTACAAAGTACAAGTGTTAGATAACTTAATTACAGTTTGGACCCAAACAAATGGTACAACTTTGTAACATCTTGCCCTGCTTCCTCTCTACCCAGTGTCTACCAGATCCATTAGTCAGTAGCTGGCCAGTATCTTGTCTCCCTAACTCCACAACCTGATGGTTAAATTATGTTACTAAATATTCCTTCTTTTCTTTCAAGCCTCTCAACAACTGCTTTGGTCTCCCCTTCTTTCTATTTGGTCCCCACTTCCATTCCTGGGATATATAATTCACAAATGATTTTTAGTATACCCTGATGCTATCTACAGTGATTTACTGAGATGGTATCTTTCTCGCATTACCTACTATGGGCTTACAGCATAATATATGTACCTATACAAAGCCTATCATAAAGAGTGAGAATTATCAGATATACAGCTTCAACAGGGTTATCTATCTTTCCACAGTACTATCTTGCAATCTTGTCCACAGGAAGATAAGTCACTGGAATAGTTAGTAGAAAACCACCAGAATAGAGAACTATTCTCAGCTAGGGGTTAGGCTGAGTGAACAGGTAATGCTGTCCATGGAGATCACTGATATGTAGTAGGGTCATTGATACTGGACACTAAAGATCCCTGCATTATTAGGAGCTATCTATGTACCTTAAGAAACTATAATAGGGTAGAACACAATTGTTTTCTCTCAGGGTCCACTTTATATTTTCTTTTAGTGGGTTTGTAAAACTTACATAGGATCTTTCCACTTATAAGGCATCATAATGAATGATTAATTAAGCAATGCCACTATTAAAAAACACATGGGACAAAGGAAACTTTTAGAAGAGTCACTAAAAAAACCAATAAGTAATTTTGGAAGCTGGAGTAAACAGCTAGAAATATACTGAAAGACATTTTGGTTATATAGTTCATATTCATTTTAAACTCATATGTACCATACAGCAGTTTCTAGTTTAACAATTTTTGTTGACCAAATGCTAAAATCAATTACTTCTAGCTGCTAAAGGAATGGCCTCAACTTGTAAATATAACATTTTTTAAATTGCATAATATTTGAAATCATTATCTTAAATGTTTGTACCCACTAAATATTGGTGCTCTGGGGCAAAACCCAGGATGCACAGTCCTGGTTTGGATGCTCGTCAAATAGTTTATCCCTTACAACTTTTCTGTGAAACAATTTATAAAGAAAAAGTTGCAACTAGATAAGGAACAGATTCACTCTTAAAATAGTAAGGGGTTTGTTTTGTTTTGTTTTGTTTTTTTGAGACAGAATCTCGCTTTGTTGTACAGGCTGGAGTGAGTGCCGTGGCATCAGCCTCGCTCACAGCAACCTCAAACTCCTAGGCTCAAGCAATCCTGCTGCCTCAGCCTCCTGAGTAGCTGGCACTACAGGCATGCGCCACCATGCCCAGCTCATTTCTTCTATATGTATTAGTTGGCCAATTAATGTCTTTCTATTTATAGTAGAGACGGGGTCTCACTCTTGCTCAGGCTGGTTTTGAACTCCTGACCTTGATCAATCCGCCCACCTCAGCCTCCCAGAGTGCTAGGATTTCAGGCGTGAGCCACCGTGCCCGGCCAATAGTATGGTTTTTTTTTTCCTGTATCAGAATCTAAAAATCAGTATGTGTCCTAGGAAGTAGAAATTAAATCACAACATATTCATCTTTAAACATATAAACATACCTTGTTGAAAGGCGTTTTCTTCTAAATGCAAGTCAACATGTTCCTGGAGAATATGGTAATTTGTACATATGAGCCCACACATAGGGCAGTCATAGAGTGGTTGATCACAGTCTGTATAAGAGACATAATAAAGTAGATTTTATTTTTTAAACTTTTATATTTTTCATCCCATGTCAAAAATTGTCTACAACCTTTTAACCTATAAAAATAAGAGCTTTTTATAGTTGGATTTAAAAGTTATTTCTCCATGTCTAGGGTCAAGATGAAAGACTGAACATAGCACAAACCTCACTTATCATTCAAAAAAAAAAAGGAAATATTAACAATAAACATTCAGATCTGTAGCCAAAACAAGAAAAGTAGGAAAGAAAACCAAAATGGAAAGTAGGCGCCAGTTTGGATACATGTTTTTAGAGCTAAATTCTCAGCACTTCCCAAAATGAGTGGTGGTAAGGTGCTGAACTTTAACATCTAGCATAAAGCTGGGAATTGGGACCATACTGACTATCTCAGAGCACAGATTAAGGAGATGTATCTACCAGATAGCACCATAACCAGATAGGTCCAGCTTGCCAATAACAGAAGCAGCAGAACCTCTGCAAGACCAAGGCCTAGCAGATAACAGGCACAGAAGAGGGACACAGAATTGTGCATATACAGAGTGAAAGCACTAAGCAATCCATACTAACAGGCCTTCTCTGGAAGTGGAGACACAACAGCCAAGGTAAAGGAATTATGAAACTGCTTCACTGGGAGGAATCATGAGCGAAAACTCCCATAACAGATGAATACTAAAATTTGAATTGCAAAACACATTGGGAGAGCTAATGCCAAGAAAAACAGTCCCCAAATCCACAAACTGAAGAAGTCACTTATGAAGAAATGGAGCTAACAGTAATTTATAAAGGATTATAAAATAAGTATGTTTCAAATAGTCACTGAAATAAAGGAGAAACTGAATCTTTGAAACCAGGACAGAAAGCTATGAAACAGAAACAGAAAGGTAAAAAAACAGAAATGTTAAAAATAAATGATATAGGCCGGGCGCTGTGGCTCACGCCTGTAATCCTAGCACTCTGGGAGGCCGAGGCGGGCGGATTACTTGAGGTTGGGAGTTCGAAACCAGCCTGAACGAGACCCCGTCTCTACTGAAAATAGAAAGATATTAATTGACCAACTAAAAATATATATACAAAAAATTAACCGGGCATGGTGGTGCATGCCTGTAGTCCCAGCTACTTGGGAGGCTGAGGCAGGAGGATCGCTTGAGCCCAGGAGTTTGAGGTTGCTGTGAGCTAGGCGATACCACGGCACTCACTCTAGCCAGGGCAACAAAGTGAGGCTCTGTCTCAAAAATAAATAAATAAATGAATGAATGAATGAATGAATGATATAATCATTGAAATAAAAAAATTCAATGGCAAAACTCAAGAGAAAAGGAAGTATCTAAAAGTATTCAGAAAATATTTCCAAAAGCAGCACGAAGAGATAAAGGTATAAGTAATGCTGCAGAATATAAGAGAGGACTTTCAGCTAGTTCTCTACCATAAAATGCCTCAGAGTTGGCCAAGGAGGCCTTTGTTCATCTCTTTGATCATCACACTACTGCAAGCCAATCCCTCCATCTATTCTAGTTTGAAGTGATCACCAACCTTCCTTAACACTGAACCATTGCACCTTATATCCCTGTATACTTTCTTTACCACCAGAAGTCTAATAAGCTTCATAGGTTAGCCATTATCATTCAATGGAGTCATCCAGGGCTGACTTAACCACCAACACTGTTCTGAGACAGTTAATCTATTCTAACTGGTTATTGGCTATGTCTTAACAGTCTTTCAATATTTGAAGTACATCCACAAATCTGACCCAACCTATCACCCATCCCAACTTCCCAAGGCCTACTACCTCATCCTCCAGAAATCACTGTTTATTATCAGTCAGCCTCTTTATATCCACAATCTTTCTCTAAATATTCACTTAACTTTCTTGCCTTAACTGAAATCTGGTTGGCCCACGAGACCCCATTTTTCCTATTGCCCCCAACACCCAGGCAATTCTTCGTCCATAATTCAGGGTCCTAGAAGCAGAAAAGGTATCCTTCTTTGCTCCATTTCATCACTGTTAAACCAGTTTTTTTCCTACCTTTTTGAAAGTGCCATCTTTTTACTAACTCATGTTACCAGAATATATAACATCCCATACTTTTCTTAGTGGCTAACATTTTCTTAAATCCTACATACTTCCTTTCATTTACTACAGATTTTGACACCTGGACCAAAATCTTCTTTTTCTAGCCCTTATACTGTGATCATTCTTAGCAACTTCAATATCCATGGGGATGGTTCTTTGCCTTCACTTCCGATAATCTTGTTCTTCACACTAATTTAGCCACTGAATGGCATAATCATAACCTTGATTTGTCAGCACCAATAACTGACCACTTTTGAAATCTCAATTTCAAACACCCCACTTCTAACTACCTATCCTTCCACCTCACTTCTTTTAATTTAACCACACTAAAGTCTTTGCCCTAATTAAAAGCACCGATATAGAATATAAAGGCCTATTTTTTGTCATTCATCACCTCTCTCATGTTCCTATTTACTAGATTCCATGCATCCTCTACATCAGGGGTCCTCAACTTTTTGAACAGAGGGCCAGTTCACTGTCCCTCAGACGGTTGGAGAGTGTGGCGCACATTCCAAACATGTGCACTGTGGGCCTGGAATGACAGTCAGCTGCTAAGCAGGACAGGCAGTGGCAGCAAAAACACCCGGCGGGCCTGGCCAGAGAAATGTCGCATGTGGCCCACAGGCTGTAGTTTGAGGACGCCTACTCTAAATGATAATCATTCCTTTAAATTACCTGCAAACTCACCTAATCCATTTGTTGTCACTAAAAGTTGGTTAAATCTAGCTATCTACCCATTCTACTTCTATACGTCTAATGACATCCAGATCTTTTTTGACACACCCAAATATATGGACTCATAAGACTACCATAAGCCACACTTGACAACAGTTTACTGAGAAACTTACAGGCAACAGTGCATCAGTGGAATGTGTCTGGCATTTCTCATCAATGGGAATCCTTGCAGCAGTCCATAAAATTTTCATTATTAGCAGAGAATAAAATCATGTACTTAGAACACTCAAGGTAATCAATGGACAACTACTAAAATTACTAAGGGTTGAATAAGACTAGATACCTTACCTATATAAAAAAAAATTGATAATGCTTCTATAATCCTGCAAAAGTTAATTAAGGGGAAAAAAATCTCATTTACAAAAGCAATACAAACTATAATCTACACAGGAATAAAATGAACACAAATGTACAATGAAAACCAACACAAAATTTTATTGAGGAATTTAAAAAGATGGCCTGAATTCAGAGGTGTACCTTGATCTAATTTCAAACAAAATTCCAACAGAATTTTCACGAAACTTGACAAAATGGTTCTAAAACTCAAAGACCTAATGAAAAGGTGTAAGTTGACAATGAAAATGAAGAATGAGGGAAGTATTATCCTATCTGGTGTTGATGACATGTTACAAAATTATAATTTTTACAATGGTTCGATAATAAGAAAACAATAGCCAAGCAGACAAATAAAGCAGAACTAAAAGACTTACCCATCTAAATATGAAAACTTAATAAAAGATAAAGTATTATAATCACTGGTAAACCTGGTCCATACAGGAAAAAACTAAAAATTAGTTTTTTAGTTCACACAATACACATAATACACACACAAACACACACAAGCCAGTTGGAATAAAAAAGAAATGTGAAGAAAAAAATATAAAACATTAAAATTTTTAGAATAAAATAAGAGAATACCTTTTTGATGTCAGGGTACAGAATACTTTTTTAGACAATACACAGAAAACAAACATAAACAAAATTTAAATCCTGCACAAAATTAAAGAATAATCAATAGCAGATGGCATACAGTCGAAGTCAAGGATTAGTACTGAGAATATACTTAAAAAGCCACTGAGGAAGACAACTCAATAGAAAATTAGATAATAAATACAGTTGGAAAATGCACATAACTTAATAGAAACACATACAAAAAATACAGAATGCTACTTCACAATAAAGGAAATTAAAATAACTATGTGAAAAAGATACTTATTTCACTAAGAATAAGGGAAATACATTAAAAAAAGAATCCACACACTGACTTTTTATCTTTTACAAAAATTCAAATGGATTGTAGATCTAAACGTAAAATGCAAAACTATCAAATTTTTATTTAGAAGTTGGCAATAAGTTTTTACGTACAACACCAAAAGTGTGATCCATGAAAGAATTAAGCTGCACTTCATTAAAATTAAAAACGTCTATTCCACAAAAGTCACTGTTAAGACAATGAAAAGATAACTCAGAATGGGAGAAAATACAACATACTTCTCTGATAAAGAACTTGTATTCAAAATAAAGAATTCTTAAAGCTCAAAAAAAGAAAAAAAATAAGATCCTAAATGTGTATATACCAATAACAGAGCCTCAAAATACATAAAGCAAAAAATTTGACAGAGCTTAAAGGAAAAGCAGATAAATTTACAGTTAAAATCAGGGATTTCAACAACCTATTCTCAAAAATTGGTAGAACTACTAGTCAGCACTAGCAGGAAATCAGCAAGGGTATATATAATCTGAACACAAACAAGAGGAGCTAACTGACATATATAGAACACTCCACCCAACAAAGCACAATACACTTTAAGTGCCAAAAAAACATGTACCAAGATAGACCAGATCTTGAACTATAACACATATCTCAACACATTTTAAAAAAACAAATATTGTACAGAATGTGTTCTCTAATTATAATGGAGTCAAACTAGAACTCAGTAAACAGTCTAGGACAGTCCAGATGCCATTGAGCTGGTGGAAATAAAAAGAATACTCTCTAGAAACTGGACAGAAAGGTTTCAAATTCACTCTCAATATAGCTGAAACACCTTATATCTACATCAAAATTCTTTCTCATAATTGTATTTTTATATTGCAATAATGGCAAATGAACAATGTTATAGACATAAAATAGAATAATGCAGTAATCTGACTTACAAACCAGCTTTTAGGACCAGGTATTAAATTGAGACTACTGTTACTTTTAATAATTTGTAATAAAATGAACACTTTACCTTCTAATGGATTGTCTAAAAGATTGGCATGCTTTGTTTTCACGTGAGTTTCCATATCTTGACTACAATCCTCTATTTTTCCACAGAATGGACATTCGGGAAGACTATATACTGTTTCATAAATCGATCCTTTTCTTTCAGTTAGGCCAGACTGTTCTTCCTTACTTTTCAGGAATTTTCTAGATTCAGTTAAGTTCTCTGCATAAAAGGCTTCATGTTTTAAATTACTATCCTTAGGCAGGCTTTGAGCTGAATTTTTCATATGATTAGATGCACAAGCTGAATGAATACTTGAATTAACTTCTATTCTACACTGTAGGGTGTCGTCCTTTTTGCGATCTGAAGTTCCATATTGTATTGTATTTATCCTCTCAAAGTTTCTTTCCAGTGTATTGTGCTCAAAATGAGCAGTTTCAATATGAAAACACATTTCATCATAATTCACACCTGACAACTTGCAAAATGGACATACAACTTCATTTTCCATGTGAACAATTAGTAGATGAGCCTTCATGTCCGATTCTGAGGATACTGTTTCACCACAAATATCACAGGAGAGCATGGTATGTCAGGTAGCTAGAAAAGAACAAAACATTATTTTAAGTTTCAAAGAATTGAATAAAAACTCATTTCATAAAAAGATTTGAGACAATTATTTAGTATTTAATGCTAGGTTATTTAGATGAAGCAATTTTCAATATTTACCATTGCTCACGTATACAAACTTATTTATAAATCTCAACCAAAATTTCAGGTTTCTGGTTTCAAATGAAGGCGATAATGTAAACAAATAATTTTAAGAAAACGTAACATTTAAAAAATTGTCCATTACAGTTTAGGATAGAGACTTAGTTAAAAAAAAAAAAAAAAAAAATTGTCCAGGTAAGATAAGTCTAGTAAAAGAAAACAAAGAGAAGAAACCTGTTTATCAACTGATGCATCTAAACACAGAACATTAAAGTTGATTATAATGGTGATGGTAAATAAACACATCTCTAATAAAAGGAGTTAACACTTAAACAGCTTTATATGTATACAACTAATTTAAGTACTACTGTTAGAGTAAAAGATTAGAAGACAAGGCTGGGACAAATGCAGAGGCTTGCAGATTGGGTGCAGGTGTTAACCCTCAAGCAGAAGCTAACTAGAGGGTCTGATAACCAGAACAAGAACCAGCTTCAAATGGCTTGTCAGCTATCTCTGCTACCTTACATGAACTTTGGCTAATTATAATATCATTTCCATCGTGATTTCAAAGTTTCTATGCTCCTGAAATCACTATGACAGTTTCCAGACAACTATATAAAGTATGAAAATGGGAGGGAACCTAATCCTAGAAATGACTACCCAAATTTTTAGTAAAAGCCAATCCTTTAGTCTTAAATATTCCTCCCCTCAAGTAGTACAACTACAAAAAATCTAAAATCACTTCCTCCCAGTACAGCAGCTCTTTCCTGAGAGTATACTTTTGTTTTCAACAAAAAGGTCTCCTTGCTTGGCTTACATGATGTCCTGAAATTCTCTTCTCCCAGTGTTCACAAAAAACCTGGAAGAACCTCCACTCAGAGGCAGGTAACACTATTATCATTCTACACATAGGGAAACCTTGGCTCAGGCAGGTCACCACAGCCAGAAAACAGTGGAAGCCAAAATGCTAACCCAGCCATGCTCCATAGCCTGTACTCTCACCCCAAAGTCAAAAAGCGGAGGCGGCATGGTAGAAAAGAACACTTATTCCAGAGTCGAGAGAACTGGGTTAAAATATCAGGTTTCATCATTTTTTATAAGACATCTCATCTCTTTGAGGCTCAATCAGTAAAATTAGTTATACTAGATCAGTAGTCACTTTTGGATTTTATGGACTAAGGAAGTACTGGCTACTGACACAAAGGTAATGTTAAAAAATGATTTTTCTAAAAGCAGTCACCGCCACCACCTTTCTACTACACACCAGCGTTCAGCTAAGAACTATTTAAAGACAAACAGGAAAAGAAAAAGAATGACACTATTTCCTTCGTTTGAACAAATTTATCTTTACAACACCTCCCTACATTGTCTTCGTTTCTCATTTCTCTCCAGTAAGTGTTAGAAGGAAGTTCTCCCGATACCCCATCCCCAGCGGGGAATAACGTCACACCCAGAGTTTCTTCTCTTCCGGTGGCTGGGACGTGGCCAAATACCGGATACACTTACATATGGACTCAGAAGGAGCGGGAGAGAGACATAAGCAGCCTGGTGGCAGGTGCCGGGCTGGGTACGTGCTAGGGGAGGCGGTCGGTAAGGGCCGCAATGTCACAAAACCGAGTCTGCTCCAACAGCCAGAGCCAAAACACAAAACCAGCCCAGAAACTAAGTCAAAGCTTTAGGCGGAGGAATAAGGAATGCAACCGTCAGTTCTTACCCGCCCGGAAAGGAGGCAGCTGCCGCACTGAGCTCCGCTCGGCTTTCTCTTCGGTCCTCGCTGAAGAGTGCACGCGCGGCATCCAATACCTCTCCCAGCCAGGCCCTCCCAAGTACCAGAGAGTCACAGTTAACCAAGAAAATAATCAGGGACTCCAAGAAATCTTTCGCCTCAGTACCGCATTCAAAAGAGCACTTCCTTGGTCTTCCGGAAGGGAAGGAATCCCAGCATGCCCCGCTCCACGCCAATCTCGGATGTAGTGCATTCTGGGAGACGTAGTCATTTTTACATCCCTCCCTTTCCCAATTTTTTTTTCCTCCTCCCATCTGGGTTCCAATCCCTGATTTGCGAGGAGAGAAAACTAGACTCTGAGGTCTTGAAGACTCAATCTGAGTAAGTTTATACGGCGGGTCCTAGGGCAAGCACGAGTCTGCCTTACTCTGTCTATGGCCTCCTGAATAGCACTCTATTCTATTAGTAGTATTACTAAAATGTTTATAATTCAGGGTATCAAATTACAAACTATACTCTGCAGATGGAAGATAGGTAAGATAGGTTTTTCCTTGCAGTTACAAGATCACAGATATTTTTGTCATTCAGCCCTTATTTAATTCCACAAATATTTAAAGAGTGTTTATTAGAAAAGCATTCTGTTTGGAAAAGGAGCTGCTACAGTAGTACACAAAATCCATGACATTTGAAGCTGACATTCTTATGAGGCGGAGAAAATAAAAAGTAAATGAACAGACCATCATAAGTGCTATGAGGAAAATAAAACTGGGCTATAGAGATACTGAGATACTGATGTTAGGAAAGGTTTCTCCGAGGAGGTGAGTGTGCTGATGAAGAAACCTTGCACCAACAGGAGGAAGAGCATTTAGACACAGAAAATATCAAGAACAAAGGCCTAAGGCTGGAGCAAAAAGCAAACTTTGTGACCAGAGCATAATGTGGTAGGGGGAAGAGATTACAAAATGAAGTCAGAGTTGTAGACAGGGACCAAATCGTGTAAGACCTTGTAGAAAGCTATTAGAATATTTAAATAGGAAGATGACATGATCTGAAAATAAATAGTATATTTTAAGAAATTATTCTGGAGGTTTGTGGTTTAACATGGCAGGCTGAATATTACATTTATATTTCCCTGCCTTTCAAAATCTACTAAAATGATAGGAGAATAAAAATAACAATAACACTGAAGAGCTAAAGAGATTCTTACAAAACTTTGAAAGCTAAAAAAAGGATAAATGAGTAATAATTAACTTAGCTAAGAAGAGATGTCAACAAAAAACAAGTTAATTCATACTTCCCCAAAGCCTGGAAGTGTTCAGATATTAAAGACATGATACTTCTGAAGAGGGTGAAATTTGGGACTGAAAAAAGAAACATTATGCTGAAAGTCTGAATAAGGAGCACTTAGAATCCCACCTCCAGGTTTCCTTTGTCACCAGTGTGACGGTTAATTTTAGGTATTAACTGGACTGGATTGCAGGATGCCTAGATGGCTGGTGAAGCTTTGTTTCTCGGTATAGCTGTGAGGGTGCTTCCAGAGGAAACTGATGTGTGAGTCAATGAAGAACTTATAGAGGAAGACCTGCCCATAGTTTGGGAAGACACCATCTATTAATAAACGGGGGCCCTTCTGAGACTAACTAATGAAAGAAGGGTGATTCTCTCCCTTCTCTCTCTCTTTTCTAGAGTAGGACACCTTTTCTCTTCCTTCCCTTGAACATCAGACTCCAGGTTCTTTAGCTTTTAGATGCCGAGACTTGTACCAGTGGCCTCCTGGGGGCTATGACTTTCAGCCTCTCACTGGGGGCTGCATCCTCAGCTTCCCTGGTTCTGAGGCTTCTGGACTGAGCCACATTACTAGCTTCTCTGGTGCTCCAGCTTGAAGATGGCCTATCATGAGACTTCTCCACCTCTGTGATTATGTGTCAATTCTCAAATAAATTTCCTCTCATATATTCTATAAGTTATATCTCTCTGGAGAACCCTGACTAGTACAACTGGGTTGTTATGTGACTCATCTTTTCTGTCCAGACAGAAGGCTACAGATTTAGTTCATAAAGAAAATGAACCAGAAAGGCTATGAACCCAGAAATGAATAGCTACGGGTAGGGTCAAGATGCTGCACTGAATGTGGGAAGTGAAGAAAGTTAAATACTAAATCATGAAACCTCTAACCTTTTTACCTATCACATTCTGATGTCTGTTTTGCGCCCCCAAGGCAGAAGATTAGAAAATTAATCTGCAGAGAAGTTGATTGTCCCAAGAGAAATGAGCTATAGATGTCAACTTTTAGTAAGTGCTGCAATAGAACAGCGAGGTCTCCATTTTACCACTCTATAGGGAGGCCACCAATTGACAAATAAACAAGCCCCACTGATACACAGCTTGCAGGTTTCTTTAGTGTCTTACTTTTAAATATGAATGGATACTGAAGGACTATCAGGCATTTGAGGACATCCTATGGTAGGTAAGATGGAAACCAAATGAAACAGAGAGTGAACTCTAAAGAATCAAAGAAGGAGGAGAAAAAAGTTCAATAGAAACTACAATTAATATCCTCAGAAAGATAAGAAAATTTAATCTTTGAATCAAAAATAGAAAATAGTTCTTGGGATTAAAAAATATAATCACAGATTTTAAAATACATATGTACTTAGAGGAGTGAAAGATAAAGCCCAAGAAATTTCTCAGAAAACAGAACAAAAAGAACAAGAGATGAAAAATAGGGGAAAAATCAAATGATAAATTGTGTTCCACATCCAACTAATAAGATGAAGGAAGGAAGGAACAGAACAAAGAAAGGGAGAGAGGAAGGAAAGAAGCAATTCACAGATCACTTTATATTTGTGATCTTCCCGAGAGAAATATACCCTGTAGTAGGCAGAATGTGGCTCTTAAAGAAGTTCATGGCCCAATTTACCAGTACCTGTGAAAATGTTACCTTACATGGTAAAAGGGAATTTGCTGATATGATTAAGTTAAGGATCTTGATGGGGAGATTATTTAGGTTAGTATAATTAATCACAATGGTCCTCATAACAGGGAGATAGGAGGTGCATTGTCAGAGAAGATGTGACAACAGAAGCATAAGTCAGAGTGATGCAATTATTGGAAGGGATCCACAAGCCAAGGAATATGGGCAGCTTTGAGGAACCAGAGCACCAACATTTAAAGGTCAGTTAGAGGAGGAGGACTAAGTAAGGACAATGAGAAAGAGAAGGCATGAAGTTGAAAGAAAGCCACCTGTTTCTCTTTGGAAAACTGAAAAAGCACATGACCTGGAATCTGTGGTGCACTGCCCAGATTTTTCTTCAGGCCTGAAGCACTTGTTCCCCCCACTTCTGAGGGCTCTAGACCAAATTCCACTCCAGAAACTGCCTTCTGGTCAAAGGGAGCTGCTGCTTTACTCAAGATTAAGCCCTCTCTCTGGATTTGATTCAGTGATATCCAGTGACTTCTTGATTCAGGGATATAAATACCCAATTACTGCTTCATTCAGGGATATAAACATGAATGTCTACCCACAATAGGGCCATCCCAGTTCCTGCGCTTCCTGTAATGTTGTCTAAGGACTCTGTTGCAACTACATCATAATTTAATTTATCTCTCTGTGGAATCCTGCCTTCTCATCCCTCACAGTTATTATTCCTGAAGAGTACTAAGCAATAGATGTTAGGGGGCAAATCTTGTTTTCTGGATGAGACCTATGGCAGCAAGGATACATGGTATAAGAGTGATAAATTCTCATATGAAAGTATAACAGTAAATAATGTCTATAATCAAAATTCAAAATTCTTTATTATAAAATAGGCATTGTTTTAGATGATTTCCCCACTCGATGCTAATTCAAGTGTTTGGGGCAAATTTCTAGTCTAGGGTAGTCTAGGCTAAGCTATGATGTTCAGTATCTTAGGTGTATTAAATGCCTTTTGACTTACAGTATTTTCAACTTAACAATGGATGTATTAGGACATAACCACATTGTAAGTCAAGGAGCACTTGTATTGCTCATAGTTTTGGAGGCTAAGAAGTCTAAGATCAAGGTTCAGGCAGACTTGGTGTCTGGTGACAGCCAGTTTTCTCACTAGCAGTGCCTCTAGTCTCACATGGTGGAAGGGGCAAAACAGTTCCTTTGGCCCTCTTTTACAAGGGCATTTATGCCATTCATCAGGGCTCCACCCCCATGACCTGGTCACTTCCCCAAAGTCCCACCTTAACAGTTTGGGAGTTAGGTTTCAATACATTGATTTGAGGGGGCATAAACATTCAGACGATAGCATCTATCTAAGTAAGAAAAAAAACAGCTGAGCCAATGTCATAGAACCTTTTCCCTTTCCATCATGGCCTTTGAAAGAGGTAAGCCCAAAGGGCAATATGCTCCCTACTTTTGAAGCAGTACCTTTTGGGATAGAGAGAGACCACTGAGAAGTAGATTCTATTTAGATAGGCAGAGTTGGGAAAGATGCCATAGGTCATATCTTAGAAGTTGCTGTGGTTGGCATTTTATACAACAAATGAAGTCAACATTCTATACCTTCAGTTCTTCCCTAGATAGGAAAAGCACAGCCTCAGATCCTGCTGAGCAGAGGTCCAAAAGATATCATTACCATCTCTTCCACCAGATCTATCCTGAGATGTGACATGTCCAGATAGTAGGAATCTTCTTCAGGAGTGTGGAAACAAGTGCAGAACAAGAAAAGGGAAATTTATTAAATTTATTCCAAGCTTACAATAGTAAGGGAGTCAACCACCATCACTTTTAAGACTCAAAGACTGGCAAAGGGGTGGGAAAGCTTTATAGTGGAAAAAGGAAAGCTTCAGATAAACCCTGATTTGAGGCTGCTGGCATGGAGAAGCTGTAGATGGACTAATTAGAAGCAGGGCATCCTATGTAATTATTCAGGGATGGATGCATATTTGGCTTTCTCTAGTTGGTCTTAACATGGAAGTGGAGACAAAAATTAGGGAAACTCAGTTATTAATCAAGTCCTGGCCATTTGGGATAGATTGCTACAAGGTTATTGTTTGGCTTCCTGGAATGGTTACCACATACAGAAGTCTGACTTCTTGGACTGGTTACTGTACATAGTAGGTTGGCTTCCTGGGCTGGTTGCTGCAGGTTGTAGTTCAGCATTCTATTTTTATATATAATCTGGCCACCATCCATTTATATATTTAGTCTCTCAGGAGGGAGGAGGGAAGAAATAAAAAAGGAACAGGGAAGCCAGGTGATTACAGCAAATAAACTTCTCTGCCAGTACTTCAATAGTCCTATATAGGTTTCCTTAGTCAAGCTTGTCTTCCCTTCTCAGTCCTACTTATCCACAGTTAAATACTCTTCTCTCTGTTTATTTCTCAACTATTGAACATAGCAAACATAACAATTTGTCATCATGTTTTTCCTCCTAATAAATTGCAAACTTCTTCAGAGTAGGAATCATGTGTCATTTATTTCATACAGTCTGTTCCTGGCATTGCATCTGGATATAGTCTGTTTTCAACACGCTTTGTTGAACTCCAGGGTAGATTACAGGGCTGCATGTGTGTTATAATTTACAGTACTTTATCTCGAGTTATTCGTTTAATGTCATTACATTTTCGTCAAAAACCCACAGGTGTTATAGAATCCAAAACTATAAATAAATGACATACTAGAAAGCGCCAAAGAAAATTAGCAAAGCATATAGGAAGTTAATATAGCTGAAGAAAGCGAGAGCCTCTCTATAAGCTTCATGAGGCTGAGATTTTTATCACTTTCTTTCACTGTTGTACCCCCAGTACAGTATCTAAAACGGGGCCTGGCACGGATTACATCCTCAGGAGTGAGTGAATGAGAGGTCGACCCTCGTCACACGGAAAAATAGGGATAGCACGATACAGCCTCACCACAAGAAGCACGCCACAGAAAGAAACCCAGGAGTCGAGCGCGGGCTCCTCCCTCAGTGGGAGGGGCTAGGGAGCGCACTCCTTTACGACCCTCGGCCAGTCTGCGCGGCCCGCCTCCCCCTCCTCCTCCTTCGCCGCCGCCGCGTGCAAGGGCTTCTGGGAGCCGAGCCTCAGGGTCTTAGAGAAGGGGCGCAGGTGGCCGCCATCTTGGGTTGCGAGCCGGGTCGCTGCGCTCCACGCTTCACGCTCCACGTTAGGGGCGGAGTGGCTGCTCCTCTCTTACCCGCGGCAGACTTCGTCGCTGGGGACTTGGAAGTCTGGGCACTGGAGAGTATCACATTAATGGGTAAGGGGGAGTGACACAGTCCAAGTCGGGGAAACCTCGGGTTTGGACCCTTTGGGAGCTACTAGTTCTTGGGGGGGGGGAGGTGTCACTATTTTTATTTACTCCTTACTTTACGAAGGGTTCAGGACCTGGCCTTTCCAGGGTGTTTTTCATCTTTCTCTTGGGGTGACAGCGGTCGCGGGGGCGTGGCAGGCGGACCTTTGCCTTGCAGACGCGGAGGTGCGGTGAGTGCAGATTCTCTCAGCCAGGCTGTCGGAAGGAGCTTCGGGCAGTCCCTCTCATCCTCTCGCAGTGCTGCCTTGCCGTTTCTACGTAGTTCTTTCCACTAAATGGTCTTGCCAAACATTGCCACTCACTGCTGGTACCCAGCGGCTGTGTCCAACAGCTTATGGAAATTCCAGTGCCCAGAGAAGGGGCGGGTTCCGTGGCAGGGGCCTGCTGGCCGCACCCTCTACCTCCGCCCGCCGCCCTCCTCCACCTGCAAGCAGGTGCCTCCAAGCGCTCAGTCCCGGCGCTGGCTAGCCTATGTCCGACGCTTCTAATAGCTTCGTTCCAACATGAAAACGTAATAGTGTGTCATCGATAATGAGTTAAGAGATGAAAGGATTTGAAAGCTGTGAAATCGCATAGTGATACTTCAGAAGAATATGACATGGGCATTTACTCTTGAGTTTTTTAGACACATTAAAAACAAAAGACAAAAAGACTAATGACTTGTCTGTCAGTTACAACACTCAATAATGACATATTATGTAGGAAAGTGGCTTTCTTGGTAAGCAAGGAACAGCTCTATCCTTAAGACCTAAGTATTGCTTATTTGGTGTTAGAGGCTCTGGTCAGCACCTACCGCTTAGTGCAGTCTTGTAAATTTGGTAATGAGGCACCCACATCCATAGAAATGAAGGCTTTGCTAGCATAAGAAATTCTGTTAATAGGTATTAAAGAAAGAAAACCGCAAGTTCAGATTCTAGTTATTTGCCCAACTTTAACACAATTTTTCTAAAAACTGGGTTAAAAAATAAGCTTGCGAATGAAAAAACATTCCTCTTAGGCAATTTTAAAGTGTCTGAATAGCATTGCTTATATTTAAAATAATTTATGAGCCTCCAGCCTTTGATGTAAATTAATTTTCAGTGAACAAAACAATCCCATTGGGTGAGTTACCTTCAGGGGTGATTTTCCTTGGCAATAACGTCTCCTTAAGGGAACTGCAGTGATGGTTCAGGTGTTAAATAAGAAGCAAGAAGTTAGTACTATAGAAGAAAAAGGAACAAGTGATAGATGAGTCGTTAGGGCTACATTTTATTTAGTTAACAAATGATATTGAACCATTTTAATGTAGTTGCCTGGATTAATGGTCTCAGAAGTAGTGTCTGTGTGTGGTAGAGGAGTGGAGCACAAGGCGATCCAATCAGATGTGGAAAGAAGATATTAGAATTATTTGCTTACCTTTTAAACCTATTCTATTTAAAAAAATTTTGTGTGAATTTTATAATGGATTAGTATATCAACATAGTAACGCATATGTGGAAAATACATTGAGGATGAGTGCACAAATATATTTTACATACATATTTTGCATATACATAATTTACCCAAATATATTTCATGTATATTTGATATGTGATCAAAAAAGTTTAGTCCAGTGGCCTAGAAAATGCTACATATATAGGCGATAAATATTTAAGAGGTTTATTTCTATGAACATAACTAAAATACTTTATACTTGTTTAGCATAATTCAACAAGTAATGTTGAGAGCCGGTTGGCTCTGTAATGAACTCTGATCTTTATTTTTTCCGTCCAAGAGCCTAAACTCGTACTAATGAGACAGTTTTTTTATATATAATTGGAGAATAATGATAAAAATACTGTTATTAATAAAGCTATATCGAGCAGTTTCTAATAACTGTAGGTGCATACAGTATTGCTGAAATTCATTAAATATTTAATATTTTAAAGCAGGATTTTGGTCAATTATAAATGCATTTTAATTAATAGAATGTACGGGTGTTAAACGGTTAAGAGTACCTTTTAAATTATTCTAAAGTCCTCAGCTCATTTCAGTCTACCTTTATCTTCTCTACTAGTGAAATTTATCTTGCCTTCTTTACCAGTGACCTAATTATCAAATCTGATGACTGGTATGGTACTTGGCTTATTGTAGGTACTTAAGTTTGCTGGATGACAACTTAAAATACTCCTTTATCTGTTGAACTCTCTTCTTTTATAGTACTCTTATTTTCTTCTAATTCTCCTCCTTCTCTGATATATTTCTTTTTTGTTTCCTTCCTCTTACCTTTTTCCTCTAAGATGTAGATATCCTCAAGATTCTCCTTTGATCATCTTTGTTTTGTAGCTCTACATGATATTGCATATCAGTCAGGACTCCTGTCCTGAGTTCTGACCCATGTTTTTAACTATCTATAAATCAAAGCCTCCTTTGTGTACCCTAAATACTATAAATTTAACATGTTTATTTATTTATTTATTTATTTATTTTTGAGACAGAGTCTCACTTTGTTGCCCAGGCTAGAGTGCCGTGGCATCAGCCTCATTCACAGCAACCTCAAACTCCTGGGCTCAAGCAATCCTCCTGCCTCAGCCTCCTGAGTAGCTGGGACTACAGGCATGCGCCACCATGCCTGGCTAATTTTTTCTCTATATATTAGTTTTAGCCAATTAATTTCTTTCTATTTATAGTAGAGACTGTGTCTCGCTCTTACTCAGGCTGGTTTCGAACTCCTGACCTCGAGCAATCTGCCCGCCTCAGCCTCCCAGAGTGCTAGGATTACAGGCGTGAGCCACTGCGCACGGCCAATTTAACATGTTTAAAACTAAAGTCACTACACATCTATTAGAATGGCTGTAATTAACAACAGCAACAACAAAAATCTTGACAATACCAAGTAAAGGTAGGCTACAGAGCAACTGGAACTCTGATACATTGCTCATGTGAATGCAAGATGGTGCAGTCACTTGGGAAACTGGCAGTTTCTTATAAAGTGAACATATACTTTCCATATTATTCCTCAGTCCTACTCCTAGATATGTACCCGAGAGCAATGAAAACTTATGTTTTCACAGTTATGCATGAATGTTTACAGCAAATTTGTAACCACCCCAAACTGGAAACCAGCACAAACTGGAAACCACCCAAATGTTCTTCAACTAGAAAATGGATAAACTGGGATAAGCCCATACAGTGGAGTACTATTCAGCAATAAGAAGGGACAAACTACTGATAGATGCCAACAACATGGATGACTCCAAAATACTATGCTAAATGAAAGAAGCCAGATTCAAAAGACTATATAGTATATGATTCCATTTATGTAAAATTCAGCAAAAGGCAGAACTATAGGGATAGAGAAGAAGTCAGTGGTTGCCAAGTGTTAAAAGTAGGGGGAGGCTAATAGAAGGATGAGGGAGTTTTTGGGGGTTGAAAGAACAGTTCTGTGTCTTGACTGTGATGGTTGTATCTCTGTTCATTTGTTAAATTCATAGAACTGTATATTCTAAATTCATAGAACTGTAAATTTACATTTTTAAATGTAAATTTAAAAATAAACTTAAAATAACTAATTCATTATTGTCTCAGAAACAAGGTGGCAAGCAAACAGGACAAACTGCTGCTCTGATCCTCTGTATTCTCTGTCTTGGGTATTATACACTGAAATGTCTTAAGCTAAAAGTCATAGAGTCATCCTCAACTCCCTTTTCTTCCTCATCACATGTCTGTTAAATTCATTTGGCCTCTAATTCTTGTTGAATTAATCTCAGAAATGTTTCTGGGATCCATCCTGTCTTCTATATTTCCATTGTAGCTACTTGTTTAGTTCAAGTCTTCAGCATCTCTTTTATCTCTCCCTGGAATATTGGAAACAACCTTCTCCTTAACTTCTTTAATTCTGTTCCTTAGGATCAAGTCCAAATTTCTCAGCTGGGTTATAGGGACCATATGTGATCTTATCTACATTTATAGTTTTACTTCCTGTCCCCCTTGTTAAGGTACACTGATTTTCTTACTGTTCTGTGGTTATGCCAGACTTCTTGAAAAACTTTCCATATATTTCCACTAAATGCTTTTTGTTTCTCATTTCTCTTTCTGTCCTCTTCCCTGGCAACTTCCTGCTCATCCTTTCAGATAAAATAACTGTGAAGCTTGTACAGCTCCCTAAAGCACAGTTAGTTGCTCTGTCTTCTGTGCTCTCACAGGACTTAATGCATATGTTTAGTGTATTTTACTGCTTACAATGAAATTTGCCAATTCATTAGTCTATCTCTTCTACGTCAGGTATGGCAGATAGATGCCAACCTCTCCTCTTGTGTTTACTTCATGAGCTAATTGATCACAACATTGTCTCTGGTTGGACATGGGTATGTCCTCCTAATTTATCGGACTAACATACTAGGTACTCAAGAATTATCTCATGTTAAATTCAAGTTGAGACCCTGCTTTAGACTGATTTTTTTCTTGATATGTAAATCCAGAATAGGTTATAATATCAGTATTTTGGTAGTCATGTCAGACTCTACTATTGATATAAAAATATCAATAATGTTACATTATTAAAAAGTTTGTAATTTACTTTCTAAAAGTAAAACTAGTACAAATATTTCAAATGTAAAATTTCATATTTATTTACAATATTTTATATATACTTAAATTATTTGTATAAATGTTAATGTTTTAAAATATATTTGTAATAGAACTACTTAAAAATAAAGTACACATATATTTTAGTATTTGAAAAGTACTAATTATACTGGAGTACTGAAAATTGGTATTGTAGTTATAACTGAAGCCATGTTTCTTGTGGCCTTAGAAAACACAAGGGAAAGAAGCCAGACCCCAATGAGTATTTGAGGTGTGCTTATTGAAGCCTAATAACCATATTTCATTAAAGATAGGATGATACTATGTTGGTTATTTCCTGACTGATAATGATACAAGATGCTTCAGAAAGGTTAAAATACTGTGGGGGTGAAGGGGGATGGGGAAGGCTGTTGCATCTTAGAATCAGTAAAATAAGGGTAACAACTTTGTGTTTCAACCAGATTTATTTAATATGTTACTTCTAAAATATTTTGTCATTTTGCTCCAGTTTTGATATGAGAGTTAGGGAATTATTCTTTGTACATAATTTTCAGAATGGATTTTGTTAATCAGTGAGACTCAATTTGGTTGCCCTATAGTGTCTTGTGTTTTTTGAGAATTATCAGTCCATTTTCTTCTCTCCTTTCCCTTAAGATGCCATGGCTAGTCCGGGGAAAGATAACTATAGAATGAAAAGTTATAAGAATAAAGCCCTCAATCCTCAAGAGATGCGTAGACGCAGAGAAGAGGAAGGAATACAGCTTCGAAAACAAAAAAGGGAAGAACAAGTAGGTGTTTTTAAATATTTAACTTTGTTTAACAAAAAAAAATTATACAGAGATTTTTAGATGTTAAATTATTGTTGCTAATTTTTAGATAATTTAAAATGGAAAATTAGGATTGAACATAGCTAAGTCTATTCTTTATTAAATTCTAGGTATAATAATTACAGATTCATGAGTCAGAATCCTTTGCTATTTTTAGTCATTGAGAAGAATGACTTTTCTGTTTTATTGATAAACCTTTAATGTTAATCATAGCTCTACCTCACAGCAAAGAAATTTTTATTCTTGAGTCTGTTTAGATCACTTCCATTTGTCATTGTAAAATTGGCCTCCTACAAAAACATGACTATATTTATTTGCTGCTTTACAGTTGTTATAGCTCTTGCCCCTAAGTTAATTGTAGTCATCTTTCAGTGCTACTCATACTGTTGCTCCTGTAGTCTTACCTGTTTAGATAAGACTCATAGCCTTCTCTGTTTATATATTGCATATGTGACATAAATAATAGAAAATCATTTAAGAGTATATGTCAACATTTTTTATTCCAAGATATACTTAAATTTAGAAATATTTACAAACAAATAGGAGGGTGTGGTCTTTACATATACAAATTAAAACTGATGTGTGCAAAGGACTAGCAATAAACAAAGTAGAAAAAGTCCTTCTTTAGAATTGTGATTATGATTTGTTATCTCCCTAGCTATAGTATCTAGCATAGTCTTTAGTAGGTGCTGAAAAAAAATCCTATGGAATGAATGATTAGAGAAGTGGATAGAGAAGACTGAAGAAGAGCAGTATTTATTTAGCTATCAAAAAGAATATAACCATATTTTTTCCCTTAAATTTTGATATAGGAAACATATAGTCATCCCTTGATATCCACTGGGTGAATGGTCCCAGGCCCCTGCGAATACCAAAATTTGCTGATGCTCAAGTCCCTTCTATAAAATGGCTAGCTAGTACTTGCATGTGACTTGCACATATCCACCTGAATACTTTAAATCATCACTAGATGACTTATTATACCTAATACAATATAAATGCTTATAGATGAGTTGTTATGCTATATTGCGTTTTTTTTTAATTGTTGTATTGGTTTTTTTATTTTATTTTTTAAATAAAGAAGCAGGGTCTCACTGTGTTGCTTAGGCTGGCCTCAAAGTCCTGGGTTCAAAGTGATCCTCCCATCTTAGCCTCAAGTAACTGGGCCTAGAGGCTCATGCCACCATGCCTGGCTTATTATTTTTTGTTTTTCCCACAAATATTTTTGTTCTGAGGTTGGTTGAATCTTTGAATGCAGAACCCACAGATAGAGAGAGCCAGCTATACCTATACATCTCCCTTAGTACTTTCCTGTGTCTCCTTCTTCCTCTTTTTTCCCCTTCATTTTTATTCACTCCTGAATTAATAAGCATAGAGCTGTCTTTCCTGAGAATTCTTTTCTATTTCTGTTAATCAAATATATTAACTCTGTTAATATACCATGTTAGTCTCTCCTATGTAACAGATTTGTTTTTTAATTAAGATTTTCTTGGAAACATACTTAGACATCTATCTCATAATCTAGTATGGGAATATGTGCATTTTCAAATGCCGTAAAATGTAAATGTGTACTCTACTGATGAGTTGGCCATTGGTAAAAGACTGGGGATTGAAAATGACCCAAAGTAGTCTGTACAGGGCAAAAACTAACCCAGCCTGGAGAGTATGAGTACTTCAGGTTTTCCTGGTATGATGAAGTTGGGAAGTACTAAAATACTCAGAATTTTTAAATTATAAAATTATTACTTTCTTTTGTAAATGGAATTTTATGGCAATTGGACGTTTTTTTGGAGAGCTTCATGTATAAACTGGTTTCTCTTTATTGCAGTTGTTCAAACGCAGAAATGTCTCTTTGCCCAGAAATGATGAATCTATGCTAGAAAGTCCTATACAGGATCCAGATATCAGTTCCACTGTACCCATTCTAGAGGTATATTTTACAAAAATGGATTTCAAATTATACTTTAACAATATTTCAGTGATATTATAGATAGCAAATATTATTTATGCAAGGTATTTAAATGTTAATTATATTTTATTTTGTATGTTTTAGGAAGAAGTTATTACCACTGACATGGTTCAGATGATTTTTTCTAATAATGCTGATCAACAGCTAACAGCAACACAAAAATTTAGAAAGCTGCTTTCTAAAGGCAAGAATTCTTTCAGTATGCTTATTTGATATGGGATTTTGAGCTTTATTTTATTAGATTTTTTTATTTTAAGGCACCTGTCTTTGCCAGACACAGGTCTTATTTTTTCTTTAAAATATATTTTAAAATAACATCCATTTTGAACATTATATTATTAAAGTAACATTAATTATAGAAAAATTGTAAAGTATAAAAGAATTTAAAGAAGCAAATATAAAAATCATCAATTTTGCTGCCAAGAAATATAGTTAGCGATATATATTTTTAAATTCTTATAGAAATATTTTCCAGACTTGATTTTTGTAAATGGCAACATAACATTACAGAGAATGAATATAAAATAATAATTCAATCAGGCATTTCATTTTTTTCCTAATTTGATTATCATAAACAATTGTGCAATCTAAAACTTCTTTAATGTACACTCATAAAAGTAAAAAACTGGGTCAAAGGGAATAAACTATTAATTTACACTCGATCTTCAATTGGTACAAGTATTTATTTCATTTATTTTTATAAACACAATTATCTTTAAGAAACAAATGCCTATGTAATAGTAGCTCATTGTATTGTATATTTTTGGTAATTAGGTTGAATGTTTTATTTATTGACTCTAATTCATGATTGCTTATCTGTTATTTTTCCAATTTTATCTTGAGTTTATAAGAATTCATTATTAAATAAAAATTTCAATCTTAGTCTATCTTGTATTTCATATGTGGAATTTACAGAATTATTATTTTAAGTATATGGAATTGTACAGTATATATGAACTGCTAAGATTGTGAAAATGCCTTGGCTCAGCTGCCTTACCTTCCTAAGAGACACAGAATTTAGTAGCACATGAAGAAGGAAAGAACTGGTCTCAAACTCCTGGCCTCAAGTAATTCTCCTGTCTTGGCCTCACAAAGTGCTGGGATTACAGGCATGAGCCACTGTGCCTGGCTAAACTATAGTATCTTTTTCATAGTGATAATCGTTTTCTCTGCTTCTTCTTTGTAATGGAATTATGCTTGCCCAGGTTGGGCATACAGCAGGAATTAGAGCTGTTTTCTTTTACTGATTGATATGAGTTCTTGCCAAATCTATTAGGCCTAGAAAGATTTACTATATTTGATCTATCAATGTGGGAAATATGGAAAAGCAGCTAGAACTAGAACTGGAAACAGAAATGGCAAGAAACTTTTCCTCTGTTGTAAGCATTTCTTTATTGTAATTAGTGTTCTTGCTGTTGACAGTAGGTATATAAATATACTCTTACGCCAGCCATTACTCCTCTGACTTAAGTCTATGATGGTGACCTTTTGCTATATCTCCTTTTTATTTCCCTATCATGGCTACTATTTTGGATGTAAATCACTGGTCATCCTTTTCTTTTATCCCAGCTTTGTAGAAATTCTCCAAAGCTTTTTTATTGTGCATGATTCTTGCCTAGTTTTGAGTGCTGAAGCAGATATTCCCCCTATTTTGCTTATTGCCATATGGCTGGAAGTTACTGCCTTGACTAAAAGTCTTCTCTATAATAGTTCATCATGTTTATAAGATTATATAGAATATTATTTGTCAATTAATATAATTATAATAGTTCATGATACCTTATTAGCTAATGATTGAAGTGTACTTTAATGGCTTTCTTTTAGATTAAGGTAAGCATAAATGAATTGCTTTTAATTCTCCAGGAAAAGACTATATTTGGGTTCTTATATGGGCATATATGTCATATCTATATCTGTATTTACCTGTGTATATAGATATAGCTGACAATCTCAGTGCCCACTTCTCCCTACACCCTAACTACGAAGCCCTATTTTTTTCTTTTAACCTCATCTTTTCCCTTCAAAAAGAGCAAGACAAAATTTCTGTCCCTTAAATTTAAAAAAAATGTAAGAGAAGATAGTAAATTTAGAATTTTCCATGAAAATAAAAAACAAGGTGAAAGTCATAACTACAACACTCTAATTTTGTTTTGATTTTTTTTAAGGTAGAGAGTAAAAGGGTTACAAATATATATTGTTTTACCATATATAGCTATAATAACAGTATAAGCTAGGGCCTGTAATTAACATTTCGCAGAATATGGACTTTTTTCATTTAGAGCACCCAAACAATACTTTATGGCCATAACTTTACTAACTTTTCAGAAATCTCCTAATTTTTGACCAGGTTAGAAAAATAACAAATTTGTAGGAAAATGAAGGAAAGGAAAAAAGGAGTCTTTTCCTAAGTAAACTTTTTTTAACAATTAAGAACATGGTTTCTAGGATTTAAACTGACTTAAAATTTAATGAAAAGGTTTTTCTGTATGAAGAAGAAGGATTTGTTCAGATATTTGATGGCTACCATTTACTTATTCATCCTGCTCATTATATATTAGCATTTATATGTGAGTTATTTGTGATCAGTGACAGTCAAATAGAGGAAGTAAGAAGAAAAGGAAGACTCAAAAGTGGAAATGAGAATTCTCTCTTGTGTGACTAGATGTCTAGGTAACTTAGTAATAGACAGATTTGGGTGGTGTATGCAGGGGCAAGGGGAAGGAGTAAGCACACTGGTATAGTTAAGTTTGGTTTTGGTTATGCTACATTTTTAAAGAAGGTGTGAATATAAAAATGTATCTGATAGGTAATTAGAAAGATGGTCTGAAATCTAGGAGAGGAGAATTCAGTTAAGGAGGTTAGATTTGTGAGTTATCGTAAATGATAATGATAAGTGGTACTGAATTAACAAAATAGGTAAATTTTCTGAGAAGAGAATAAACAACAGGAATAAGACTAACTTAAAGAAACACTATCAGAGAAGTTACTGAAGAACCACAGAAAGTACTTTTTGCTTAAGCCAGGGTAGAAGAAAGAGTTCTTTGTTAGATAACAATTCCTGAAATAAGTTTCTGCGAATTTTACTTAAATTTCCAGGACATTTTGTGACTTTCAAAAGCCCTTTACATTTTGTGGAAATTTATTAACAATTATAGATAGTCCAATAGGATTTCTGTAAACAATAATACCCTAGCAAAATATAATAGAATTTCAGGTGGCTGAAAAACAATAGGCAAGGCGTGGTTGATAGTGAAGGAGAGATCCTTAGAAATTGAGAGTAGTACTGTAAAATATTAGTGGAAGTGTTATCCCTCAGTTGGTGTTTTGAGTATTTGACTAAAATACTCAGGGTTTTAAAGGTTGTCTCCTCAATAGCCTTTAACTTATGAAATTTATTTATGTAGGAAATTTTTTAATTTTTTTAATGAATGGGAGGAGGTGGAGACCACCAGCCCACTGCCACTTAGGAGTGGCCCATATAGGAAATTTTTAAAAAGTTTCTTCTTGCAATTAGTGAAAGTAGAATTTACTTTATAAAAAAATTGTAATTTTGAGAACATTTGTCTTAAGTCACATGCAGCTAAGGGTTTTAAACTTGGTTGAATGAAATTTAGGAAAGAGTATTTTCTGTGCCCTGTTAATTGACATAGGGACAAGATTCATTGTCTTTTTTTGTCTATTTAATAACTTAATTATTTTTAAATTTGTAGAACCTAATCCACCAATAGATCAAGTTATACAGAAACCAGGAGTCGTACAGAGATTTGTGAAATTTCTTGAAAGAAATGAAAATTGTACTCTACAAGTGAGTCTAAAGTTTGCTTTCTTAATTTCTTTCTAGGAATGACATATGATTAAAGTTTTTAGTGAAAGCAACTTCCACAATACTGACTATGTTGTAAGCATTCAGTAAATACTTGGCAATTAAAGGGAAAGGCAGTGTGAACTGTCTTGCTTTGGGCATGGTTGCAGTGCTGATTTTTTCTGGGAATTATTATTTTATTAAACAATTTTGTAAAAATATATGAAATCATTACTAATGTTAATAAAAATTTTAGAGTTGTCAATCTTTAATAACTCTTTATTTTTGAAAATCCCAAACTAAAAGGTTAACTCAATGGTTAAATTTATTTTGGTTCTTAGGTAACTAGAGTTGTAACTTTTACCTGTTAAAACATTTTTAGCTGATCAATTAGCTCTTTTTTCCAAAAAAGAATAAATTAGTATTATCTACTAAAACTGTGACCAAAGTTAGAGTTGTCCTAAAAAGCATTGCTTCTCAACCATGATATAGTTACAGTTTTAAGATGTCATTCAAATAATTTGCTACTAACGGTAAATTACTAAAGTTTCAAATATTTTAATGTTTTTTTAAAAAGATTATTTTTCCTGACTTTTATTAATATGTCTTAAGCAAGAATACAGAGTGGAATTCTATCTATGTATCAGGAGTTGCACAAGATTTACACCTGACTTATCAGTGCTATTGTTGGTAATGGTGGACTGTTATTTGAGTAACAGTTGTTGAATTTACAACTTAAGAGTTGTAAATAATTTGGGAAATATTTTAGGTGTAAGCAAAGGAATGTGTTACACATATGAATGTGAAAAATTGTTAAAAATGTTTATAATAAATGTCTCTGAGGAAAAGGCTACTTTATGTTATAATTTTATTGTCAATTATTTTGAACTAGAGATCATGAGATCTAGTTCCTTTGCTTTATATAAACCCTGAGTCCAGACTAAAATCCAGGCCTCCTGATAACTAGTTTATTATTTGGCTTTTTAATTCTAACTGAATGAAAGAAGAAATGAGTGAATATGAATAAATAAAATTGAGTGCTGGTTTGAGGCAAACATTATGGAAGATGTTACAGTTCCAAATTTAAGACGTCCCTGTCTATAGAAGTTCTCTTCTCTGCTGGGAAAGGCAGACATAAAACAGATCTGTGATAAACAAAAGTGCTCTGGGAACACAGAGAATATAGCAACTTATTCTAGTTAGGGGAAGTCAGGGAAGACTTCACAAAGGTAGTGTTGTAGGACTGATGACAAGGATGAAGGAGAGTTTGACAGACTGAAAAAAGGAAAACTATTAGGTTGAGAGAATAGCATATGCAGAGAGCTTCAAAGTGGGGCCCATAGGCCAAATTGGCTTAGAAACAAATTTTGTTTGGCCGTACGTGTTTTAAAACGTGAATTAGATGCTGAATTTTTAAAAATTGGGGAAATTCAAATGAATATCCAAATTGTTGGCTTCTTTTGACAAATCAGAAGAGTTGGCATTGTTGCCAGATGGTAAAGATGAAATGGAGCTGAATGGGAGTTCTGCCTTTTTAAAAAAATTTTTTTAAATTTTTAATTAGAGTTCTTTTTTTAAAAAATTGTAGCCATACACTCCAGTTTTTCACAGTTCTCACTTGCTTGTTATTGTCTGCTGGTAGGTTTATGAATTTACCAGTTTTCACTAATGCTTTCTCCTAGGTATACCAATGACAATTTTGTAGGTTTATCTTTTAATTGTCCTTTAGCTTATTTCATTATCTGCAATCAGTTAGGATTATGGTCTTCATTTTTTAACATCAATTCCTTCTCAATATGGACAAAGCAGAGCAACAACAAAAATAAATAAATAAAATAAATTCCTCACTTAAAATTTTTTCTTAGTTTTACACATAATAGTAACTGTATTTCAGTATTTCAGTAATGCTTTTTGGGTGCATTTTTTTATTATTCATAGTGATGTCTCTGTTCATGTGAAGAGTTGTCTATGTGAAGTATTTTTTAAACTATAGTTGCTGCTTAGATTGGCTGTGGATTTGTAAGTTGCTTTCAGTAATTCACTTGTATATTTTGGAATCATGGTTGAATTTTCTCAGTTGCTTCTGTTATAAATCCATAATGTATATTTGAATTTTAATTGAATTGATACTGAGTAACTTTTCAAAGATTCCACTGCTTAAAGAATACTAGAAGTCCTAATCTTGGGTCTGCTAATAATGAACATTTGATGTTGAACAAATACCTATATCCTTCAGCTTCTCATTTTCTTGTTTCTTAAAAGAGGAGGTTGTGGTTACTTGATCCTTAGGGAAACTTTATGATCTTAAGTTCCCTACTGCTCTGTTACGTAGGGTCTGTTATTTATTTTTTATTTTTATTTTTAATTATTATGAATACATAATAGTTGTATGTCTTATTTATTTTTTACTGCTTGCTTTAGGACACTTGGCGCTCTAATAGTAATTATAAATTCAGATGTGTTTATATTTTGTTGATTTTGTCAATTTTCATTATATTCTTTCTCAGTTCTTATTTTTCCATATTGAGAATTTTTCCCCCCTAAAGGTTTTTGTCTATGAAATCTGACTTCACAATAAATATTATTAATTATGTTAGTCTTTCTCTCAGACTTGTCCAGTTAAGTCTTTACTCCTCCTCTTCTTCCCTTCTCCTTTCTGACATTTCTTTGGTGCTTTTATTTATTTTACTTTTTACCCCTTAGTTTGAAGCTGCGTGGGCATTAACTAATATAGCATCTGGAACTTTTCTACATACCAAGGTAGTAATTGAAACTGGGGCTGTTCCAATTTTTATCAAACTTCTTAATTCCGAACATGAAGATGTTCAGGAACAGGTAAGTTTCTAATTTGTATTGTTATATATAATAGAATTTAATTTCCTCTGAAAAATACCATTTGTGATTATGATTTGTAATTCATTTTCTTATATTTTAAACATTAAATATAACTTTCACAGTTGAAAAGTAACATGTCCTTTTGTACTTACATGAAAAATTTGAAGTGAGAATATAATAAATGATAATTGCATTTACATAATTTCTCATCTAATTGAAATTTAGTAAGTGAATAATTTGATCTTTTACTACCATTTGTTGTTGTTGAGACAGGGTTTTTGTTGCCTGGGCTAGAGTGCAGTGGCCTCATCATAGCTCACTGCAACCTCAGACTCTTGAGCTCAAACGATCCTCCTGTCTCATCCTCCCAAGTAGCTGAACTACAGGCTTGTGTCACCAGCCCCAGCAAATTTTTTTTTTTTGGTAGAGATAGGGTCTTGCTATTCTCCAGGCTGTTCTGGACTTCAAGTGATCCTCCTGCCTTGGCCTCCCAAAGTGCTAGGACTATTGGCATGAGCCACTGCTCCTGGCACTGCTACCATTTATTTTAAAAATTATAATGAACCCTAACTAATCTTAAAGTTATTTTTAGGGATCAATTCAAGCTAATTCTCATATTAGCAATTAACTCATTTTTCCATGCTTTGTGTCTTTCTCCTCTTTTACAAATCCCTTCCCATTGAGTGGATTTCTTGGTGTAGTAGATTTCGTGGCATAGTCGATTTCTTGGATCAAACCTCTACTATAAGTACAGTCACGTGTCACTTAGAGACAGGGATATGTTCTGAGAAATATGTCATGTGATTTCGTGGTTGTGTGAACATCATAAAGTATACTTACATAAACCTAGATGGTACAGCCTACTATTCACCCAAGCTATACTGTATAGCCTATTGCCCCTAGGCTACAAACCTGTACAACATGTTGTTGTACTGAATATGGTAGGCAGTTGTAACACAATGATAGGTATTTGTATATCTAAGCACAGAAAAGGGTAAAAATAGGGTATTATAATTTTATGGGACCACCATCGTATATGTGGTCTGTTGTTGACTGAAATGTTGTTATGTGGTATGTGACTACCTGGAAAATTCGCTAAATAAATACATTTTGTCCATGTAGATTCAGAGTAGGAAAACTATGCTTTGTTGACCATTATAGGTATTTCACTAATATACAAGGACAACTTTTAAAATGCACTCTCTTTCAATTTGATTAAAAATGTTATTAAATTACATTTTAAAAGTTTTCCTTTCTTACTGCCCTAGTTTTTTTTTACATGTTGCTAAAAGCTATCACTTTGTTCATTCTATACTAAAATCTCATTCTTACAAGAGCATCTTATTTAAGATATTATCTTAAGATTATATTTTGTTCTTACTTTTCTAAGGCGGTTTGGGCACTTGGTAATATTGCTGGTGACAACGCAGAATGCAGAGATTTTGTATTGAATTGTGAAATACTTCCACCTCTGTTAGAGTAAGTACTTTATTTAAATTTATCACAGTGAAGTATATATCACAAACTGTATATACCACTATATTTCTACATGCACAATTAAGTTCTAAAGTGATGCTTTTAAATTTGGCTTATGGTTAACCATGCCTTCAGTAGTTTGAAAATAGGTAAACCAAGAGAAATTTTCAAATTCTATCATATTTTTGTCTTTTATTTTATCTTAACCCATACTTAACACTACAGTGGTCATTGCTTACAGTGCTAAAATAATTATTCTACAAAACAAGGATATATAGTAGTTTATAATACAATAAAATTTTAATGTTGCTATAGCAGGGAATCTTTAATACTTGAACAGATAGTGTATTTAGGATGTCAGGAGGTTTTTATACTTCATCTTGAAATGTTCAGAGAACAGAAATCTTAAGAGATTTTTCTTTCAGGATTAGAATTTTATTTAAAATGACTTACCTAGTGGTTTCTTCTTCAACTTTGTACATTTTTAAAAAAGAAATTGCCCTGTGAAGTCCTTTATAGAAATGACATAAAATTATTTGAAAGATAGGTTTTTTTATACATGTTGTTTATGATTCACTAAAAGCATCTTTATTAGTCATTTGCAAGTACTGAAAAAAAAACGGAACTGAGATGGTTAGAAGGAAAAATTTTATCATTTCTTTGCCATTCTCCATCTTCTCTAGCTAAGGTATTAAACTGGAAGGATGAATTTCTAGACATTAGTTTGCAAAGGACATTTTACTCCTGTAGATAAAGTGGCTTTCTGTGGAAAGAAGTGATATCTCCACATGATTTCGTTTAACCAGTATTAATTGAGGACCTACTGTGTGCAGGCCATTGAACCACTCAGTACAATTTCATTTACTATGGGCTTATTCAGAGTTAATGTTTGATAGTATTTGACAATTTCTTTATAGCTGAGCTATAAAAGAAAATACTAATTTAGAATTCAATATCAGAGTCATTTTGAAGTCTATACTATTAAAATATATCTTAAAGTTTCAATTTGAGATTTTTTCTGACCTGATGTATATATTTTTTACTTTTGGTTCTCTGTCTCTAGGTCATTTTATTATTTGTTAATATCTCAAGTTGGTAGTAGTTTACCAACTAGTAAGCATTTCTTGGGTCTAATCCCAAGAAAAGTCCTAAGTAGCTTTTTAATCATAACCGAATAAATCAAACTAAAAAATAAAACTAATGGAGAGCAAACAGTACCCAGCTATGTAGTACTAGTTGTAAACATAATACATTTCAGAAAAAGTGTCAAAAAGTTGGAAAGTGTCAGAGTTTCATTATACAGTTTGATCATAGAAAGTTTTGAAGTTTCATAAAAAATTGAGAAAGGTAATAAATAAAAAGGAACTTACATCAAGGTACTAGATGCTCTTTATTTGGATAAGAGGAAAAAGTTATTAGGTTAATAATGATTATAGATTATCGTTCACTTTGAAATTCACATTTAGCTAATGCCTAAGTAAATATAAAACTCCTATTTATATATCATTTGATCAGTTCTGTGAGTGATGTTTTAATTTATTTATTACTAATTCATTTGATTCTCAGTAAATGTAAATCTTTTACTACTTTATATCTTGACATATTTTGTTGTTTTAATTTAATTCAACTTTATAACATATTAATAGCCTATCTGGACAAGAAAAGACTTATACTTTTCCATAATGACCTCATTGATACAAAAAAAAGAATAATAATATACAATAGGGGTCAGCCAACTTCAGCCCTCAGGCCAAATCTGGCTTGCTCCCTATTTTTGTAAATTAAGTTTTATTGGAACATAGTCATACCCATTTGCTTTTTTAATGTCTTTGGTGCTTTCATGCTGTGTCAGCAGAGTTGGGTAGTTGCAACAGAGGAAGAGAGCCTGCAAAGCCTAAAATATTTACTGAAAAAATGTGTCAGCCCCTGATACACAAAATCAGTATAACTTTTATTTCTAAATGAGTTGGTATTTTGGAGAGGCCTCAAAAAATCTATTTTGAAAACCTTTAGAACAGAGGAAAAGGAAAATCTTTAGAACAAAGACTTATTTTTTAGTGTGGTAAAATACATGTAACATAAAGGTTACCATTTTAACCATTTAGAGTGCACAATTTAGTGCCATTAAGTACATTTGCAATATTGTGCAGTTATCACCACTATAGTTTCAATGCTGAGCACAGTTGCACATGCCTGTAGACCCAGCCAATCTGGAGGCAGAGGTGGGAGGATTCCTTGAGGCCAGGAGTTCAAGACCAGCTTGGGCAACATAGCAAGACCCATCTCTAAAAATAAACATTAGCTGGGCGTGGTGCCACACACCTGTAATCCCAGCTACTCAGGAGGCTGAAATGGGAGGATAACTTGAGCCCATGAGTTTGAGTCCTGCCTGGGCAACAACATAGTGAAACTCCACCCTTACAAAAATTTTTTTAAAAAATTAGTTGGGTGGGATAGTGTGTGCCTGTAGTCTTTGCTACTTGGGAGGCTTTGTCACCTGGGCTAGAGTGCAATGGTGTTGTCATAGCTCACTGCAACCTCAAACTCCTGGGCTCAAGGAATCTTCCTGCCTAAGCCTCTCAAGTAGCTGGGAGTACAGGCTTGCACCACAACGCCTGGCTAATTTTTTTCCATTTTTGGTAAAGGTAGGGTTTACGCTCTTGCTCAGGCTTCTTTTTTTTTTTTTTTTCTATTTGTGATATCTTTTTTTCCCTCTGTATATTTTTTTAAGTTATTTTCGTAAGGGTTACTCTAGCGTATACAGTTAACATCTTAAACTTATAATAACCTTGTTTGAATTATAGCAATTTAGCTTCAAAATTATACAAAAACTCTGCTCCTGAACATTTCTGTCCTACTTTTTTAAAGTTGTTGCCACAAATTCATCATTATACATTGCTTACCCATTACCATAGATTTATAATTATTTTATGTGTTTGTCTTTTAAAACACACAGGAGCAAAAAAGGAATTACAAACCTAAAACTGCCATAATAGTGTCTGTTACATTTACCTATGTAGTTATCTTTAGTAGGGTTTTGTCCTTTTTTGTATGGTTTTTAGGTACTGTCTATTGCCCTTTCATTTCACCTTAAAGGATTCCCTTTAGCTATTACTGTAAAGCAGATCTGCTAGTGATGACCTTTTTCAGCTTTTGTCATCTGGAAATCTCTTACTTTCTCTTTCAGTTTTGAAAGGTAGTTAGCTGGATATGGTTGGCAGTCTTGGTTGGCAGGCTTTTCTTTTTTCTTTTGGCACTTTGAATATGTCATTCCATTGCCCTTATCCTCCATGGTTTTTGATGAGAAATCAGATGTCGATCTTTATGCAGAATACTTGTGTACACTATGGCCAGTTCTCTCTTTTTGCTTTCAAGATTTTCTCTTTGGCTTTTGACAATTTGATTATAATATGTCTTGGTGTGTATCTTTTTGAGTTTATCCTACTTCAAGTTCATTTAGCTTCTTGGTTGCATAGATTTATTTCTTTTATCAAATTTGAAAAATTTTCAGCCATTATTTCTTCATATTTTTTTTTTTTGCCCCTTTCTTTCTCAGACTTCTCTTATGCATATATTGGTATGCTTGATCTTGTCTAATAGGTCTCTTAGACTCTGTTCATTTTTTATCATTCTTTTATTTCTCCTCTTCAGACTGGATAATTTCTTTCAATGGACCTATCTTCAGGTTTGTGGATTCTTTCTTCTGCCTTCTCAAATCTGCTTTCAAAACCCCTCTAGTGAATTTTTAATTTCAGTTATTATACTGGATAAGTCCAATAAATTCTATTTAGTTCCTTTTCATAATGCCTGTCTCCTTATTTATAATTCTCTTATTTGTCCAGACATTGTTCTCCTAGTTTCCTTAGTTCTTTGTCCTTGGGATTTTTCGTTGTTTTTTTAGGCATATTTCAGACAATGGATTTAAAATCTTTGTATAGTAAATACAATGTTTGTGGTTTCTTAGGAACAGTTTCTTTTAATTTATATATTTTACTCTTAATGGGCCGTAGTTTTTTATTTTTTGCATACCTCATAATTTCTTATTGAAGAATGGGGATTTTGATTATTATAATATGGCAATTATGGAAATCAGATTCTCCTCTTTCTCCAGGTTTTGGTGTTGCTGCTTGTTATAATTATTTGTTTAGGAGCCTTTTGAATTAATTGTGTCAAACCTGTATTCTTTGTTATGTGCAGTCTCTGAAGTCTCTATTCCTTTAGCTTAGTGGTTAGCTAGTGATTTGATAATTGAGAGTTCCTTAAATGTCTGGAGCCACAAAGAAAGAAAAAGAAAATTTTCCACATCTTTGCAGATTGGCTCTGTGTTGGGCCACTCCTTCAAAGCTGAGCCAGGCTGATTACAACTGTGACTTAGCCTTCGCAGTTGTGCTAAGCTTAAAGTTCAACCAGAGGTGACAGCTTAAGGTCTCCTCAAGTTTTTTCTGATTACTCACTCTGCCCTGGGCATGTACATGCCTTTCTATATTGTCTGATACATGTGGAAGCTTTTCAAATCCCTCATTCCCAATAGTATTTCACTCCCACCTTTTCACCCAGGCTTTCAGTGTGTTTCTTGTTTGCCTCAATTATATCCTTTTTGCAAATATCTTATTCATTTGCCTTTTAATGCTTTTGAGGAACATTCTTTACATAGCTACTTTGCCACCTTGACAAAAGAGTTCCCAGTTAGGTAAAACAAAAACAAGTGCCTTACATCAGTTTTTCAGAGAGTATCCAAACCAGTTCAAATAGACAAACACAATTCCTTTGAAACAAGGTATGCTCAGTTACCTCTAGAAGAAGGAACCCACAGTGGAAATGCAGGCTGGCATCTTAAAGGCTGCTTGCAGGCTGGGGAAAGGATTAGGCAAGGGTAGATTAAAATGCCAGAAAGCTTTCCTACCACATTTTAGCCCTTTCCTGGTTAAAAGTTCTCTTAATTGCTGTGAACTTTCGACTATCTTCCGGAGTTCCCATAAAGATGATTCTAACAGTGTTTGCAAGTGTTTTCAGCGTTTCTGGGGAGGGATGGGCCCTCAGAGTTCTCTTCTGCATCATTTTTGCTTATGTCACTCCAAAACAGGGATTTTTTTTTTTTTTTAACTTAGGTTCTTTGTACTTCTAGCAGATTTGTGGAGGTCCTTAGGAAGTTAACAAACTCCTGAAAATGCATGCCAAAATTTTGGTGTATGTGCTTTTTTTCTGAGGTAAGGATCTGTTATGGTCTCAGCAGGGTCCACAGCTCTCTAAGTTTTAAGGACTACTATTAATACTTCAGGTTTAAATATGAATAACTAAAACATAACTTACTATGTTGTAAAAAAAAAAAAAAAATCCCTGGTAGTAGTAACTCCTTAGAAGTCTGGGAAGAAAAAAATCTTGTTTTAGACACTCAGTTTCTTAGTAGATAGATACCAGGATTTATTGCAAACCAAATAAAAACACCGAGACATGCCATCTGTTAATAATAAAACAGAAAACTTCTCATGTCAATAGATGATCTTCATTTAACTTGACCCTATATTCCTTGCTTTCTGAATTGGTATAATGTTTTATTTTCATGGTTAAAACAAAGGTAATCTAGTACTTTCTAAAATGTATATAGAAATAAGTAAATTTACCGTGACACCCCTTATTTTCAAAACATTTCATGATTTCTTTTAAGAATCCATTCAGATCATAGATTCAAACTTTAGAAAATAGAAATGTAATATGTTTGTTTTTGTTTCTGAAAACATAATGAATTTTAAAGATGCTTTTATCCTATTTTACCAGTTTGAATATCTTAATATTTACGAGTTGAATATCTTAATATATACTGAAGAGAATTTTTATGTTATGATAGAAAATAGCTAAAGAGGAAAAATGAATATAAAGTGACAGTTGTTTTTTTCTCTTTTTTTGGCAGCTTATTAACAAATTCAAACAGACTTACAACAACAAGAAATGCTGTATGGGCCCTCTCAAATTTATGTAGAGGCAAAAACCCTCCTCCAAACTTTAGTAAGGTATGAGTAAAATATACAAATTAACAAGTCTATCTCCATAAGCTTAAGTTTCTTTATGGTAGATTTTTTGAGGTTGAAAGGACTATTTTTTTGTTAGTCATTGTGTTCTTTATTGATGAGACAATATTTGCACATACACAAAATTCAAAAGATTTACAGTTAAATGGAAATTTCCTTCTCTTTTTTCCATTGCTCAAATTCATGTGCCCAAAGATAACCACTATAACCAGATATGTATGTATCTAGGAGTTGACTTTAGAAATCTTCTGGTTTACAAGAAATTGAAGGCTCCCGAGAGATTAAGGTAATTCCTTCAGGTCCACTGTTTGTGCTTTTGTAACTTTTATGTCCTAAGAATATCTTTTTCCCTGTCTACTAATATTTTTGCTTCTAGAAAGATAGATAATAAATTCCAATTTAGTTCTGTTGTTTACCAATAAGATGCTGTTAGAAAGACAGAACATGGGTAAATTTTTAGAATACCATTCTACTTCTTTTGAATTTAGTGTCTGAACTAAAGGGCACAATGAGCAGTGACTATATAGCACTAAGAGAAGCTCAAAATTTGGTAAAGATCTGGTGATAAAGTTTCTGGGGGTAAAAAATAAAAAATTTAAAATTCAATAAAGATAATGCATGAATTGGTATGCCTTCTCATTTATACTTTCACCATTACAGTTTTAAGAATTCATGATTTTGCCACATTTCATCTAAACTGCAAGTATGACTTAAAAATCTCATTGTACTATGTCCATTCATCTATTATCATACTCTATGGCATATTATGTAATTAGTTTCATATGCCATGTTTGATGTTTCTCTTGTTTTTTCTGCTTAGTAGCACTATTGGATTTTTCTTAAGAAATGTTTACAATTCGAGATCTTTTTGTTCTAAATACATTTCATGTTTTTTATGAGTTCTTTAGCCATAGACAAATAGTAAAGATTTTGTAAAACTTTGTAATAGCACATACCTTATATAAATAATTTATTTTAAATACATTTTCTTGTATAATTGGTAATACTTTTGAAATTTATGTAGTTATCTTTTTCCTGAAGAATTTCCTTATTTGAAAGTTACTGAAATTTATAAAACTGGTAGTCTAAACCAGAGGTCCCCCACCTATCATAAGTTTTATAATTATTTCATTGTATATTACAATGTAATAATAGAAATAAAGTGTACAATAAGCGTAATGTGCTTGAATCATCCTCAAACCACCACCCCTACCCCCCAAACTCCCATCCGTGGAAAAATTGTCTTCTGTGAAAATGGTCCCTAGTGCCAAAAAGGTTGGAACTGCTGGTCTAAACCACATTTTCAAAGCATCCTTTTAAAGTTATTACCCATTACATGGGACATAAAGGACTTTGGAAAGTTATGTGGACCTTGAGAATTCATATAGTGATCTGAACTCTAGGCCAATTCACATTTATATTGGTTAATATTAATACACATTATTTGATAGCTGGCAGAGAAAGGATTCTTGATTAACAGGCTGTTTCTTGTTTCCTGCCCTCCTACCTCTACTCCATTCTCATTTACCCTCACTCTTAGCTTATGATCTTGCTTCCTATTTCACTGAGAAAACTGAAGCAATAAAAAGAGAATTTCCATAATTTATCATTACCACATTTACTATCATGTGGTTATTTGTACCTGCCTATTATACTTTCTTGTCATTGTTGATTATTTTTTTTCTCCATTATAAAGTTAATTCCACCATTTATGTACTACATAGCCTTTTCTCTTCCCTATTCAGGGGTATCACTCCAATAATTTTCTTTCTCCAGCATTATCAGTTTGTTTGCTCCTCTAAATTATTGTCATTGCTATAAAAATATACTGTTATTTTGTCTTAATTCTCCTTTCTGCTTCTGAGAACCCCTGTCAATTTTCCTGTTAAGTCTGTGGTCTCCAACCCTGGAGGCCATGGACCAGTGAGGGTCCACAGCCTGTTAGGGATGAGGCCACTGGGCCTGTCCCCAGTCAGTGGAAAAATTGTCTTCCATGAAACTGGTCCCTGGTGCCCAAAAGACTGAGGACTGCTGTTTAAGTAACACTCTTATTTCTTTGCTCCCGTTTACAGCAAAAATTTATTATTTGTCTATTCTTGCATTGTTCACTTTCTCTCCTTGCATTCTTTCTTGAATTCATTCCAATCAGATTTTTCCTCAGTCACTATACTGAAATTGCTTTCATCAAGGGCATAAATAGTTCCACATTGTGAAATCTAGGGGTTAGCTTGTAGACTTCTTACATGACCTGGGATGTCCAGTGGTCGTCATTCCTCAGTCTTTATGTTACCTGCCTGACTTGCCTGCATTTAACAGAATTTAATCACTCCCTCTTCCTGTTTAAACTTTCTTCACTTTGTTTTCAGGCCACTGTTCTCTCTTGATTTTCCTTCCATCTCAGTGATTGCTCTTTTTCAGTTTCTTTATTAGTTCCCTCTCTTCTCCTTTACCTCCTAAAGTTGAGAATACAAAGAATGTGGTTTTGGCTTTTTTCTTATCTTTATCTTTACTCACTTTGTGATTTCACCCATTCTGTGACTTTAAATATCATCTACATATGAGCAATTTCCAAATTTCAGTGTTTGATTCATATCTTCTTCTGTACTCCACACTCAGTATCTTTATTTGGACATCTAATAGGCATCTCTGACTCAGCATATCTAAAACATAACTCCTGTCCTTTTTCCCCCAAACCTGCTCTGCCAACAATATAAGTTAATGGAACTTCTGTTTTCCATTACTCAAATGAAAAACTTTAACATTATTCTTGCCTGCCTTCTTTTATCTCCTATTCTACATCCATGTGATCAGGAAATTCTGTTGGCTCTACTTCTGAAATATATTCAGATAGAATTCCCTGTAGCTAAATTTGGTAATATTTAAGGATGGAAAAGAATAAGGAAAGGAAATATTTTTAACACATGGATAAAAAATCTAACTCTATCCTGATACTAAAATTAAACTGGAAAAAGGAAAGCTCTTTTTTACAGAAGAATGCCAACTAATACACATAGAAGGATTGTTAATAGAGAAGACAACCACCTTAGTAATAATTGATTTAAGTAGGAATCACAATTCTAAAACCTTAAGTTAAAAGGAAAGAAACCACACACAAGTGTCCAAGAAATTGGACAACAAAATGTGAACCACAGAAACTGAACTTTGGGATATCAGGCACAGTGGAGGCTGAAATGCCGTACTGGATTGGAAACTTGGAGAGTAAAATCTACATACTGATTGGTAAAAACCTGTAGCCCTCTTCCAATGCCCAGATCTCTAGTAGTGCTATAATTTCTTAAAATAAACTTTTAGTCTTTGTTAGCATTGAGAATGCTAGTCACCTACCTATGAGATAGGGACCCAAACCTGCTTCCTTTTAAGATTTTTAATTTTTCCCTCTATTTTAGCACCATCTCCCCTGCCTTCTGTGATACCTGGTGCCTCTGATTTCTAAGGCATTTGGGGGTGGTGGCGGGGGGATAAATAACTTCCTTCTTATTGGTAGCTTCCTCTCCTGGCACTAAGATTCCACTTTTTCCTCCTTTTCTAAGTCAATTACCATTCTTTTTTTCACTTTCATCTTTATGTATTATGGGCAGGATTATAAATGTCAATTAGTCTCCTCAAAGACGGAATTTGTATTTCTGTTTCTTTTCCTTCTTTCTGAGAAGACAGTGGGGCAGAAATGTTTTTTTTATTTTGCTCTTTTAAAGCTAGAAATATGTAGTACTTCATTATTTTTTAACTCAGTAAAAAGGTATATATCAGCTACACTGATTTTTTTTTAACTCAAAACTTTGTATTTTCTTTAAAAAACTGATTTCACTATTCAAGGAGGAGGTGGTTGGCAAGGGTGGAATCATGATTGTTGGATAAGGATCCAGATGTGCCAGTTTTATTTACTAACTTACAGGTGGACATGTCTACTTTGTAAAGTAGCTGATTTATGTACCTGGATCCTAGGATCATCCTTAAAGGAAGGGCCCAGCAGAAAAGATAACTACTTTCAGAAGATTATAGTTTATGTACTGATAGTCTTTAAAATAGAGATAAAGGGAAAACTCATCTAAAATATTAGGACATAAAGAAGATTTTGTCACTTTTTATTTGTGACATATCTAACATTTAGCATATAGATCTTACCTGGGGAGAAAGACTAAGGGATATCTTAGTCTTTTCAATAGGTTTGCTGATTTAAAAAAGCAACTTTAAGGAATATAGAATCAATACCGATCACGGATAAAGAGGGCCAATATTTAAGTACTTAGTATATCTCAGGTACTGTTCACGGATGCTACATGCATTCTTACCAGTTTAATTGTACCTTATCCCTGTTTCACAAATGAAGCAATTGGGGTTTAGAGATATTAGGTAATTTTCCCACACCTAGTAAGCAATGTTTGAAACTCAGTCTGGCTGAAAGGAAGACAAGAAGAATCAAAGCATTTATCTATTAATAATTCAGCCCTGTTGTTTTTCAGATTGGGAAACAAAATCTCAGAGAAGTGAACTGGCTTGTTTACCTCTACAACTAATTAGTTATATTGTTAATGCTAGAGGGATTAAAAATCTCTGGTATAATGTGTTGTTCCTTAGTTGAAGATTTAGGCTTTTTGTTATATTAGGAAGAAATGTAGTTATTAGTGATTTCTATTCAAAGATCCTTCACAAACATATTTATATTTTCTATACCTTTGCTCCTCAAAGTAGATTTATTTCCAATAAAGTACATGTAATGAGTAAAGTGAGACTCATTTAAGTTAGATCATATTCTATGATCATCATGTTAAATACTTAACTGAAGCATTTGGACTTACTTCAGTTTTGGTATGTCTTTTTTTTGTGGGATGTGTATGATTTAGACGTAGAGAGGAGATCCTAAATATATATTTCATTAGTTAAAAAAGAACTTTACCACTCATCTTAATATAAAATTAACAGGAATCCTAGTCAATTTCATGTTTATATATCTGATCATAATTTTAAAACAATAGAATATTTTAATTTTTCATAGCATTAAATTTTTATTTTAAAATGAATTTCTATATTTTCCTAAGAAATTTGGCTTTAGATGGAGAAAAAATTTAAATATTGGCCTTTTCTTCCCTTCCAGGTTTCACCTTGCTTAAATGTCCTATCACGATTGTTGTTTAGCAGTGACCCAGATGTGTTAGCAGATGTGTGTTGGGCCCTTTCTTATCTCTCCGATGGACCCAATGATAAAATTCAAGCAGTCATTGATTCTGGAGTGTGTCGAAGATTGGTGGAACTTTTGATGTAATTATAATTTATGTTTTATAGTTGTATAATTGTGTATTAAGGTTAGCAATTAAAGTAATGACCTTGTAAATATCTCAAGAGTCCCTATCTTCAGGAAGAATTAAAAATCTACCAACCCCACACTTAGGAGAATAGCTATATTCCTAAAATATTGACCTTTAAACTTATATCTTGTAGTTGAGATTATTTTGTAAATGAATTTTCCTTAGTTTAGTGTGATCTTTTTATGAATGAGAAAGACTGAATTCAACAAGTATTTATGGAATGCCTGTTGTGCAAGACATTGTTAATGAAGTATAGAACAAAGTTTCTGCTCTCACAGAACCAATAATCTAGTTTATTATTCATTATAGTAATTAATATGAGTAAAAGTTCATGTAGTGAAAATCATTTAGCATTGTTTTAAAGATAATATGTTTCTCTTTGCTGAGCTGTTATAGCTGTTTTCTTTAAAAAGAACAGGTTTTCTATATAAAGAAGTTAAACACTTTCAAGAAAACTTGTTTTAAAAAGATGTTATGCTGGCCAGTCATGGTGGCTCATGCCTGTAATCCTAGCACTCTGGGAGGCTGAGATGGGAGGATTGCTTGAGCTTAGGAGTTTGAGAACAGCCTGAGCAAGAGTGAGACCCATCTCTACAAAAAATAGAAAAAATTAGCCAGACATGGTGACATGCACAACTGTAAGTAGTCCCAGCTACTTAGGAGGCTTAAGCAGGAGGATCACTTGAGCCCAGGAATTTGAGGTTGCAATGAGCTATGATGACACTACTGCAGTCTGCTCAGGGCAACAGAATGAAACTTGGTTTGAAAAAACAAAAAGATGTTATGGCTGCTTCATCCTCCTTCCTTCTTTTAAAAAAATGTGTTATCTTCCTCCCTTTCTTCTTCTGTCAAAAAGCCATTCGATCAGTCAAACAAGACAGGTGACGCAAGAGAAGTCTGACAGCATCAGAGGAGGGTGGGCAGGCAGGTCCAGTGGTGAGATTAGGCCCCACACTTGAGAATGGCACTTACCAGAGTGAGCACACAGCAGGCTAGAGTGAAGCTTGTAGCTAACACATCACGAGATAGCAGCTTAGGTAAGTTAGAAGACTGGCTGTATATAGGGAGATTAGTAAGATAGAAGCTATTTCTTGTTATCAGAGAATGGAAATAATAAATATGGAAGAGGAGAAAGCCTGAATAATCCTGTGGTTTTTAGATTAGAAGTAGAAACGTCAGTGTGAACTCATGGCTCTTAACAAAAATAGGTGTAGAAATATATAAACAAAAATAGATGTAGAAATATATATAGATAAGCATGTGTGTGTCCTCTTAAAGGGCCTGGGAACAATAACACTCATATAGGAATTGGCTCAACATCCTGAATGTCCAAATCTAGGTTTCTAAATACCGCTCTTCATTTAAAGGAATCAGGGTTGGAGAAATGACTGATTCCAGGGCTGGGAATGAGAAACATGACTGTGGAAAGTAATGAGTGCTCAAAGAATGGAGAAATATCAAAAGAACCCAGAAGCCAACCTGAAAGGGTTCTCACTTTCCAAACCTGGATAATTTGAGCTTTGAAATCAATTATTTTAATGTATAATTTACTAAATAAAAAAGGAAACCCATGAGTCCACACTAAATGAAGTCGATGGAGATAAGGCATAGTTAGAATAATAATAGTATTAGAAAATCATTGGTAATAATACTAATAATTACTAATAATTCAGACAATAATCATTAAGAGATGCTAAAGCTAGTGGTAAAAGTAGATTAAGGAATAGGATTTTACATACTTTCAAAGTATCCCCTTATAAGATATTAATTATAAAGGGAGAAACAATAATGGTAAAGTGGAAAAGTCTGGCAGATACCATGTGATTAGTGACCAGAGTTGATCACCACTGTAATGGGACAAAATAACCATATGTCACCCAGGAGAATGTAAAGAAAGAATTATAGCATTTGTGATAGTCCAGCCAAAAATACATAACCTTCGTCTTCACAAAGAAACATTGGATAAATATAAATAACTGGCTTATGATCGTCAAAGATGTCAAAATCATGAAAATCAAGGGAAGACTGAGAAACTACTCTGGGTTTAAAAAGACATGAAAACTGGGTGTAAATCATGACCCTGAATTAGATCTTTGTTATCAAGATATTATTAGAATAATTTCTGAAACTTGAATAAAATCTCAGGGTGAAAACTATATGGGAGTTTTTTGTATTATTTTTGTAAATTTTATGTAAATTTTAAATTCTTAATAGTATACAAGTTCATATTTTTATTTTTAGGCACAATGATTATAAAGTTGTATCACCTGCATTAAGGGCAGTTGGTAATATTGTGACTGGTGATGATATTCAAACACAGGTGAGTTCAGACTTCAATTTGATAAACTGTTAATGTAATAGACTTTAAGAAATTTATTATGTTTCATACCACTTGATATGTATTAATCAAGACTTTAGCATTACCATAATTGTATTGCCATCCATAATTTGACACTAAATATATTCTGGATAACAAGTGGTCAACCTCAAATACTTCTGTGAGAAAGCACTATCCTAGATCTGTATCAATGCAAAGAAGTATAAGAAATGGGCTCTGCTCTTGAGGGATTTATAATCTAATCAGGGAGAAACTATACATATATTTAAACAATGCAAATTACCCAAGGTAGTATGTTTACTCTGAACTGATCAGTCAGTAAATGCTAAACAGTTTAATAAAAGAGATCAATATGCTAAGAAATCTGTGTAGTTTCCACAAAGAGGTTGGAACTAAAGCTTCGTACAGAGGCAGACATGCATGAGTTATGTTTAAGAAGTATTAAACTTGATTGTAATAGAAACTGTTAGTAGAGAACATGATTGATTATAGGTTAGAAGTGAAGTTGTAAATGAGAGAGTCTTTTATACTAGATTGAAGACCCAGATTATGAGGATGGAAGGATGGATGGAAAGGAAACATATCTGGGATTGTTCATTAACAACTTTGTGTGTGTGTGTGTGTGTGTGTGTGTGTATGTATATTTTAAAGGATGGTGAGATGTCAAAGGTGTGATGTCAAGATTGACTCCAGATTTGGGGTACAATCTTTTTGAAGATAAAAACTTAGTAACATATTAGATCACCTAAAAGTGATTAATTGATAATTATCCATTTAAAATAGCTCTTTAAATGAAAATGCCTTTGTAAACGTGAACTGTATTTGTCAGCTGAATTTACATTCTTCACCAAGTAAATTTAATGTAAATCATTAGGGTATTTTGAATATAGGAACATAATTAATCTTGTACTAGAAGAAAGAATGTGAAGGGACAAAGCAGAATACACTCCTTTGTTACAAAACAGGAATAAAAGTGTTTATGAAACAGACTTACTCTACACATTAAGGTTTCCTAATGGTCATAGTATTAGATACTTTTAGACTGTTGGTATGCTCTACGTATTTTTTACTAATTCATTTCACAAAACTGGAGGTTGGATATTGACCTCAGTCATCAAATCTTTCTTCAAGTTGTTATATCAGTTGAACTCTGAGTACATTTGTAAATTTTTGAAGGACACACCTATGATTTGCATTTTAGTGGGTTGAGAAGAGGGCACTTTTCCTATACTGGCATGAGACAAGTTTTGGCAACAGCAGGAAAGCAAAAGGCAGCAAATGCTCAAGTTTTACCTTGAGAAGTTCTCTTTTCTTAATTTCATTTTTCAGAATGGTGTTTGTACTTCTAACTAATTCATTATTAGATTTTTGTGTATATTATTTTCTGTAAAACTTTTTGTTTACATTTCTAACTTGTTTTAGGTAATTTTGAATTGCTCTGCATTACCCTGTCTCTTACATTTATTGAGTAGTCCAAAGGAGTCAATTAGAAAAGAAGCTTGCTGGACTGTTTCTAACATCACTGCTGGAAATAGAGCTCAGATTCAGGTAAGTAAATTTTAGATCTGAAAATAGAACAGGAAGTTCTAAGAAGCCATTTTGGACAAAAGTCAACATTTTATGAGTGTGTTTTTTAGTGAGACTAAAAAAGATTCTTTTAGAAAATAATTCCTAAAGAGTATTTTTAAAACCATGGCCTTTTCTTCTCTAAAATAATATTTACTTTTAGTATTCTAGTGAGGAATAGCAGCTCTGTGTGTGTGTGTGTGTGTCTGTGTGTGTGTGCGCGCGCACGCGCCTGGCACAGTGCCTGACACACAATGGTTAGTCTTTAAAAGGGAATAGTTTCTCATTAGTTTTAGATAAGTTAGGCAATGATCTTCTCTCAAAGCTTTTAATGATTTATTAGGGTCCTGTCAAGCTCCTTGTATCAGTGATTATAGTCTTATGGCCTTGTGTTTTATCATCTTTAAAATTTATATTCTGCTATTATCTTCTCCAGTCTTTAAAAAGCTAATTTCCTTTTTAAAAAAGGAAAGTATGTGAAAGTTTATTGACAGATTAGAAATAAAACATTTGCAAAGGTATTTCCAAAAACCCTGGCATTTTAAAACCACTGAGTTTCAAGACTCCTTTACTTGGTAATATTTTAGAAAGAATGTTTGTACTAATTATGCTATATATCATTTTTCCTCTTCTCAGGCTGTTATAGATGCAAATATTTTTCCTGTTTTGATTGAGATTCTTCAGAAGGCAGAGTTTCGCACCAGAAAAGAAGCAGCATGGGCTATAACTAATGCAACATCAGGAGGTACTCCAGAGCAGATAAGGTGTGATATAGATTTTTAAAACTTATTTTCTAAATGTAAATGAGACAAAATTTGAAATAAAACATACTTTTTATTTACTTATGAAACTAAAAAATTTTTTCTAAGTCAGTTTGATAAGCATTTTTAATATGAGATTTTAATATGAAATGACAATGATAACACTGTCATAAATCAGTTATAGCATTTATTCATAATTTTTAAAATTTAAATTATAATTAACATCATTACCATTGGCAGGCTATTTTGAAAAATCAGAGATTCAAAGTCTGAATAGGAACATTCTATTAATTTGTAAAATACATTACCATGGGCATTAAATATTTTTAAACCATTAAAATCACAAAAATATAGCTTTATTATATAGAAATGGCTAATAAATGTGGGTCTCTACTTATTTTAAATAAAATTGAAGTAGACATTTGTTTATAGAGTGATGGTCTGCTCCTAATTGGTTGTTAGCCTTGCCTATGGATAGTATCTTACTTCTATTTTTCTATACTAGTTACCTTTTTTCTCTTTTTCACAGTTTATTTTACTGACAGCATAAATAATAGGTATATGGGCTTTTAAGTCAGCTTGGTTTCAAATCCTGCTCCTGCAGTAAAAGTTGTGTGGTCTTGACAAAGTCATTTAACCTCACCCTAGTTTCTTTTTGTTAAAATTAGTTCAAAGAGAATAGTACCTTATGGTAGTATAGTCTACTGACCATATCCTGGAATTCCACATCTGTGGTTTCAACCAACCACAGATCAAAAGTACTAAAAACTCAGTACAAAATAACAATACAATAAAAAAATAATACAGTTAAAAAAAATATAGTGTGCATTTAAAATTCTGAGTATAGTGTCTAAGACTTACTAAATTTTCAACTAAAGTAGCTACTGTTATCATTTGTAATCATCATAATTTTTATTATCCATATTGATTCTTAAATCTATTTTTATCATGTGCTTTTACTCTTTTTATCTCCTGTAGCAAGGTTTCACTTTGCACCTCTGTAAAAGCCTAACTTCCTACAGAATCTTCTTGTTCTGAAGATTCCTCCATGAAGCTCAAGGTTTCATGTTTTTAGATTTTTTGAAGTGACTATTTAGAAAATATTTTCTAATAAATACTTGACTTATTTTTTTAATTTATGAAATAAGTCAAAATATTAATACAATGCTGCATTACAAATTACTTACACATTTTGAAATCTGCCTGTTATGAGATCATCATCTTATATTGTCTTCATTTGTACTATTTTCTTTCTTAAATTCGTATCTCTGTATGTTGATAATATCTATTTTTGGTTTTTATTTTCCATTCCGCTCTTTTGCCTTAATATTTCCATTTCATTTTTATCATGAATATAAGCTGTAATAAAACAAGATGTTTCTTTTGTTCTATCTTGTATTTTTTTAATACTAATGTTATTTTTATCTGCTTTGAGTTGAAAGTTTGTTTACCTGCAAACTGTTGCATTTTTTTCAATCTATTTTGATGATTATATCTATTCCATATGTTTTTCCTTAAATTTACTAGTGTGGATCAAGTGCCCAACCGAGATAATTATCTTTCTAACCATTTTCACCATTTCATTAGCTCTACATATTTGGGAAGAAGACCTCAATCTCAATTAGGTTCAGCATGCATACCACTAATACTTGATGAGTGCCTGCTAGCCAGTTGAGCTAAGTAAGTCATTTCAGTTATTAAGCACCAGCAATGTATCAGGTACTTTAACTTATTTTATCTCTTTTATTCCCATAACTATGAAGATAGTTACTCATTCAACAAATATTTTTTATCAGTTATAGTACAGTATATGTCAAGTGAGTATTCCAATGAAGGTTTGTACATTTTTTTAAAAAGGGACAAAAACATTTATTAAATGCCTATTGTATTCTCACGACAGCTCTCTGAAGTTGGTACTGTCATTATCCCCATTTTAAAATGGGTAAACTGAGACACAGAGCAGTTGCTCAAGGTCACACAACTAATAAGGAGTAGAATTGGGACTTGAAAGCATCCATTCTGGCTTCAGAGCATGTTTTTACTTTTGTCCTTAATATGGACTTTATGCCAAGTGAACAAATCAGTTACTTCATGTATATTATAGAGGCTGGAAAAGCAGCTAATAACAACTATAAAAGGACAAAGTATTAGAAAAACGAATGAAAATATTTTGTGAATTTTATTTATGAAAATTGTTTGCAAGATGGCCTGTTTTGTTTCTAGAGGCATTTGTGCTTCTGAAACATAGTATTATGTTTCAGAACGTTAGCTATGATTTTTTTGTGAGAAATTTCCTGAAGTTTAATTTAAATATCCCTTCTCCCTCTTCATTTCTGCCTACCTCCATATTATACCTATGTGTCAATATAGGCTCTCCTTTAAAACAAACATAAAAAAACTTGTACCCACTATTCTTAGTGCTGATATGCCAAACAAAAACAAGCCCAAGTACCAATTTGCTTGTGTCTGTATTTTGTAGTATTTGCAATACTATTTGTTGCTAATTTTGTCAATTAGAAAATAGGAAAGAAGCTTTTGAAATTCCAATGTAAGTAAAAATGTAATTATTTTTTATATTTGAGTTTGTATATGCATAGTTTTCTTAATTGCTTATATAACATTTCACTATGAAGAATATTTGCATGCTGTTGTTATAAACACTGTTTAAGTCTTCTAAAATGTTTTTCCTTCCCATTTCTCTTTTTTAAATTACTCTGAAGGTATCTGGTAGCCTTAGGCTGCATTAAACCACTTTGTGACCTTCTGACCGTTATGGACTCCAAAATAGTCCAAGTGGCTTTAAATGGACTGGAAAATATTTTACGTCTGGGAGAACAAGAATCTAAGCAGAATGGAATAGGCATTAATCCATACTGTGCTCTCATTGAAGAAGCATATGGTATGCAATCAGTTAAAAAAATTATAGTAAATTTTTAATTATCTGTCATAGGCATTTTCCCTCTCTAATTTCATAAAGATTTTTTGTCATAAAAGCAGTACAATATTTTTTTAAATTTTTAAATGTTACTCATAATTTTATTACTCTAACAATTTATTTATATTATTTACCTTTGTTTTTACATTGTTCTTATGTGCAAATACTTTACATCAATTTAATTATACTGTATGTATAGTTTTGTGTTCTGGTTTTCAACATTTTGGAGAAATTGCATATTTCTACATAATTTTTATGATTTTAGTAGCCACATGATGTTATATTGAGAGCTGTTTAGCAATTTGACTGCAGGTTTAACCATAACACCTGTTGTTGACCATTTTGTTTATTGCTTTATATAACCAAAGTAATCATCTTTCTGCATATAAATTGGTTTCTTCTGTAGAGTTAACATCTTGGGATAAATTTTCTGAAATTTATTCAGGAGTATTAGGCACAAAATTGTTTTTAAGCTTTTGATATATCTTCTCATTTTCCTTTCCAAAGGCCTGTGTCTTGACAGTGTCACTGACATTGTATGCATCTACTCCACAACCTCATACTTATTTTGTTGATTTTGATGATTTAACAGATGTAAAGTGGTATTACCAAGTTGCTTTTATGTGCTTTTCTTGGTTTATTTCATATAGAGGGTAGTCTGTATTTTCCATGTTAGTGTATTTCCTCATCCAAATTTGCATATTTATTATACTTTATCCAGTTACCTATTTGACTTTTTTTTTGGAAAAATTAGAATTAATTTTATTTAAAATTTTTTAATTCTGACATGGCATTTCTTCTGTCTTTTTATTTTAATAAAACAAATCGTGTTTATTTATATTTAATAAATAACTCAGTCTAATCCTCTATTGCTTCAAAGTTTACAAAGTTATTGTCCCCACAGAAATTTGATAAAAATTATTTATTTTACTTCTGATTGGATTCTTAAAACCTTTAACTTAACTCATATGGAGTCTATTTTAGGGTAAGACATGAATCTAAATTGTTTCTTTTTCTTTTAAGTTACTTGAGTTAAATATTAACTTTTCTGTATTAAATCTCTTTATATTGTGTGACTGATTCAGACATTGATTTTTGATCCTTAAAGGTTGAGTTATCACTTTGCCTTTATTTCAGATTATATAATGTCACTGATTAAGATATCACATAAATATAAGAAATTAATGACTTAAGAATATTTTCTTTCTACCGTCATTATTTTGACCCCAAGGTATATTAGGATTGGGGCTATTCTGTGATTTTGTATAGATATGACTACTTTGCTCATACTTTCTTAGAAATTCTACAATCCTTTCTTAGAAATTCTACAATAATTCAATTGAAGTAGTTTATCTGTAATTAGGTGAAAAATATTTTCAACATTACCCAGACCTATCTGTAGAGTTTTTCTTGTTAGCAATAAAATAGATTGCTATAGATTCTCTTCATTCTTTCAAAATGAGATTTTTTCATTGTCACTTATATAATAGATTATGCTTTTGGTAAATGACACAACAACATATTTGGTGTTTTGTTGTGAAAAAGAATCATAGATTTGCAAATACTACACATTTATTCTATATTGATATCCTCTGGCTTACCATGTTTTGGCTTGTTCATTTAATGTTTTGTTGCTTTACCTTTTTGTGCTTTGTTATTTAGCATAATTACTCTGGAAAGGACCTGTGGAGTTTCTTAATCTAAAACTGTCATTTTACATTGAGAGACTAAAGTACAAAGGAATTGAACTTATACTTGGCTGACATCACACAGCTACCAGAGTGGTATCTTTGAACTCCTAACTCCCAGACTTGTGGTCCCTCTTCACACTACTCCATACTCACATTCTTGAATTATGAGGCATAAGTGTTGGCTATCAATATATGCAAAAATTAGATAAAAATAGCAGTCCTATCAACAGTGGAGTGATAGATGATGTTGATTTATTATTTTGATATAAATATATATTTAAATAAAAATTTGTTTCTATATATATGCTTTGTGTAATAGGTCTGGATAAAATTGAGTTTCTGCAAAGCCATGAAAATCAGGAAATTTACCAAAAGGCTTTTGATCTGATTGAACATTACTTTGGTGTAGAAGAAGATGACCCCAGTATTGTACCTCAGGTGGATGAAAACCAACAACAGTTTGTATTTCAGCAGCAGGAAGCACCAATGGATGGATTTCAGCTTTAATTCGGTGAAGGAAAAAAATTAATGATTGAAAAGAGTAGCTTTGGATATCTCTTCTTTGTTGGAATGTCAGTAGGAATATTTGTTTTTTACATAGAAAAGGAAGAATTTGATGCACTATTAAAAAGCAAAATGAAACAAAAGTAAAAGCAAAATGAAACAGAAGTTTCCATTCAGATGCAACCTTTCTTTGTAGTTTTTTGTTATTTTTTGTGCCTGTATTTATGTCTTTTGTTGTTTGGATTTTTGTATCTCTTTGTGAACAATTAAATACATTATGCAATTATTTAATAACTTAAGCTTGAAAAGAGAACTTTGGTAAAGTATTACATAACAATTCTGAATTTTTTTAAGCATTCTTGGAAGCTGCACATTAGCAGTATAGCTGTTGATAATTGCATTTTGGCAGTAAGTCTTACACACTCAATCTTTACTAAATCTACCTCTATCTTGAAGCAAAAAAAACAAAAAAAAAGCGCTTCAGAAGCATGAAATAGTGTAAAAGCTAAATTAGAATGTGAAAGTATTTACCTTAAATTATAAATCACTGTGCTGTAGGTTATACTTTGTAAAAAAAAATTACAACAGAAAACCTATAAAATTTATTTATAAAACAAAAAGTATTGTGCTGATAATCAGTTAAAATGTGGCAATTGTGAAGAGAGAAGCTGTTCTTCATGTTGAACACATTAAAAAGATTACTTTTAAATAAAGCATTTCAATATTTGTTTTTAACATATAAATGCTATTATATTAATATATTTTGTATTTCAACCAGATGATACCATTTTTGAAATAGTGTTTTATTATTTTTTCACTCTTCATTTTAAAGAGCATCGTGATAGATGCCATCATGAATCTAAAGTAGTGCTGCATATCTAAAATAATACTGTAATTATTTTTCTGATTTTTCAGAAGAGTAATTGAAAAGTTTCATTCTCTGTATAATAGTAAAACTTGGATACTTGAATGGCAAAATTATCTTGAAGAAATAATCTTGTTATGTATTAAATTTTATTAGGTGCATTTAACATTTGGGCACTGATGAAAATCAAAATTGCTTAGGATTCTTTAATATGGTTGAAATCTATATTAGAATTTTTTCTTTTATAGAAGGTCATACTGCTGCTTGTTATGAATCGTGTTTTAGATTACATTTGTGTCAGATTGGTAAATATAATGTGTGTGTTTTATGAACTAACAGCAAAATCCTCTTCAAACTATGAAAGTTTAAAAGAAAGATTTCAATAGTAATATTATATATTTATTTATAGATACATATATATTTGTGTGTCTGTGTGTTACTCATGGTACTATGCTTGGTAGAATTTCTAAGCAGAGATGGTACTGTTGAACTCAGTCTTTTAATTTATAGTTATATACAGGCTATTTACATTTCCAATTATATACCTAGAATACTTATTTAAAACTTAGTTTGCAGCTCTTTTAAGGTGAACTAAAGCAATTTTGATATGATTCATAATCTATTCTGTAAAGAAAGATTTCATTTATGATGGCATTAATAATGTTTCTGCTGGAAATCAGAGGCATGTTCTAAGAGGAAAATGTATACAGGAGTACTTTTAAATAGTATGACACTTTGTAAATTATATATCATGAAACTAAGTTTTTGGCAAGACACTTAAAACCTATAGCTATAAAATACAGGTTTAAGTGGTGTCTGTAATGCTGAATGCATCTGCCAACCCTTTTTTTATATTGTTAAGTAGAGGATTGTATCTGTGCCCTTTTTAAGTAGTGGGAGTTAAATAGTTGAGTATAAAAAGTTTTTCATTATATATTCAAAAAACAGGGTAGTTAAAGATTACCAAATTAATGGCGAATTTATCAGATAAACACTTTTTTGTGGTGTAGACAGTTCTGATTATCAGGTGACAGGGTATTCTCTTTCTAGTCAATTGAAATTGATAATGCAGCATAATTCATAAATTAACCAGCTGTGCCTGCTTTTATTTTGAGGACCCCATAGTCACTATAATAAATCTCTAAATCAAATTTTTCAAACAAAGTAGCTCTTATAGAAGAAAAAACTAATACATGTGTGTGTGTACACACATAGAATGACCTATGAAGGGATATTTTTAAATTTTTGCCAGTAAAACAAACATATGTCTAAGTATAGAATATGACCATACTTTATAAACATTTAAATACAAAGTTATATTTAATTTCTTGAATCTGTTTCTTGAGTAATTAGTGTGATTATATTTGAGTGCAAAGAGTACTATCTAGAAGTTGGGACCAGCTCTAAGCCTGGTAATATATTTAATTGGATAAAGGCTAACAAATATTTCATTACTATAATTGTTTTTAAAAATATGATTACTCTTTTCAAATGTACCATTTAAAATGCTCCAAAATATGTTTTCATTATTCTTCCCTGGATCTTATGAAAAAAATAAATCTTTTTTTAACTCACTTTTCTAAGATTTGTTATATTTAAATCTAAGATAAACTGTGCCAAAATAATAATAAAATGCAGTATAAAGGGCAATGTGGATTAATTAATTCAATGCAAATACCAAAAAAACACTTAAAAGAGTCCTTTTCATTTAATTAAATTTGGTGTTTTATTTTATTTGAATTTGAATTTCTACTAGTTAATCTATGCAATGTTTCTCACTTATTTTATAAGTACTTTATTCAGTAGCTTGGTCTTTTTACTATAAATTTTATTTTAAAGGTGGTTTTAATTTTTACTGTCCTTAAATTTTATTGTCATTTGTTCACTTACCGGTAGCACCAGAACAAGAAAGCAACAAAACAAAAAGGTAATAAATTCTTCTGGCACAGAAATAACATCATTTGGTAACTGTAAAACCTATTTGCAATTAAAGGTAGATTTATTGGATAAAGGACTAAAAATAAGTGTTTATTGCCTTTGTCTTTATATTTTTCTTCTTCAAAGAAGCAGCATTTTGGAAAAAGTAAATACAATAAAGTCTTAGTGAATTTTTGTTCTAAATTCAGCAATCTACTGGCTACTTAATTGTGAAACTGTGAAATCAGATTGTTCTTAACCTTTATTCATTTTCATTTATAGCATTACTGTTTTATGAAATGTGACATTTTAGGAGCCAATGTAATAGGGCTCTAAAAAGGAGAGTGTGTCTTTAAATTCTGACTTGAAGAATAAGACATGGGGAAGATATTCTGACCTAAGTAAACCAACATTTGAGCAGTATGCAATATTATGAAATGTTACAGCACTATCTTAAAAATAATAAAATACTATTTTACAATTGCATTTATATAAATGTGTCTGTTTCATTTCTTCTCATTTAAGATTGTGTCTTCCTAACAGGGAGTAAAAACAGATGCTGTTATTGGCTAAAATTCCATCTACTTTATAAAACCAACAGAGAGAATGGAATCATAGAAAATACTTAGGTAATCTAAACTAGGCAGAAAAAGAGAAAAATATATATTAAAAAAGAACAGACATAGCAAGATTGTAGATCTAAACTCAGTTACATCAATAATCACAATAATTGTTAATGATTTAAACATGCCAGTTAAGGTATAGAGATTGTCAGAATACAAAAGGCCCATATCTTGTTTATAAGAAACCATTTTATAAAAAAGTGAATTGATTAAAAGGAAAAGGATAGAAAAAAGATATAACATGTTAACACAAATCAAAAGTAAGTTGGAGTGGCCATATTAATAGCAAAGTACATATTAGAGCAAAGAATATTTATTAACATATTCAAAAAATCATTGCTCAGAGAATTTGTTCTATAAAATTAGGATTCAGTTAAAAGGCCACACTCAAGGATCCAGAAGCCCACATGTAGCTCCTAGGCCACAGGTTCCCCACTCCTGGCTTAGACCAATGTCATGGAGCTTTTCTTCTGTGTTTCCTTCTAGTACTTTTATTATTTGAGGTCTTACGTTTAAGTATTTAAGTTTATTTTTCTATGTAGTTTGAGATGAGATTCTTATTTTATTCATTTGCATATAGATACCCAATTTTTCCAGCACCATTTAGGAAGAGACTGACTGTTCTTTGTGTGTTCTTGGCACCTTTGTCAAAAATCAATTGATCAGAGATATGTGTGTTTATTTCTGGGCTCTATATTCTGTTCCATTGGCCAGTGTGTCTTTTTTTATACTAATATGGTATTTTGATTACTGTAACTTTGTGATATATTTTGAAGTCAGCTAGTGTGATTCCTCAGCTTTTTTCTTTTTGATCAAGAGTGCTTGGCAATTTGGAGTCTTTTGTGGTTCCATCCAAATTTTAGTATTGTTTTTTTCTATTTCTTTAAAAAAAAAAAAACTCATTGGAATTTTGATAAAGAGTGGACTGATTCTGTAGATCCTTTTGGGTAGTATGAACATTTAACAATATTAATTGTTCCAATCCAGCACAGGATTCTTCCCTTATATTTGTGTCATCTTCAGTTTTTTATCAGTGTTTTATAGTTTTTAGCATACAGATCATTACCTCCTTGGTTAAATTTACTTTTACTTTTTTTTTTTTTTAGTTCTGTTGTAAATAGGATTTTTTCTTAATTTCTTTTTTGAATATAGTTTGTTGTTAGAGTATAGAAATGCTACTACTTTTTGTATGTTGACTTTGTAGCCTGCCACTTTACTGAATTCCTTTATCAGTTCTGACAGTTTTTTAGAGGTTTTCTATATAAGATCATGTCCTCAGCAAACAAAGACAATTTAAATTCCTTCTTTCCTATTTGGATGTCTTTCATTTCTTTCCCTGCCCAATAGCTCTGGCTAGCACTTCCAGTACTATGTTGGATAGAAGGAGTGAGAGTGGGAATCCTTATCTTGTTCCTGATCTTAAAGGAAAAGCTTTCAGCTTTTCACCATTGAGTATATTAGCTGTGAGCTTGTCATAAATGACCTTTATTGTTTTATGTTCCTTCTATGCCTATACTTTGTTCAGAGGTTTTTTAAATTATGCAAATCAGATGTTGAATTTTGTCAAATGCTTTTTCTGCATCTATTGAGATGATCATATTGTTTTTTGTCTTTGATTCTGTTAATATGGTATATCACATTTACTGTTTTTCATATGTTGAACCATCCTTGGTTCCATGATAAATCCCATTTGATCATGGTAAATGATTGTTTTAATGTGCTGTTGAATTTGATATGCTAATATTTTGTTGAAGATTTTTCATATTAATATATGTTCATTAGAAATATTGGCCTGTAATTTTCTTATACTGTCTTTGTTTGGCTTTGGCATCAGGGTAATGCTGGCCTCATGATATGGGTTGGGGAGTACTTCCTCTTCAGTTTTTTGGAAGAGTTTGAAAAGGATTGGTATTAGTTCTTTTTTAAATGTTTTGTAGAATTCAGCTGTGAAACTATCTGGTTCTGGTTGGTTGCTTGCTTTTTGTTGGGAGATTTTTGATTACTGATTCAAGCTCCTTGTTATTGGTCTATTCAGACTTTTTATTTCTTCATGATTCAGTCTTGGTAGGTTGTTTCTAGAAATTTATTCATTTCTTCTAGGATGTCCAATTTGTTGACATCTAATTGTTCATGCCATGTTTCCCTGAAAATAAGACCTACCCATAAAATAAGCCCTAGCAAGATTTCTAAGCATTTGCGCAATATAAGCTCTACCCCGAAAATAAGACCTAGTGATGGACGTGGCTATGCAGTATATCTGCACAACCCATGCATTTCCTCGTGGAGTGGTAAAGAAGACAAGCAGCCCATCTCATCTGCCCCATTGTGACAGCTACTATCCCAGAGGTGACTAGAAAGGTGCAGGCAATCCCACCAACAAGGTCAGCTCCCCAAGTCAGGTCCTGGCCATCCTGTGCGTGCTGCAAGCTGAGGCTTTGAGGGGAAAATAACACATCCCCTGGAAATAAGCCCTAGGGTGTCTTCTTAAGGAAAAATAAATATAAGACTGTGTCTTATTTTCAGGAAAACATGGTAGTACCCTCTTACGAACCTTTGTGTTTCTGTGGTATCAGTTTTAATGTCTCTTCTTTAAGTTCTGATTTTATTTATTGAATCTTCTCTTTTCCTTAGCTTATCTGGCTAAAGATTTCAATTTCTTACTTTTGTTGAGTTGTTTGTTTGTTTTGAGACAGAGTTTCATTCTGTTGCCTGTGCTCGAGTGCTGTAGTGTCATCCGAGCTCACAGCAACCTCTAACTCCTAGGCTCAAGCAATCCTTCTGCCTCAGCCTCCCAGGTAGCTAGGACTACAGGCATGCGCCACCATGCCCAGCTAAATTTTTCTATATATTTTTAGTTGGCCAATTAATTTCTTTCTATTTTTAATGGAGACAGGGTCTTGCTCTTGCTCAGGCTGGTTTCAAACTCCTGACCTTGAGTGATCCTCCTGCCTCAGCCTCCCAGAGTGCTAGGATTACAGATGTGAGCCACCGTGCCCGTCCTTGTTGAGCTTTTCTACCATCTTTCTAGTCTGTGTTTCATTTATATCTGCTCTGCTCTTTATTGTTTTTTCCCTTCTGCTGTTATGGGCTTCGCTTGGTTTTTTTCTAGTTCTTTGAGGTATAACATTAGGTTATTTATTTGAGATCTTCCTTTTTTGATGTGGACGTTTATTGCTATGAACTTCCTTCTTAGAACTACCCTTGTATCCCATGACTTGGTATATTCTGTTTCCAGTTTCATCTTTCCTAAGATACTTTAACCTTGTAATTTCTTATTTGACCCATTGTTTGGAAGCATATTGTTTAATTTCCACATATTTGTTATTTTTCCAAAATTCTCCCAGTTATTGATTTCTGGTTTCATTTCATTATAGTCCTAAAATATACTTGATGTGATGTGATTTCAATTTTCTTAAATTTATTAAAACTTGTTTTGCTTGCCAACATATGCTTTATCCTGGAGAATGTTTCATGTGTACTTGAGAAAAATGGGTATTCTGCTACCATTAGATGGAATGTTTTGTATGTGTTAGGTCTATTTGGTCTGAAGGTTAGTTCAAATTCAATGTTTCCTTATTGATTTTCTATCTAGATGATAGGTCCATTGTTGAACATGAAATACTTAATTTCCCTACCACTATTCCAATCTATCTCTCCCTTCAGATTTGTTAATATTTGCTTTATACATTTAGGTCACATACTCTGATGAATTTACCCATTTATCACTATATAATGAGCTTTTATGACTCTTTTTACAAATTTTGACTTGAAGTCTATTTTGTTACAACTATAGCTAACCTTGTTCTCTTATAGTTACCATAATATCTTTTTCCAACCCTGCACCTTCATTCTATGTGTGTCCTTAAGGTTAAAGTGAGTCTCTTATAGGAAACACATTGTTGAAATTTTTTTTTTTTTTGCAGGGGGCAGGGGACTCCATTCATCCACTCTTTGTATATTGATTAGAAATTTAATCTTTTTACATTTAAAGTAATTATTGATAGGTAAGGACTTACAATTGCCATTTTTAAATTGTTCACTGAATATTTTGTAGTTTCTCTGTTCCTTTCTTCCAATCTTGCTGTCCTCCTTTGTAATGTGTTGAATTTTTATAGTGATATGCTCTGTTTTCTTTTTTTTTAATCTTTCATGTATCCACTAGAGGCTTTTTCTTTGTGCTTACCAAGGGGCTTACATAAAACATAGTTACAATATTCTAACATAAGCTGATAGCAACTTAATTTTAATTACATATAAGGATTCTATGCTTTTGCTTCTTCCCATCACATTTTATACTATTGATGTCACACTTTACATCTATTTATTAATATATTGTATATTCATTAAGAAATTATTATAGCTATAATAATTTGTCTTTAATACATTTGTTTTCTTCCATATTATGGTTAAAAGTGATTTACATACACTGTTACAGTATTAAATATTCTGAATTTGACTATATGTTTAACAATGAGTTTTATATTTTCATGTTTTCTTGTTGTTACTCGGCATCCTTTCTTTTCGACTTGAATAATTCCCTTTAGCATTTATTGTTTGGCCAGTCTCATAGTGATGAACTCTCTCAGCTTTTGTTTATCTTAGGATGTCTGTATCTCAACTTCATTTCTAAAAGACTGCTTTGCCAGGTATAGTATTCTTTGTTGGCAATATTTTCATTTAGCATGTTGAATGCCATTCCATTTCTTCCTGCCTAGAAAGAGTTCTGTTGAAAAGTCTGCTGATAGTCTTATAAAGGCCCCTTTATCTGTGATAAGTTTAATCTCTCTTGCTGCCTTGAAGATTCTCTTTGTCTTTGATTTTTGACAGTTTGATTATGATGTATCTCATAATCTTTTTTTTTTGAGACAGAGTCTCACTTTGTTGCACAGGCTAGAGTGAGTGCCATGGTGTCAGCCTAGCTCACAGCAAACTCCTGGGGCTCAAGCAATCTTCTGCCTCAGCTCCCGAGTGCTGGACTACAGGCATGCGCACCATGCCCGGATTTTATATATATATATATTATTGGCCAATAATTCTTTCTTTTATGTGACGGGGTCTCGCTCTTGCTCAGGCTGGTTTCGAACTCCTGACCTCGAGCAATGCCCGCCTCGGCCTCCCAGAGTGCTAGGATTACAGGCGTGAGCCACCGCGCCCGGCCTCATAATCTTTTTTTGAATTGATCATATTAGTAGTTCTTTGAGCTTCCTGAATCTGAATGTCCATATCCCTCTAAAGGTTTAAGAAGTTTTCAAATGGTATTTTTTTTTTTTTTCTGAGACAGAGCCTCAGTTTGTTGCCCGGGCTAGAGTGCCATGGTGTCAGCCTAGCTCACAGCAACCTCAAACTCCTGGCTCAAGCGGATCCTTCTGCCTCAGCCTCCCTAGTAGCTGGGACTACGGCATGCACCACCTGTCTGGGGTAAGTTTTTTCTATATATTTTTAATTGGCTAATTAACTTCTTTCTATTTATAGTAGAGATGGGAGTCTCTCTCTTGCTCAGGCTGGTTTCGAACTCCTGACCTTGAGCTATCCTCCCACCTAGGCCTCCCAGAAGTGCTGGGATTACAGGTGTGAGCCACTGCGCCTGGCCCAAATGGTATTTCTTTTAAAAAAACCTTTTTGCCCCTTTCTTTCTCACCTATAATTAGTGTAATTGTACATTTTATGGTGTCTCCTAGGTCCCTCATGCTTCCTTCACTCTTTTTCAATTTCTTGTATTTTTCTTCCTCTTATTAATTTGAAATGATTTGCCTTTAAGTTTGCTAATTCTTCTAAATGGTCAAGTCTGGTGTTAAAGCTTTCCATTCAGTTTTTCAGTTCTGTATTCAGCTCAAGGATTTTTGTTTGGTTCTTTTTGATGGTTTCTATTTTCTTTATTGAACTTCTCATTTTGTTCATGCATTGTTTTCCTAATTTCATTTAGTTGTTTATCTGTATTTTCTTGCATCTCATTGAACTTCTTTTTGATGTTTATTTTGAATTCTTTTTCAAGCAGTTCTTACATTTCCATTTCTTTTGGGTTGGTTATTGGGGCTTTATTAGTTTCCTTTGGTGGCATTATGTTTGCCTGATTCTTTGCTATCCATGTAATCTTATATTGGTGTCTGTGCATATGAAGGAGCAAACCCCTGTTTCAGTATTTACAGCCTAATTTTGGCAAGTTAATGTCTTAGGCCCAGGAGCAATCCCACCTTCATAGAGAGGGGCTGGAGCCAAATATGTCCCCTTCAAGGTCTGCTATGGGATGAAAGCCAGCAAACCTGTCATATTAGCAGAGACAAGTGAGTCTCCCAACAGTTTTCTGTGCAAGAGGAATTACTGGCAGAGAGGGACTGGATAGGGTCTCCTTAAGTTCTGCTGTGGGACAATCCCACAAGCCTGTCAGTGGCACAAATAGATGAGTTCCCTCTGTATCACTGTGCAAATGGACTAATCTGAAACCACAGCTGAGAGGAACTAGAGCTGAGTTTTAGGGTAATTTGGGGGCCTACTTCTGGAATCGGTGTCAGCGAGCCTATCTGCTGAGCTACTAGTGTATGTGGTTCCTCCTGGACCCCTCGTTGGATGTTTTTGGTAGCAGGATCAAGGCCAAATGGGGCTGTAGCTGAGCCCTTTGGGAAATGGAGCCAATTCTAGACCCAGAGCCACAACCATAGTTGGCAGATCTATCACTTGGGTATGAATCTGCTCTCTCAAAATGATTCTCCTAAGTCTTGGACTCTACTGGAGTTTTACAGACTTCTGCATGAATCCCAAGGCTCTCGCAGAGGCACTTGTGTCCATAGATGACTGCAAAATTGTTGGGGAGTGGGCGGGATATGAGTAAGTAACCTCCTATTTCACCATATTGCTGATGTCCAAAATCAAATTTCAATATCATTAATAACAAACTTCTGCTTGTGTACTTTCACTGTACCTTTATTTTGAAAGAGAGAGAGAGGGGAAGAGAAATGAAATAAGGAAGAAAGAAAGAAAGAAAAAAGAGGGGAATGAAGGAAGGAAGGAACAAATGAACGAGGAAGGGAGGAGGGAAGGAAGAAAAGGGAGAAAGAAAAGGAAGGAAAGGAAGGAGGGAGGAAAGGAAGAAAGGAAAGAAAGGAAGGAAGGAAGAAAAGAAGGAACGGAGGAAGGAAAGAAGAAAGAAGAAAGCTGGACAAAACAGAATTGTTGGGCAAATGAACTCAAATTTTTGTCATGTCTGATACTAAAATCATCTATGTAAGTCTTTAAATTATTTCTATATGCCTTGTATGTCTGATTTAGGTAAAATACCATTTACTTATGACACACCCTTTCATACACCTAAATATTAATAAAAACAAACATTAAGAAACAAAATTTTATCTTATAATGTTAAAGGTGGGGAAAACCAACTATTCTGTGTTTAAGTGTTAATGTTCTTAGAAGAGAATCTTACTGGAATGAGAATTTTTCTCAAAATTTTGAAATCATTCCACTGTTCTGGCTTCCAGTGTTGCTGTTGGGATGACATTATTAGTCTAATTATTATTCCCTTTTAAGTAATATTCTTTTCTCTATGGGCTGCCTTTATGATGGCCTCTTTCTCTTTTGTTTTCTGTGGTTTTATTATAATGTGTCTAGGTGGAGATTTCTTTTTTTATCCTACTTGAAATTAATTTGGCTTCTTGAATCTGAATTTATGCATTTTTCATTAATTCTGGAAGGTTGTCTTTTTATTTTATTTTTTAATTTTTTATAAAATTAATCTTTTTACTTTTTTCCCCTTCTCTTCTTTTATTGTGTTTAACAATTTCAATGCAATGAAACGTTGTCTTTTTAAATACTGACTCACCTTTTCTCTTTCATAACCTTCTAGAACTTAAGTTAGAAGACTGTTGCTAATTCTCTTCTCCAAGTATTACCACAATTTCAAATTTTCCATATTTTTGTCTCTATACCACATTCTGAGTAATTTCTCAGAACCATCTTCCAGTTTACTATTTCTGTCTTCAATTATGCTTAAAATGTTTCATTCATTTGCTTGGTTTCTAATTTTAGTTATATCTTTCATTTTCAAAAGTTTTATTTGATCTTAACTTGTCTCATCTATTTATTTGATTTTAACCTGCCTGTTTTAATATTCTTGACATCTTTGATTCCCCTTTTCATTTAACAATGCTAAACACAATAGCATTACATTCTATATTAAATTTTCTCAATATTTGCTTATTTTGTGAATCTGAATCTGTTACCTGTTGTTTTTTGCTGAGCCTTACTTATGGAAGCTTGCTTCCTCTTGTATCCTAGGATTTTAGTATATATGCTTATACTTTTTAGAACTTTATGGTTCTTTGAAACCTGGGTTTAAAAGTACTTTCTTCTGAACCTCTTTCTGTTTTTTCAATTGTTTGCAATTTTTTATTGAAAAAAAGAAACAAATTGTCATTGTCACAGAGTTTCCCACAGTTTAGGTTTTACTAATTATTTTCATATGATATATTAATATATTCCTGTATTTACTTTAAACTAGAAGTTAGATCTATAGCCTTTCAGGTTTTTAAAACTTTTTTAAAATGCTCATGTGTGATGATTTATACTTTTATTAGGAGATATATGTAGTATCTGTGCAAAATGCTAAAGCAGCCAGTGCCAAGGTGGATTTCATGAAGACAGAAAGTAGACTGGTAGTTACCAAAGCCCAGAAAGGATAGTGGGGAGGGAGGGATGAAGGGAAGTTGATGGGTACAACTTCTCTTCATGTTCACAAATATATGCTTTGACAAAAGAAATAAGACCTGGTATTTGATAGATCAGTAGAGTGACTATAGTTTACAATCAAGTATGTATTTCAAAAATAGCTAGAAGAGAATAATTCAAATGTCTCTAACATAAAGATAAGACAAATATTTAGGTGATTAATATCCCAAGTACATTGATTTGATTTTTACAAGTTATACGAATGTAGTAAATTATTATATGTACCCTGAAACTATGTTCCTCTATATGCATCAACTTAAAAAAATAAAAAATAAAGCAGCCAGTGCCTTGGTTCATCTGGAGAACAGACTCATAAAAATGCTTCATACCTTCTCTACCTATCTTGGAATTCAAAAGTAAGATTATTGTTACAAGAGTGTGTATTAACTTTCTCATTTTCAAATCAAAGTAAGCCTTTTCCTAATAGAAAGTACGGTCATGCACCATATAACAATGTTTCAGTCAAGGATGAACCACATATATGACAGTGGTCCCCCAAAATTAAAAGTGGGGCATATATATTAATAAAAACCTGACATATAGTATTTGACATTGGCTCTCCAGATCCAATAGGGGAAATGACTCATATTTAGTAATGGTGCTGGGACATATATTTGGTTTTCCATATAAAAAAAATACTTATGTAAATAAAAATATACATACCATTTAGGTTTGGGGAATAGATTTTGGAATTAATAGTCCTTGGTTTGTAAGACTTTTCAAAGCTATTTCACCTAGTTGTAAATTATAAAAAGAATAACCAGAGGGACTATCCAGTTACCAAATACAGTAGAACTTTGGTTAAAAATTAGTTTTGATTTTAAAAGAGCCCTTAATGATTTAATTCAATCTCATTTTAATGACATGCCCAAAGTGCATGTCTTAGCATGATTTGCAGTGATCAAAATGAACCAAATGTTCAGATAAATTGTGGCATATTCATAAAACAGAATACTGATCATTAATAAAAACGAACTAATGCTACACACAATTTGTGGATGAACCCTATAACTATGTTAAGTAAAGAATTCACACACACAAGTGCATACTGCATAAATTCCATTTATATAAAGCTCAAAAACAGGAAAAACTAGGGTTAAAAAACTCAGAACAATGGTTATCTCTGGGGATAAATGATTGAGAGAGGGCAGGAAGGAGGTTCTGAAGTGATGTTTTACATTTTGACCCTGGCAGTGGTTTACACAGGTGTGTTAACTATGTAAAAAATCTATTAACTGTATACACTTTTGTGCACTTTTTTGAATGTATGATATACTTCAATAAAAGTTTACTACAAAATAAAAAAGATCTTGTGCTTCTTGTTACCAGAATAAAACCATGGCGATTATTTTGTTAAATATTCTATTTTTCCTGTCTTCTATTGTTTTTGATGACAGGGATGATATTCAGGTGAACACTTTGCCACTTAGACTATCATTTAGCCTTAGCCTGTGCAGCTAATGCAGCTTCTTCGCGCCACTTAGCTTTTTTTGCCAGGTTCCAACTTGTTAAGGATTCATGTCGCTCTACAGCCTGCAAAGAAAACAAAGCAAAGCATTTAACTCTCTGGAAAAAATTGTATTTTAGCTAAACATACACAGAGGAGACTTTGTAAAAAGGAGAGGAGAAAAGTAACTTCAAATATCTGTCACAAACAGTATCCAAGAAAAATGGCCCTTTGATATGGAAAATAAATTCACTTGTTAGACTTCCAGGCAGCAGGACAGCTGATGTCATTAATCTGTCCCTATTCTCTTTTGGCACATATAGACATGTTTGTTGAAGAAAATATAGCAAAAAATATGCCCCAAATCAAGAAAAAAATCCTCAAGTTTCAGAAATGGAAGTAACTCAAGGCATGAATTGGTGGGGAATGGAAGAGACTGAAGCCAGGATAGAAGGACATGATTTTAATCAGGGAGCATTTGGGGAAAATACTCGCCTTCACAGCTATGGGCTGGGAGTTTAATACCTGCACAGAATGGTGAGTCCAAAACTTGGATCTTGGGCATAAGGTTGAAAGCTGAAGGAATCAGGAAAAAGTATTCCTATGAAATTACTAAAACTCTCACCAGCCCAAAGCAACTGGCAAGGAAACTAGGCATTTATCTGGGAGAAAAACTGCCTGTGAAAAGAACAGATGTTCAGCACCATAATTAGGAGGTTAAAAATCTAGCTAGAAAATACATCTGAGTAAATAATCTAAATTCAACACACAAATAAAGATACATAAAAATAGAAAATAGAGGCTAAGAGACATGGCGAATAGAACTATAAGTTCTAACATACATTTGTAATAGGAAGAAAAGATAGAATGGGTGAAGAGGCCATATTTGCAGTTATGACAGCTTGGACTTTTTCAGAAGTATGGAAAGCTATAGGTCCTCACAGACTGAAAAGCATACACAGTCATTAGTAAAATAAATCAATTTAATAAGTATTGGTGAATATCTAATAAGCATCTCACACTTAATATATCCAAAATAGAGAACTTACTATACTTTGTCCCACATACCTACCAGTCTTTCCCCAGCCTTACACATCTCAATAAATGGCAGCATCATTCAGTTCAGATTCAGAACTGAACCTGCAATTGCTCCCAGGTGTGCCTGTATTCATTTTCAGCACTGTTAAATGGATGACTGAGAATGGTTCCTTCTTTTGCCAGAAAATGATATGGTAGCTTTAAATACTTATATGAGAAATTGTGTAAGCTTAAAACAAAGTCTCCTGAGGAAGAGCAAGATGTTGGATGAGAAAAACTGCCAGCTAGAGTGTCTCTGTAAAAAAGACAGATTTTAGAAGAAAGTAGAAGAAATAAGCAAGCAGACAAGTGTACATCGGATCAGTGTCGAAAGTAGGGGTACCTGAGACTACTGGAGACTCCACAGGAGGAGGCTGCAGGAGAGAACTGGAAAAAGAGAGCTCCCAAAAAGCTTGGAGACCAGTGGCAAGGGTAGGTGGAGCGGTTAACTTTCCCCTGCCTTGCATCTCAGACTGTTGGTGGACTCCCTAGCAGTTGGAGAGACCTGTGGACACCAGCCCAGAGACGGCTGCCAACAGTGAGTAGTAAGCCTCATGCAGACAAGGCAGCAGGCAACCAACTCCCTCAGTGCACCTCCCTATGCATAGACCTGAGCCGCTTGGCAGGCGCCATAGTGCCACATTCTCCCCTCCCCCTTCCCTATCCATGACCGCCAAGAGAGACAATATAGCCATCAGCCAGAGGCATCTCCAGGGAACAGGACCTTCCCTTTGGGGGCCCTACAGCTGACTGAGGGGAACTCAGACGGTGAACTCCCTACCCACCAGCCCTCCTAGGTGCTGCTGGCCTGGTCACACCAGGAGAATGGGGCAGATCCTGAGGCTGAGAGACATCGACCCAGCTTGCACTCCTCTCCCTGGTGGGGTCAGGGATTGAATTCCAGGGACCAGAGGTCAGACCTGCAGACCAGATCCTGTACACCCAGGTCTCACATTGCCCAGGGCACAGAAGGGATATTAGTGAACAAGCCTACTAAGATGTCTGTGCCTTCAGGGGCAGATCAGCATGCTTGAGGGTAACCCTCCTCTCAAGGGGGGGCCGTATGCCCAGACCAGGCTGCAATCCTGAGGAGGGAACCTCCCCGCCTGCATCACAGCCAGGGGATACCCATTGGTGTGAGGTCCAGGCTGCTGGCAGAGGCCCAGGAGTATCCATGGAGTTGGGGAGGGTGGAAAGAAGCGAGGCCCGCTCCCAACTGCAGGTCTAAGACAGCCCACCCCTACACACAGACTTTCTGGCTGAGGGGGGCCATTCTAGCCCCTCCCCAACAGGTTTGCCCAGAAGCAGAGAACAGAACTTTGACCCCAGCTAACAGCATTTGTGGTGCTTGAGGGCAGGCTTACCCAACCCAGCTCTGCCCAGACTCACTCCCAGACCAGCCCTCACTGAGGTGGAGAATAAGGACACACCTGGAAGTCCCAGGGCCCCACTTGCCACCTGAGGCACTACAGTGCCTCTCTAGAGGAACAAAAGCTGGTTACAGGACCCAAAAATAACACTGTAGCTTGCTCCTCCCAGCAAACGCCACCTACTAACAGGGAGGTCATTCTGCACACCCTTTTATAGTATCTACTGACTCATCATACAGGGTGTGGTGTAATTTCATCCATAAACACCACCTACTGGCTCAGAGACTGAAGAGGGAGTGTCATTATCCAAATGAAAATCTCAGGATAAGAAGTAACAACTGATCCAGATGTGAAGAAATCAGCGAAAGGACTCTGGAAGTATGAAGACTCAAACAGAGAGCACAGCCCCAAAGAGCAACACCAGCCCCTTACAAATGGACATCAACCAAAATCAAAATGCTAAAATGGCAGAAGAAGAATTCCAAGCATGGATTGTAACAAAATTCAATGACTTGCAAGAAAAATTGGATAACCAACACAAAGAAATCACAAAAAGATTCCAGGACCTGGAAGAAAAATTCACTAAAGAAATTGAAACAATAAAGAAAAATCAAACCAAACTCCTGGAAATGAGAATCTATGCAAGGAACTATAAAACACAGTGGAAAGCCTCAAGAACAGGGTAGATCAAACAGAAGAAAGAATCTCAGAGATTGAAGATAACACTTTCCAATTAAATAAGTCAGTCACAGAGATAGAGCAGAGAAACAAGAGAAAAGAGCAAAGCCTACAAGAGATGTGGGATTATGTGAAGAAACCTAATGCGAGGGTCATAGGGTTACCAGAAGGGGAAGAAGAAAACACTCAAGGGTTGGACAAGCTATTTGAAGATATAATGAGTGGAAAATTCCAGGCCGTTGCTAAAACTCAGATACAAGTTCAAGAAGCTCAAAGGACCCCTGGGAGATTCAATGCAAACAGGAAGACATCACGACATGCAGTCATCAGACTGACCAAAATATCAACTAAAGAGGCCCTTCTACGAGTTATAAGATGAAAGAAGCAAGTAACATACAAAAGAAAGCCAATCCGACTAATGCGAAATTTCTCTACTGAAACTTTTCAAGCAAGGGGAGACTGGGGCCCCATTCTCACTCCTCTGAAACAGAACAATGCCCAGCATAGAATCCTATTCCCTACAAAACTAAGTTTTGTATATGAAGAAGAAATCAAGGCATTCTCAGATAAGCAAAGACTGAGGGAATTCACCAAGACAAGACCAACCCTTCAAGAAGTACTCAAAACAGTGTTACCCACAGATCAGCACAATAAACATTCATGAATGTAGATCCACTCAAAAGCTAAAGATCGAAGGCCAGATGTTGGGAGCTGTCTGGACACGGGAGAGTTAAAGTGTGGTTGCTGCCGGAACACGGGGTCCTTCAGACATAGCACCTGGTGCCTTAACTCAGAGCTCTGACATTCTTGGCCTTTCTTCTAGCTCACGAGGGTGCTGGAGATAGCAAGTAGCAGTTATAGAAGGTCACTTAAGTAATCCTGTGCACACAGCCCTCGTAGCTTATAGACCCCCTAGGCCCTGCACACTCCTTTCCCAGAATTGTTAATTACGCTTGGGTGCTCTTTTCCTTGAACTGTCTGAGTGATCATAGTTGAGTATTTGTAGCTTTTTTGATATCAGAAGAAAGTTAAGTTGTAGATTAGAAAACTTCTTAAGCAAGGAAAGGGCTATTAAAGTGACACATGGTTGGAGAAAAACAAGAACTGTTCTCCTCTGGTTTAATGAAGACATGCACCACCTTCAATTGTATTTCGCTTCTCCTTTGTTCTTATCTGTATAAATATAGCAACTGAAATAAACGAGCGCGCAGTCACCAAGGACTCCGTCCTCCGTCCCCATCTTTGTGTTGTCTCTTCATTTCTCAGCCTCGCCCCCTAACTCCAGGTGCCGCACGTCGCCGGCTGGCTCCGGCAGCCAGATACCACAATGGCTCAAGAGAGAAAACAAAGTAACACAGTTCAACCCATCAGAAATAACAGAAATCTGCCCCACCTAACAGTTGTCTCAATAAATGTGAATGTCTTGAACTCCCCACTCAAGAGACACAGACTGCCTGAATGGATAAAAAAAAATACAAGCCAAGTATCTGCTGCCTTCAGGAAACACATCTAACCTACAAGGATGCATTTGGACTAAAGGTAAAGGGGTGGAGAACAATATTTCAAGTAAACGGAAGCCAAAAGAAGGCTGGCGTGGCAGTTTTTATTTCAGATAACTTATTTTTTAAATCAACAAAAGTAATAAAAGACAAAGAGGGTGACTATATAATGGTGAAGGGCACAGTACAACAAGAAGACATAACAATTCTAAACATGTATGCACCCAACTTAGGGGCACCCAGATTCATAAAGCAAACTCTACTTGATCTAAATAAATGGATAAACAATAACACCATAATAGCCAGAGACTTTAACACCCCGCTGACAGCACAGGACAGATCCTCCAAACAGAAAATTAACAAAGAAATAAAGAACTTAAACAAAGCTCTCGAATAAATGGGCCTGACTGATATTTACAGGACATTCTACTCAAAAACCACTGAATATACATTCTTCTCATC